TGACACTCTGGATCATGACCCCAATGACGAATGTAGAGATAGGCCTCGGGAGACATGCTAATGAGGCTGACCCACCAACGATAAGAGAGGACAAAGCTGACACAATAAAGCAGAGGTTCGGTTGTCTGTGTTACTCTGGAGACGTGTGCAGTGTACACCAACTCAGACCTCTCGCGGTGTACGTTATTAGACGGCTTTGGATCGGGGCTGATAGCGTGAGGATAAAATGGATGATCCACTAACTCTGGAACACTCTCCCTCTATCCCTCCCTCCGCCTTGCCCCTTCCTTTCCTTCCCCATCTTCCGATCGAGCCCGAAGACCTTCCTCTTCGACCCGGGAGATGTGTCGGATCGAACGCCGTTTTAGTTCATTTCTCGGTTTTGCTGAGAATCTCGTTTGCCGTGACGCATGCAGGCGTTCAGAGCTGTTTCCGTCGCGAGCGAGAATCGGGCGCTGGGGTTATCAGATTTAATTAAGAGCAGAAGCCAGGCAATATCTCGCAATAAGATTCCTGCTCTGATCCATACAAATGGCAGTGATTGTCATAGGATGCTTGAGTCAGCTCAACGTGTTGGCTGCTCTCACAAAACTTGTATCTAATATCGAGCCGCCTCTAAATGAGGGGGTGAGGGGAGAGGCACTGCCTATCTGGTACACGGCACCTCAAATCTAGGAGAGGGAGGGAGGGGGATCTTTGGTATTGGCACGTTAGTCCTGTAGCTCAGTGGTTAGAGCACTCGCCTCGCAAGCGAGAGGACCTGGGTTCGATTCCCGGGCAGGGCCAAACGTTGGGCAAGTTTCCTTACTCCACACCCCTCTGTTTACCCAGCAGTAAGCAGGTTGTTAGTCGATTGGCAGATAGATCGCTCTTCCGGGGGTAATAATCCCTTCCATAACATTTTTTGAAAAAAATAATAATTGGTCACTCAATCCACGACTGTTTGTGGGACACACAAATATACAGTCGCTACACTTTACAGTATTCTCTGTGAAGTGCTTCGAGACGGCTCGAAGACACGATAAGGCTCTATATCAAATGCAAGGATTATTATTATTATTATTATTATTATCATAAAATGACCAGGAAAGATTACAGCTGTTCTGGAACTCCATCCCCTCTGCCTTGCCCCCCCCCTCCCCAACTTTAAAGCCCACCTTAAGTCAATTCGAAAGCATTGGTCACATTGCGTACCTTTAGCTCGGACTCCCAGTGAGCTCTGCGAGGCATGATCTAAATGTAAAATTGTTGTTGTTACTGACACTCTCACCCAGTGTCGGGTGTGTGTGTTCCTGGCATTCTGTTTCCATGCTATTGCTGGCGCTGCTGATGATGATAATTACCCTCTCACACATTTCCATTTCCCTCAATCAGTACGAGCTTCTCGAACAAGTTTCAAAAGTGCCTATTTAACAGTAATGACATGATTGCGCACGGATCAAGGAATATTATATTATATTATGATGTGCGCAAGGCGTCCTCCTGTGAAGAACACGGGCTTTGGATCGGAACCTGAATATTTTTTCCGTGCGCCTTGACGCGTGCAATCGCAACCTGAAAGAGCATCCCAACCAAATCGTACGCAGTAATAATCCTTGCATTTGATACCGCGCCTTATCACGTCTTCGAAACGCGGCAGCCGATTGCGCACAGCAGCGTCCCCGCAAACAGTTGTGGATTGAGTGACCAAATTATTATCGTTTTTTGCTGAGAAGTTCTGCGTATGTATGTCACTTAAACTGGGAGGTTTCCCCTTTGTCTGGAATGGAGTGCGCACTCTCTCCCCGTAGGGATTCGCAGTGCTTACCTCGGGATAGTATTGGATGAATATGGTGAGAGCCAAGGCTCGGGGAAGCCGGAGTGTCAGTTGGAGTTTAATCAGCTAGAAATTGCATAGCTACGTTGCAAGATCAGGATTCAAGGTGGAAGCGTTCCTTCAGTGATCAGGTTACAGAGAAAGTGCTTGAGCTGGAAGAAATATAATATACAGGCTTATCAAAAGCCAGAATAAATCTAAAACCTACCGTGGCGGGCAACGGGGGAGCACTCAGAGGACAAACCATTCTCTGACTCTGTGAATGAAATACTTTCTCTCTACGTTCAGTGGGGCAGAGTGTGTGAGTAGGAAGCAGTTGGCCACTCATTCAATCCTCCCCTCTACTCACCTCCTGACCTTGGCTTCACTGACGTCAGGACAGAATTGGGGACGCTCAGCGGGTCAGGCAGCATCTATGGAGAGAGGAGAGTGGGCTAACATTTCAGGTGGATACCGAGAGTGTGCATTCCACGAGAGGTCATCGACCTGAAACGTTAACCCACCTCCCTCTCTCCACAGATGCTGCCTGACCCGCTGAGTGTTTCCCAGCCACTTCTGCTGTTATTTCAGATTTCCAACATCTGCGGTATTTTTGCATTCAGGACAGAATTGGTTGTTTTGGGGGTTCACTGTTGACTGTAGTGTCTCCCATCACGACACTGGCTGTACTGACCCCTGTTCGCTGTGTAAGGGATATGTGCATTCATGCAGGGTAACAGAGCTTTGGTATAATGGCCTGTGAGCTCCCGCTATGACTGAATTCCTGGCTTGGCTTCCGATAGCAGCTCTGGCATCCTGGCTGTTACTTCCAACTGTGCTTAAAAACAGGCAGCTGAGAGCACTTAGATCCCCGGCCAATTTTTTTCCCATCAGGATCCTTGGCACAGCAGTTTCTCGCCAGGTTGACTGTGCAGCGCTTTCCGAGAAGATAATTTCAATGATATATAAAAAAATACTTTTTTTTGAAAAAAAAAAGACTCGCGTGAGAAACCGAACGCCCCGTGCGAACGCTGTGCAGCGTGAAGCTGAACTGCGTGTGGTTTCCAGCCGCTACGCCCTGAAATTCTGGAAACACTCTTCTTCTATCCCTCCCTCCGCCTTGCCCCCTTCCTTCCCCCATCTTCAGGTCGTGCCTGAAGACCTTACTCTTGCCCAACGTTTCGTCCCGCCCGGGAATCGAGCCCAAGTCCTCTCGCTTGCGAGGCGAGTGCTCTAACCACTGAGCTACAGGACTCCATGTACTCATGAGCATTGCCTTCCTGGGTTTCTTGGTCAGGTCAAAGCACTTGCTCTGTTATACTGAACTGAACTGTGCTGGGACGCCTCCAGTCAGTGAGGCCCCCAGAGGGGAGCAGGTTTTGGCCAGAGAAGGAGAGCCACGGGGAATGCAGGAAAGGATTCCTCTCAGCCCGGGAACGTATCATTTTATTGCGATGCTATTTTTAATCACTATCTAGGAGGCGAAGGACTTTGAACGCAAAGTATCGCCACCTCCAGAGCTGGTTCCATTTGAAAAGGAGTCTCAATAGTTGTCTAAAAAAATAAATGTGACAGAAACTATCACAACGCTTTTAAGGAACGCAACCGGTTCCTTTGAATGATGAATGAGTTTGTTTTTCCATCTTTTCCTTTCTCTGCTGTTTCAAGAACATATCAGATGGATTTCTGAGAGAGAATAATATCTTGGGGATGCAGTATATAGTTTGGGACAGGGAATGTCAAGCGACTGCCAGGACAAAAATCAAATAATAAACCTTGCATTTGATCCAGCGCCTCATCACGTCTTCAAGACGTCTCAAAAGCGCTTCACAGAATAGACTGTAAAGTGAATTGACTGTATGTATACTTTGTGGGCGAAACTCGGCAGCCAATCGCCCTGAACAGGGTCCCGCAAACAGTCGTGGATTGAAGTGACCCGATTTTTTTTTCTTCTGGGCTTCACAAAGGTTCAGATCGTGGCTTCGGAATCCGTTCTGTGCAACAAAGTGAAAGGAGCTCCTGACTCAGCCACTTTGTAACAGGACACATCAACCAACCGCTGTAGAATTCATTCCCTGCGGGGCTAATTCTGCTTCATTTACTTAATGGTCAGCCTCGATTTCGCTTGACCTCAAATTAGCTGAAGTCAACAGTCAGGCTGGACATGTGATAAAGCAAATGGAACTGATTTCCTCTCGTTCTATTGAATTTTCCCAATGAACTGACTGGCGCCAAAAGGACTTGGCGAGCATTGACATTGCCGTTCAATAATAGCGCCAATAATGGCCTTCACTGACGGTTCTTTAGTGATAATCAACTGGAGCCTCACTGATGCTCAGTGTCCTGTTTCTACCAAGTTCACCTGCAGAGAGTGAATATGTTCATATGTTTCTTCCACCCAGTCAGGCGCTGTTTCCTCTGAGCTGTTGACTATATTTGATATGGTGCCTTTTACATTGGGATGCCTCAAAGTAGTATTTAGTGTGAATTGCAGTGACTGTGAATTTTGTAGGTAAACGAGGTAACCAGTTTTCCACAGCAAAGTCCCACAAACAGCCATGGAGTCGCTAAGGAATTTTGTCAGGAGAACTGAAAGGAATGTCTTTCTGTTGTCGAATAGTGCCGTGGGATCTTTAACGTCCACCTCAATAGATGGGTAAGACTTCAATATGAGGTCTCATCAGAAGGGCGACATCTCGAGTCAAACACTGACAGTCAACCTTCTACTGGCAATTGGGTCTGAATGGAAATGAGTGCGAGGAATTGATAATTACTGTGTCTATATTTTATTGCCTCTTTAGGTGGACTTGTGAACTGTGGTGTGGCCTTAATAGCTCAAAAATAATGTCATTGGCAGCTAGGGTCTGATTGCCTTCCTGAATAATGTTGGATCCATTTGGAGAGAGAGGAGAGGTGTGCCATGAGTACCAACACATGGGTGTCTTTGTCTCGTGCAAAGAAGAAGGAGCTGAACAAGCTCAGGCCCTCTCCTTCCTCCCCACCCCAGGCAGGAATGAGAATCTGAATTTGTGCCCAATTGGCTGCCGCGTTTTGCCCACAAGACGCCCGGTCACTCCACTTTACCTTGCACCCTGTGAAGCGCTCTGAGACGTCTCAAAGATGTGGTAAGGCGCCGTATCAAATGCGAGGATTATTAGTGTTATTCTTATCCATTATCTAACCCACACCTTGTGTTTTGTTTCAGATGATGGGCCTTATTCAAAGGGGAGCAAGGAGTCTGCGGGGACAGAGACTAGCCTGGCTACGAGGAGGCAGAGCATACCAGGTATGTGGAGCTTTACTGCTTTTTTTTTTACCGGCAAAGTTTCAAACTGTGTGTGTGTGTGGGTGGGGGGCGGGTGAGGGGAGGTGGAGATGGGAGAGAGTTGTCTCACTTGAACTTAATAATAATAATTAATAATAATCCTTGCATCTGACGCAGCGCCTCATCACATCTTCGAGACGTTTCAAAGCGCTTCACATGATCTACGGTGAAGTGGAGTGACTGTGTATTTTGTGGGCCAAATGCGGCAGCTTTTCGAAAAAAGTTTCCCTACTTCTCTCCCCTGCCCTCTCCTCTCCCCTTCTCTCCTCCTCTCTCCCCTCCTCCCCAGCATCTCCAGGCTCCCTTTCTCACACCAGCAAGGAGTCTGCACCCATTAGCTCAGCATAGCCCTACCCATCAATGTCCCAGGAACAGGCACTGTATTATTGGACGGTGTCAGTAAGTTATCCCACTGTGTGGGAAGGGCCTGGATGGGCCACATGGCTTATTTACCATTCCACACCCTCTTCGATAGATGCCCAATGAATTGTCTTGTGAAGTCCATTTGTGGGAGAAATTGGGACGCAGAAATTGCTGCCGGGTTTCGCCCACAAAATATACAGTCAATTCACTTTACAGCGTATCCCGCGAAGCGCTTTTGAGACGTCGCGTAGATGTGACAAGGCCCAGTATCAAATGCAAGGATTATTATTATTATTATTATTAAATTCCCTGCTCCACTGAAATAGACAGTAATTTCCTTGGCGGTGGAAAGAGCAGAGCGAGAGGAACGTTAGAAAAGTTTTGCTGCTCACAGGGAGACTTGGAAAGTGTCCAACCGAAGTGCGGTGGAAGATGATGAGTGTTTTATTTCTATTCAACTCCTCGGTGTGAGCCTTTTGGCAGCTGCTCTGTGCTCATCTGTCACTGCGGGCCTGACAACAGAGCTGGGTTCTGTACAGGAGCAGAACTGCCCCCGGCCAGTGCGTGCCTGAATCGGAAAAAAAGTTTGAGAGTGAGCGATTGTCTCGAGTCGAAATTACTGTAACGAAACCCTCCTGCTACACGGGGGGACACTGATGGCTCAATCTGTAGGATTGAGATAGGCGTCCTGCAGTTTTGTAGAAATACACACAGTCACTTCGCTTGACGGTCTACCCTGTGAAGCGCTTTGAGACGTCTCGAAGGCGTGATCAGGCGCCGCGTCAAATGCGAGGATTCCTATCGTTATTTAACATGGAAGCCCGTTTCCCTGCAGGCGCTACTGTTAATGGGCCACATCATGTTTCTGATCTGTCGGAGAGGGGGCAGCGGGGAGTGAGGGAGGGTGGGGGGGGGGGGGTGAGGGAGGTGGAAGTGAGGGAGGGGGAGGTGAGGGAGTGGGGGGGTGAGGGAGCTCAAAGCAGAGGGCAGCTGCTTCCTCCAAAGAATGGCAGAACCAGCGGGGGACGGTGAAATCTTTCCCAAACCCCCCTACAGCTGCTCCTATCCATCTACTGAGTCTCCAGTTGCCACTCACCCCAATTCACACAAACCAATAAAAATAACGGGAACCTCAGATAAAGTCCCAGAACAGACATCGAACCTCCCTGGTCTGTGTGGCTTGGGATGGTCTCCTGTTGTGAAAGGCGCTCTATAAGCACATTTGGTTGTTGTTGCTGTTAACACACATAGCCAGTAAGAGGTGGGGGAGAGCTGTAAAATCTTTGGTTTAATTATAATTATAATAATAATCCTTGCTTCTTGATGTAGCGCCTTATCACGTCTTCGAGACTTAAATGCGAAACCCAAGCGACGCTGTACAATCTGATGTCAATACAATACAAAATGCGTCCCAAGGCGCTGAAAGTTGTACAGTTGAGTGTCGGTCTGAAACACCACCATTGTTTCCCTTCCACAGAAGAGTTGAGGGGAGTTACGATAGTGGAACTTATCAAGAAGGAGGGCAGCACCTTGGGGCTGACCATATCTGGAGGGACTGACAAGGATGGCAAGCCCAGAGTGTCAAACCTGCGACCCGGAGGGTTGGCTGCAAGGTGAGGGTTAGAACATGTGCGCGCGAGTGTGTATATTTTCTTTATTTTGGGGGGCAGCCGGGGGTGTCTGACACACGCGGAAACCCATCACCGTTGCTTAAGAATCTCCAAACCAAACTGAGATTTCCACACGTCCCACCGACACCTGGAAATCCCAGAGAGAGATCGTCAGAATGGAATGCGCTCTCTCTCTCTCTCTATATATATATATATCTCTCTCTCTCTCTCTCCCCGGATGGACCCCATCCCACTTTACCCAATTCCAGAAAGTATTAGGCGCAGGTCGGGAAGATTCTCTGTAGACAGAAGATTCTCTGTATACAGTTGTGTTGGAAAGATATGATTTCTGTCACACATCTTAAGTCTTTAATGGTACAGTATTTGTTTTGTAAATAATTTTAAGTCCTGTGCTATAACTTTGCACGGAGCGAGCAGCTTGACGAAAGTGCAAAGCATGGCGGAGTTTTGAAGATTTACAGAGAAGCGGGCAGGATTCAGAGAGGCTCAAAGAGGTAAGTATAGGTTTATATCACTGAGTCATGAAGCGAGCTGAAGGAATCTTGATCCGTTCTCAACGGAGCAAAGAGAACTGAGAGAGACCAGAACTGCAGTGGAGGGAATGGTTAGGGAGATAAAAAAACAATGACACATATAGCGGAAATAGGAATAGAAGCCGAGGAAACTACAATATAAACTTCTTTACTCGAACATTGTTTCTCCCACAAAATGTACAGTCAATTCACTTTGCAGTATATTCTGTGAAGCGCTGTGAGACGTCTCGAAGACGTAATGAGGCGCTGTATCAAATGCGAGGATTATTATTATATTATTAGTTTATATTTGTGAGACAGGCAGCCCCACACAGTGAAAGGAGATTTAGTTGAGGCATTCAGAAAAGAAAAGAAATACAGAAAGGAATTGCAGGGATTTCTGATTCAGCGCAGAGTGATTGCGTTGTGATGAGAAGATGAGGATGGTTTGAAAGGCGCTGAGTTGAGACCGGACTGAGAGATGGATTTCTTCCCACTAACGGCCTTTACTGTTGGGGTTCGAATGATGAACATTGACTCTGCCAACAGCCCTCACTGTTTGGGTAAATACACTCTCCCTGTCATGGTAAACACAGGCATCTTTCTCTAACTAATCTGTGCGTGGAATGACTGCAGTAACTGGAGCCAAACATACTCTGGGCACAGGCCTTGTCTGTTCAGTGTGAATCGTCTTGTCAGCCTGACAGTGTTGACTGACACTGTGAAAACGCTCACTTCATTATTGATGGTCGATAATCCCACTATGAGCTGCTAACCTGCCCCTTCGCTCCACAACGAACCTCAGTGATGGTGCCCAAATGACACCATCCACCTTCCCATCCCGGGCACGAACCACCTCTCTGGATTGTACACACTGCCGAGTGACCAGCAACAATCCTCTCGGATTAGGCTGTGAGCAGTGGATGTTTTTTTAACCCTACGTTCTGTAGAGAGAGCTGCTTTACATCAATGATTGCCCTGGAACCTTTTATCATCCTATCATTCTCTTCAACCGTGCCTTCACCTCCCTTCTCGACTCTCTACCCCCTCCTCGCTCCCTCCCTTCCCTCCTCTCACCCTGACCATTTCCCCCCAATGCTCAGGTCCCGACCCAACTGTCCAGCGCCTTGGGACGTCCTCCCGACGTGAAAGGCGCTCTATAAATGCAATCTTGTTGTTGTTGTTGTTGTACCACATGAAAACTTATTCAAAATTATTACTGGACGGTGTTTGCCGGACACAATTCAGCGAGAGCAAAAATAATAATAATAATAATAGTGATAATAATAATAATACAAGGACTGAAAGAGAGACTCGGGCAGGGAATGCAAGGTATTTTGGGGTTGTTTTGGGGTTCTGGTTCTTTTTCACCCTTTTCCCTTTTTTTTAAAAAAGACTTCTGCATCCAGTCTGTGTTCTTTTTGATGCTCTATTAATCCCTTAACGTTTTGGGTTCAGTTCGGTTCAAGTACAAAAACCTTAGCACACAGCGCTGAGGAGGAACAGCAGAGAGGTTTGACCTCCACCCACAGGGTTGAGGGTTTACCTGCGTCTTAACAGGAGACAACGTTGGTTGCGGGACAAATAATGGGGAGAGGAGAGATATGACGGCCTGTACGTTAGTGAATTGCTGCCTTCCCTTCTTGTAGGAGCGATCAGTTAAATATCGGAGACTACATTAAGTCCGTCAACGGAATCAACCTGACCAAACTGCGACACGATGAGATCATCAGCTTGCTGAAGAACGTTGGGGAGCGGGTGGTCCTGGAGGTGGAGTATGAGCTTCCTCCTTCGGGTAAGACCCTCTCGCTCTCTCCCCTTCTCCGTTAAACGGGAAGGTTTGTCAGCCCAACGGTACGTTGCCAATTCATTCAAAGAGGACAGAAGGAGTGGAGTCCTGTAGCGCAGTGGTTAGGGCACTCGCCTCGCAAGCGAGAGGACCCGGGTTCGATTCCTGGGCAGGACAGGGCGAAACATTGGGCAATTTTCCTTACTCCACACACACACGCCTCTGTTTGCCCAACAGTAAGTAGGAACCCGGTTGTTAGTCGATTGGCGGATCGCTTTTCCGGTTGTAATAATCCCTTCAAAAAAATAAATAATAATGATAATTTGGTCACTCAATCCACGCCTGTTTGTGAGACGCTGCCGTGTGCAATTGGCTGCCGCGTTTCGCCCACAAATCACACAGTCAATTTACTTTACACTGTATTCCGGGAAGCGCTTTGAGACGTCTCGAAGACGTGATCAGGCGCTGTATCAAATGCAAAGATTATTATTGTTGTTATATTCAAAGAGGAGAGAAGGGTTGATCTCCAAAGTTGATTTCAAAGATTTTATTGGGCGAATGCAGAGGGAACTTTACTCTGTATCTAATCGACGCTGTACCTAATCTTGGAGGGACTTGTAGCTGAATACAAAAAGACAAAAAAAAATTCCCCAAATTCCCCGGGTTCCATCTTGAAGAGTAAGAGAAAAATCACCGAGAAAAATCACACGTTAAAACGGGGTTGAGATTTGGGTGAACTGATCCAGAAGAATGGAACCTAACAAATTTGACGCTTTATACTTTTAATCACGTGTGTGTTGGGAGGCGAAGGTGGGCGGAAACTACTCGCGGAGGGACCTGAGAGCGCATTATCTGAGCGAGGGAGAGCGCGCCTCTCTCTTTTTCCTCAGATGGCATTTTATGTTGATTTTTTTCCCCCCCTCTTTTAATCCTAGTTCCTGAGAGCAGCTCGAGTATCATCCCGAAGACCATTGAGATCACGCTGTACAAAGAAGGCAACAGCTTTGGCTTTGTGATACGGGGTTGGTTTTTTTTGTGTGTGTTCTATCCTGTAGCTCAGTGGCGAGCGCACCCGCCTCGCAAGCGAGAGGACCCGGGTTCGATTCCCGGACAGGGTGAAATGTTGGGCAGGTTTCCTTACTCCACACACACGCCTCTGGTCACTTAGCAGTAAGTAGGTTGTTAGTCGATTGGTGGATCGCTTTTCTGGGGATAATAATTCCTTCATAAATAAATAATAATCAATTGATCGCTCCACTCCACGACTGTTTGTGGGACACCGCAATCGGCTGCCGTGTTTCGCCCACAAAGTACGCAGTCAATTTCACTTTACAGTGTATCCTGTGAAGCGCTTTGAGACGTCTCGAAGACGTGATAAGGCGCTGTGTCAAATGTAAAGATTATTATATCCTGGCCCCATTCACCCACAAAATATAAAACGCACACAACCAGATCGCTTTGTACCATATAAAGACAATTTGTTGTTTGTTTGTTTGTTGTTGTCGTTATTAAAGCGATTTGAGACGTCTCGACCACATGATAAGGTGCTTTATCAAACGCAAGGATTATTATAGCCATTCCTGTCCCCCAATCAAACTACACAAAAATCAATGATTCCAGTGGACTGTTTGCCCACTGCAATTTTCACACAGCCCTTTATCAATCTGCACCAGTACTGTTCTCTGGCAGATTCTTATCCAGTTAGTTTTTGAAGGATTTAATCAATGAAGTGTCCATCTTTTCGTTACGAGTTTGCTCCGCGGGTCTGTTGCTCCGTGGGATGAAACGTCTTCTCATCTCAGTCGCCCTTCGAGCCTTTTTTTATTTGAAAACCAAACTGTGCATTCTCGTCAGGTAGTCTGCTTTTGAACTATATATATTATTCCTGTTCTCAATTTAAGGATGTGGATCACCCTGTGTATGCGGAACTCTCAGTCTGGTCTAGATTCCTCTAACCCACGGTGACGGACTTCAGCTGGTGTCAGACACCCAGCTGAACAATGTCTGTTGTGATGTTTTTCAGGCGGAGCCCATGAAGACTGGAACAAGTCACGTTCGCTGGTTGTGACCTACGTCAGGCCCGGTGGACCCGCTGATAGGTAAAGTATTCTACGCTCACTCCCAGGATTCTGTAGGCTGTGGTGGAGCAGGGCAATTGGCCTCGTGGCCATTGGCAGTCGGGCCTTCAGCCTCTCTGCCCCCACCCCCTGGAGCTCCATTCCACAGCCCCTCAGCCTCGCTCGCCCCCCCCTCCCCTGCCTCCTTCAAGACCCGTCTCAAGACCCTCCTCCTCTGACGTGGAAGGCGCTGTGTAAATGTAATTTGTTGTTGTTGTTATTGGGTTAGGGAGGGAAACTTCAAACAGCGTTCCCATCCCCGATCTCTATCCAGTGCCCTTATTATGTGGCAGTGCCAAATAGGACAGAATCAGTGTTGGTTTTCAAACCCGAGATGGCATTGAATTACTGTGGGCTTTGTCTGTACTGCTTCAAACCTAATCGAGTTATAGTCCACATGGATAATCTTTTGAATTATTATATTCACTATATTCCTCACAGTAATGCAATATTTTACTTGGACTCACCCCTGGGAGAGAGTAATAATTCGGAGCAGGTCGAATACTTGTTTCCTGGCTGTGAATTGGCACCAGATTGAATCTCCTCTGAAGGTGTGATTGTGGGTCAGGTATCTGCTTAGGGTGGACAAGCGATGTGGGACGCTACCCTGTGTGAGAGGGGCGCTATCTAAACACAAGTTGTCGTCGTTCTTGTTGAGTATAAAACGGCACTGGACAGAGGTCTGGCAACGGGTTTATTGTTTGGTACCAGTTTTTAGCCAAAGAGGGAGAGTTTAAAAAAAAAGTGTGTAAGTTTCTGTGTGTTTGGGTTCCCCCTTTTTGTAGGGAGGGAACACTCAAAGTTGGAGACCGGTTATTGAGTGTGGACGGGATTGCACTTCACAATGTTACTCACGCGGATGCCCTCAGTATCATCAGGCAGTGTGGGCAGGAGGCCACCTTCCAGATAGAATATGACGTTACAATCATGGGTAAGTCTTGGGGCAAGACGGTGACGGAGACATTGAGAGCGTCGCTCGATGGAACGTTAGGAGGTGGGAGTCTCGTATGTGGCAGCCTGGGAGTCGAGTACTCTCAGTGCTGCAATGACCGGGGGAGGCTACAGGTGTACGTTGGCACCTTTACGAGCATATGTAATTGTGAATTGTTTGCGTGCTGGCTACCAGAGGGGGGCGGTTAGAGGGGGACAGGGCTGAGAGGGGGGGAGTGGGGGAGGAGGAAGAGGAGAGGAGGAGAGGGGGTGAGAGGAAATGGGAGAAGGGGGATGCAGGAAGAATAGTCACCTCCCAGGCTTCTCTAAGGTTGAGAGCTACGGATTTCTGCACAAAGAAAGCAGAGATTCTGTTGTGCGATAACCTTTTACCTGGACACAATGCGTCAAAGACCAGTCAAAGACTCGTCTCTCGCTGAGCGGAACAACAGAAAGCCAGTCTATTCAGCAGCTTCTGCCCAGCACAAAACCTCAAGGAACAGCACGTGAGCTGATACAAATCTGCTGCTATCAATGAAAGCAAGGTTAACCGGAGCGCTCTCGAAGCTCTGTCACCTTGACTCCAGTCACAGGAATGTACAAGACGTAAAAGGACGTTTGTGTCTATTTGGTTTGCGTCGCAAAGGTTTTTGTTGTATAAAAAAAAGTTTTCCTGATTTATAATGTGCGATGCCTCTCAATTGCAATCATCACCAAATAGATACCTAATGCCCTAATCAGCCTCCGCCGAGTCCCTGGGTGGTTTATTCCAAATATTCTCCACTCTGTCTGGGTAACATAATCAGCTCTGAACCGTCCTCTTGTGAGCTTGAGTCCACGTACGAATACAACGCAAAAGGCTCGGTGGAAGAGGAGGGTTTTGAGATGCGCCTTGAAGGAAGCGAGGGAGGGAGCCAGGCGAAGGGACTGTGGGATGGGGTTCCATAGAGTGGGGGCAGCGAGGCTGAAGGGCTGGGCTGGTCAGGGGACATGGAGCAGGCCACAGCGGGGAGAGCAGAGGGAGCGGGCAGGTTGATATGGGGTCAGCAGGTCACAGAGGTAGAAACTTGATTACCGAAATCCACCAGACTGCCACTTACAAGCCTCCAACCTCTCAACATTCAATAACATCCCTCGTCTCGATAAGCGCAGGTATTCCCGCAACAAGAGGTAGCCCCTACCTCCGACTGGGGAGTCAGATAGGACACGGAGAACCAACTTGGTAGATAATGTCCTTGAACCTCTGCCAGGAACTGTTTCCCTAGGACATATTCTGGGGCAGATGAACTCCCCCCACATTTGCTACGCCTCCCACTTTGCCTCCAACCAAAAGATTCTGCTCATGTGCAGTCAATTAAAGCTGCACTAATTAAAGGGACCTTCATGTTCTCGGAGAGCAACATTCATTTGCATGTCTGAGTGCTTCCCAGGCAAAGAGAAGCATCCTTTAGTGACCCTCTCAGTGAAGACAAATTAAATCCAATTCGCCTGATGGAACATTCTCGCTGATTCCCCCAACTCGGCTCCTCTCGAGTTCTGTGTTGTGCAAAGATGCTAATGAAGGTTCGAGCTTAAATCGAACACATTGAGCAGGAATTGGGTGGGGGGTGGAAGATAAAATAACTCCATCCCAACAATAAAGCGATGGACTTAATTGAAGCACCACAAAACTTTGTTCCCCGCAGCTCCCAATATTCGGCTCTCAGGAAACCTCCAAAGAGCAATTGGCTGCCGCGTTTCTCCCACAAAATCGACAGTCAATTCACTTTAAAGTATATCCCGTGAAGCGCTGTGAGACGTCTCGCTGACAGGGCGCTGTATCAAATGCAAGGATTGTTATTATTTATTATTCCATTCTCATTTGGGTGGAGCGGTGTATATTTTGGAGGAATTACCTATTGCAACTCACGTTCCAATACTGCAGGTGTCACAGTACAAATCTATATCTAATTAATCTGTAGATAAACTGCAGTACTACTCCAGCCTTGCGACATTTTTTTTAAGACTGCAGTGTTATCAGAAACTGAACGCTGAGACAGCAAGAAAATAAACTAGATATAGGATTGACTATTGCATGTATATCAGGGATAATGGATCCTGGCTAATAAACATGAATAGTAATATAATCTCAGAGATCACTGGCCAAAATATTCACGAGCCAAAATAGCCCGACTCACTCTCCAGGGATCCATTATTATTTTTAGTTGTTATATACTACAGGGTGACCAAAAAGTCTTGATCCCATTACGATGTCTAATAAGTCTTAAAGAAATGGTGATTTTTTTTTAGATAATAGGGTAGCTGAAAAATAAGACCTTATGGTCACACTGTATATTCACTTTGATTGATTTATTTGCTGTCCTGAACTACAAGTAAACATGAAATGGGTGAATTTCCCTTGTTTACTATTCGTTATTAATATTAATCATAATAATAATCCTTACAGTTAATGTAGTTTCAGATTGTGAAACTGTCTCAAAGCGTTTCGCAGGATATACTCTCAAGTGGATTGGGGTGTATGTTGAGGAAGGGAGAATTGGGGGGAAAAATAGAAAAAAAAGCATGATTAAAACCACAAAATATTGTTAAAATCTCTGCGCGCAAACCCTCAATCACATGAGTTCTGTACCGTTATTGTGCGGTCTCTTATTGAGATGGATTGGAGTGGGGGGAGAGTGGTGGGGAGAGAGGGAAGAGACTTACACAGATAGCGTTTGTTTCAACGCGATTTCTTTTCATCTTACAGATACGGTGACAAATGCCTCGGGGCCTTTGCTGGTGGAAATAGCGAAGTCTCCAGGATCAACACTGGGGATCTCTCTGTCCACAGGAATGCACCGCAACAAGCAAGTCATAGTTATCGATAAGATCAAGCCCGCGAGCATCGTGGACAGGTACGGTTTCTCCCCCGTAAGAACATGTACTGTAGCGTGAGACCATAACCCTGTTGCATCTACGGCTTGAGCAAAGCCTTTATCCTCAGGTATTGGTAAATTGATTAGCCATTAGGAACTCGGAGTCACATACAGGGACCAAAGGTGCCACGTGCCAACCCACCACAGTTCCACTCCAGAACTACATTCATTTGGAGCGAGTTCCCACTGTTTGGGGTGAACCATTTCTGGTTAGATATTCTCGCGGGTCGTCTCAAAGCACTTCACAGGACTTACGAATCCTAGTGGGTGTTTCGCCCACAAAACACACAGTCACTCCACTTTACTTTAATAATAATAATACATTATCGTATATATTCCGTGACGTATATTTGAGACGTCTCGAAGACGTGATACATTAACTGCAAGGATCATTACTGTTTATTATTTGGTCCGGATGCTCTTTAAGATTGTGATTGCACAATTATTATTATTATTATTATTATTATTATTTACGGCATTTTCTACCCCTTTCTGGAATTTTAAAATTCACGTTGTATCCTCACGCAGTGACCTTTATTCATCTCGAGATTCCGCAGTCTGGCGAGCAATCTTGTCCTTCTCGTTGTACTGGGGGGGGAAAAAAAAAGCAGCTGGGTTTGAAAAATGTCAGGCACCGCAGGCTGTAAAGTTGGTGGCGGAACTCCTGAGCACAGCTCCGCCTCGCAGACTGGAATGCTCATGTCGTTGCCCTACTTCCATGTGTTCTCTCTTAGATCTATAGTCAGTGCATGACTACATGTCCAGCTGGTGGGTTGGCCTGATTGCCCAGACCTCTCCAGGACCGGTCAACAGGAGGCACTGTTGCAAGGGAGCCAGTTGATTGATGTGATGGCGTTCAGTTCTCCTTTTCCCCCCCCGGGGTGATGTTTAAATTCAAGGACAAGCTTAAAAATCAGAACATATGAAGTGCAATGGCCATGTTTTTTTTAGTGGAAAGGCGATAAGCCTCCAACGCTGGAGGAGGAACAAAGGGAAAGAAGAGTAATTATTCTTTGCATTTGATATATCTTCGCCCACAAGATACACCAGGATTAAATGAAGAGTATTCGAGGTATCAGTTGACAAAGGGAGACGTGTCAAAGGAATATTTTGAGAAGTTGGATGATGAGGGCTGGAAAAAAATTGGTACTGCGTAATTAACACGGTTAGGTTAATAATAATCCTCGCATTTGATACAGCACCTTATCACGTCTTCGAGACGTCTCAAAGCGCTTCACGGGGATATACCGTAAAGTGAATTGACTGATGCGTTTTGTGGGCCAAACGAAAGGGGTGAATGGCAAGCCAAACCTCACTTGTGGATAATAATGAAAAGAAGCGCGTGAGTGAGGGATTAAAGTTAGCATATGGTCATTTTGCAGGCCAGGGTCATTCCCTCGTCTCTATCCTGAGCCTGGCTGAGTGCAGATAGTGTTCAGAATGAAATGCCTGCTGGCTACAGGAACCGTTCACACCAAATGTTGAAGCTTTGCATTGAGAATACAGAACAGTGCGCTGCAAGGAAGCACACTGTACATTGCCCTGTAATTGGACTATTGCCTTATATTATATGTAAATGTATTCTGAGACATTATTTTCGGTATGTATTACCGCAGAGGTTAATAGTGGGGTCTCTAATATGCTGAATACTAAGTCCAAAGATCTTACTGTGTCTCTATTGCGGGGTATACCATGTTAGGGATGTAAGGAAAATAATCTGCTCCTAATGATGGGCCAAATATTTCTGCGTTGAAATTGAGCCTTTCAATACTAATACTAAGGGATTGTTGCTTCCCTTTGTGTGCTGCCCATTACCAGTCTCAGCAATTAAGTGCTTTAGTGTCCATTTTTAATTTCTAAAAATGCACTGCGGAGTAGAATACAAATGAAAGTGAAGCCTCCCTCCACTAATCTGGGCAATTGCCATTAATAACCTCCGGAATTTCGTTATGTTCAATGGATGCTAATATAGCTTGAGTTGAGACAGGATAAGCTTTTCTCTCTTAGCTCTGTTTCAGTAATAGTGCAATGAGGCCGATTATATATTTTAAAAAAAATAGCGTTTAAACTCCTTTTAGTCCCTCTCGAAAAGATAGAAGACTTGGAAATATTTCCAAGAAGGTTCACAAGGATGGTAATAATCCTGGCATTTGATAAAGCGCCTTATCACGCCAACACATCTCATAGGTAATTGCCGTCAAGTGTAATGACGGTTACTTTGCAGAACAACTCGGCAACCATCTTCTGCACAGCGTAAGGTCCCATAAGGTGAATGACCAATTTATCCAGACTCAAGGATTGTTGCCTAGGATATTGGGAGAAACTCTGTTCTCTTTTCGAATAATGTCGTGGTATGATATTAAGCCATGTCTCACTGACCTCCAGAGAGATCGAGAGCTATCAGTGTTTGCCTGTCGTGGGAAGAAAATCAGATTGATGGAGTTTGGGATCTAACTTTTCAAATTGTGAGTGCAGTTGGGTGGAGTGATTGTTCTGTGCGTTTGGGACAGCATCTTATCACGTTGAGACATCTCAAAGCACTTTTTCGTAAAGTATTTCGTAAAGGAAATAGGTCATGAGCCAGAGCACCATTTCCTGTTGAGGATACTGTGTTTCGTGTGAGGTTTGTGTGTGAGTGTGAGGTTGGAGTGAGCGAGTGAGTGTGCACGTGCGCGCGTGTGTGCGCGTAGCAGAGTGAAATGACTAGATAGCGGTCACGAAGAAACAATGAATTCAGCCCAAAGGAAGTCATTTAGTCCATTGTTCTTATGCAATGCTCCCCCTGGAACCATCTCCTCTTTTCCCCCCTCACACCTCTTTATACCACCACCCCCCCCCACCCCATCCATTTGCATTAAATCCCTCTTAAAAGGTGTAATTGACTTATCTTTAATAGCCCCTTGTGGTAACATATCCACATCGTAATAACACTTTGCACAAAAAAAATCTCTACCTTCCCTCTTCGTGTTCCTACTACTTGACACGCACGAACTGTGGGATTCCTTTCTCAGACATCATTGAAGCTCATCGAAGAAGCTCAAACTAATGGGAGTCAATTTGCTTCGCCAAAGGGAGGGAAGGAAATCAATTTGGGTTTATATTACCAAAATATAGCTTTGCTTTTTTGCAATTACAATTTTGATGCAAATTGGTTCATGAATAATGAATTATTTCATCTATCACAATCCCGTCCTGGCACAAAAAACTTTTTTTTTGTCGAGAAGACTCCAGTGGCTTGTTTTGGGGGAAATATCCCCATTGGTACTGAGTCGTGCCCCCATCAGTGATGGCTGACTCTGTGCTGGGATAGTTCGCCTCAGCCAGAGTGGCAGAATGGTCCTCAGTGCTCCTGCTATGGGCAAATAAAACAGGCCTGGGTTTCCTTTACTCCTCACTATCCTGTATCCCCGCTCGAAGCTGCGAAAATGGTTGGATGAGGACCAGATCATGGTCTACCCCAATACTCCCAAGGTTACATAGCATGTAACTATATAACAAAAAATGTGCAAGGCTATGGGGAAAGAGCGGGGGGAGTGGGGCCAGTTGGTAGCTCTTCCAAAGAGCCGGCACAGGCACAACGGGCCGAATGGCCTCCTTCTGTGTTGTAAATATTCTATGATTCTAACTATGTACCTAACCTTAATAAAACCTGACGTTATCCTGGCCAACAGAAGAATAGCCCATTCGGACAAGGTCTGATTGTAGTGTACTCCCCGGCGCCTTGAGCTGTCCTCCCGACGTGAAAGGTGCTATACAGATGTCATTTTGTATTGTATTGTAACGATGCACCAGTAATGGCTGGGAACGTGGAGAGGAGACAGTTGGATGGGAGAACACCACAATGGGTTGGTGCTGGTGAATGGAGTTTCTGACTTGGTGCGTTACTTTCGTGACCGTTATTTGTGTTGTTGTAGGTGTGGGGCTTTGCACGTTGGGGATCACATCCTGTCGATCGATGGGACAAGCACAGAGCACTGCTCGCTGTTGGAAGCCACCCAGCTGCTGGCCAGCACCACGGACAATGTCAAGTTGGAGATCCTACCAGTGCATCAGAGCAGACTGTCTCTCAAACCAGCAGAGCAAGGTAATGGGCCTCCCAACACACTGAACACTAAACCAGGAACTGCTAATGTCCGAAGCTAAACTAACTCCCCAGCAAACGCCCTCGGAATAGTTTAATCTCCGACCACGCATTATTTTTTTTTTGTAAGCTTGCAGCTTTTTTTTTTGAAAGAAAATGATAACAATTCGGTCACTTCAACCCACGACTGTTCGTGGGGACGCTGCTGTGCGCAGTTGGCTGCCGCGTTTCGCCCACAAAACACACAGTCAATTCACGGTGCTGCGCTTTGAAACGTCGCGAAGACATGACGAGGCGCTATATCAAATGCAAGGATTATTATTACTATGACCTGAACAAAAGTGGAACGAGGGCTTGACATCCTTACGTACTCGGAGGGGACTGAGAATCGGAGACTGCACGGAGACTGTTTCAATCCTGGTTGCCTGACTCTCGAACGCGGTGATTTGGACGGACAGTTTGATTGATTGTTCCAGGTGTTGCACACAAGTAGTCATTCACTGTATCACAGTATCAATTATAATCCTTGTCACCGCTGCTAGTTTGGCTTGCAAGAGAGCTGCTCGGGGACATCGCTTGCCCTGCCTCCAGGAGTCATGTTATCTGAATTCTCCAGGAACCGGTCTCCAGAAATCCGATATTCCTGAGTTGGTGCAACTCAGCAATCCTCAGCAGGACGGGCTCTCGTGGATCGAGCCCAGTTCAGCTGAAACGACATTTTCCTCAGCACTTTCAGTTAATCACAATCATTGCTCCCCGAAGTCTTAAAAAGCACACGTCAAGAAAAAATACAATCGGTCAAAGGTTCCTCGAGTGCTTAATCAGACGTCGTTCGACCGGCGCCACTTTAGACTCGAATTTGGTGGCCGTTTGGAAGTCGGTCAGGAAAACGTTAAGCAGAAAGCTCTGTCGATTTGAGTGCTTTGCTGTGGGTTTTTTTTTTGCCCCGTCTTAATTTGGATTGGGTCGATTGGTGGATCGCTTTCCGGGGGTAATAATCCCTTGTGGGGACGCTGCTGTGCGCAATCGGCTGCCGCGCTTCACCCACAAAATACACAGTCAATTCACTTTACAGTGTATCCCGTGAAGCGCTTTGAGACATCTCGAAGGCGCGATAAGGCGTTATATCAAGTACCAGGATTATTATTATTGTTGTTGTTGTAATAATTATTATTATTCACGTGAGATGCTGACACTGACCACATTTACCTCAACCTGTTCGGATATTTTTGTCAAAAGTCTTTGGAAAGGAGAGTGTTTCAATCCGATTAGTTTGAGGAGACGTAGATGAAGAAACCAAGGAATAGCCAAATACCAATCAGGGATTTTATTCTGTTCTCCACAGCGCTGCTCTGTACAATTGAGTCCTAATTAACTTCCCATCACTCAAATCCCATTCAGGTTTATCAGGGCACAAAATTTTGGGATTATCCTTTTTTGGGCAGGCGGGGGTGGGGGGGGGGGGGGGGAACCTTAAAAAGAAGCTCGATCCCACATATAACTTAAGTTATTTTAAAAGAGAGGACTAATATCTCGATTCACACAGTGCTGAAAATATCGCACCAATAATCCTTCTCGAAACTGTACAAAATGTAAAGTTTCGCCCAGGCTTTAGAAGAAAGCATTTTACGCACGGACTTACTTGGAAGTTTAAGAATCTGTGGATTTCTGAGTGCTTTTGTTGCTGATATTAAAGCCCAAATTCCTGTATCTCTTGAACAGCGAGCTCATAGGAAGCTCTGGTAGATTAGGAAGCCGTAAGATGAAGGTTGGCAGCTTTGTTCGTAGAGAGGATTTATCTTTTCTCATTAGGAAACCTGGATTTGTAATTATTATACGGTTCTTGCAGCTATTGAGACATTGATGGGCAACGCCTTACGCGGTGCAATATCTTGAATATATATTTTGTAATGTGAAGGTAGCTCAAATGAAGACCCTAATTTTGAATAATTGTTGGCCAATATTTCCACTTTTTTGCTTGATCCTCCCCAAGATAAGATGAATTGCCTCAAAACATATAATGTTCTGTGTTGGTTCTTCTCCGTGAGATTTGCAAACATCGTTTTCTTGACGAAAATAGCCCTTTAACTTACGGCAGCGTAGAATAAGTTGATTTAACTGGATTGGAACCTTTTTGGTTGATTTGCAGTACTTGCCAAGTGTCTTAATCTTCCGACTCGGAAAGAACCCAATCTAGATCATGGAACCTGAAATCCATCCAGATCAATCTGTATCTGTCCAAACCAGTCTAGGTTTGCTTGATGTATTTAAATTTTAAACCTATGTTTATTTATCTATTTATTTTCCTTCGCGAGGATGTTTAGCTCTGTGAGTCTCTCCTCGTGAACTGCAAATTCCCAGCATCAGCCTTAATCTCACCTCCATTGCTGCGACGTCCTTTTCCGGCTTGGATCCCCGAACAGTTATAAAATATGTATTTTAAATTTATTCCAAACGTGGGCTTGTCAGTGGTCTATGCAAAATTACAATATTTTCTTTCGCTTAAAAGACACACGCCCTTAAATTATTCTGTGGATGGACACTTCACGTTGACTGGATGGCTTCAGGGAATCATCAGTAATCGCAGAAAATCATTTTGTTCTCCACTGCTGCTTTTGAACACCCATCACTGTGTTCACTGTTCTCTGTTTCAACACACATATATATATATTACTTTATAATTATGTACATTAATATCCATCCATTACTAACTGGGAAGTTTGGAGCGTAAAGCTTTCAAAAGCTTGATACTTTCAGCTGATTAAAACAAAATTCACATGTGGATCTTTATCAAACGTCTACTGAAAATCTAAATAAATGACAGTATTTCATGGGACTTTGTCATCCACCAGTTCAGTTGCTTCCTGATTTCTTGTGAGACATGCCCTGTTGTTTGTAAATAATAATACCAATAATACTAATGCATTTGATGCAGTGCTTATCATGTCTTTGATGGTCTCTGAATCTACTGTAAAGTGAATTGACCGTATTTTGTGGGCGAAACGTGGCAGTCAATCGCACTCAGCAGCGTCCCCACAAACAGCCGTGGATTGAGTGACTGAATTATTATTATTCATATTATGTACTTTTTCTTGACTACTTCTAGCTTCTATGCTCTCTAAGTGAGCAGCTCGAATATGCATTGGAGCATTTCCCCACTGCAGATGTCAGGCTAACTATTCTAGAACGATCAGTCTCGACTTCTTTATTTGAACGATGGGGCAACATTTGCTGTCCTCCAGTGCACAGGTACAGCTTCAAGTAAAGTGTTTTCTTACCCATTTCTTGGAGCAGATTCCTTTTTTTGCCTGGTTGCCTTAAAGACGTTTAGTTTGAGACAGTAATTCTTCATTAACAGTCGTAACAGCTGGAAACGTTCTTTCCCTATCCTAAGGGTGGAGGTGCTTTTAATCGAAGGTTCCTGCCGGAGAAACAGCTGTTATTGCACAGCGCTCCCTCGCCAATGGGCTGAAGGATCCTAGTTTGCAACAGAACAGGCACAGCAGATATCCAACAATCAAATTTTGCCCTTATAATCATCCTGGCATTCGATACAGCACCTTATCACGTCTTCAAGACGTCCCAAAGCGCTTCACAGGGTACACTATAAAGTGCAGCGACTGTGTATTTTGTGGGCGAAACGCGGCGGCCGATTGCGCCCAGCGCCGTCCCCACAAACAGCCGTGGATTGAGTGACCCGATTATTATCACGTATTTACGCTTGAAGAGGAAGGGTGAGGAGAACACATTGGGGTTATGTCAGTCTGATTCAGTCAGTCTGGCTTCTGGAGTAGAAGGTTGTGAGTTCAAGCTCTGCCCCGGGACTTGAGATCATCATCTAGTGCTGAGGATCTATGTGAAACAGAGATCCCGTTTGTCTGTCTAACCCTGTGGTTCAGGTCATGTTAAAGGTATCATGCCGTTATTTACAAGAAAACTAAGAAGTTAGCCCGGTTTCCTAACTTAATATCCTCGGTCATATTTGCAAGAAACAACAGCTTAATTGGTCGTTCAGCTCATTGCTATTTATGGGTCATCGCTGGTGGTTCAGACGGGCTGTTGTTATATCAAATATTTGTTTATTTACTATCCAATATTTTTGGGGAAAAACGTGTTTCTTAATCTCTAGTCCTGCTTGAGGAGGTTTCAGATTTAACCCTAGGCCGAATGTGTCCAGAAACCGAGCGAATCTACATTTTATCCATGTATTTTGCATGCTGCAACACGAGGGTATCCTGGGCTGTGTAACTTTGACTATAACCTTTGCATTTATCAATACTAAGTTTGTAACCCGGGACGGAATGACACGATCGATGTGGCCGGTCAAATCGTTCAGTTCACCGCTCCAAATCGTCACTCAGCCAGACTTTCGACTCCAGTAGAGGAGCCACTTTCTTATCTGGCGCTCGCTGTGTTCAGATGGAGTAATCTCACTGCTTAGAGAATTGAAAGTCATCCATGGATCACAAGCTACAGCCATCGAACAGTTTCAGCAGGGAGCTAACAAAGAGGTGGAAAGCATAGAGTGAAAGAGAGGAGAGAGAGAGAGAATGGTTGCTTAAAACCACATTGGGGTTCTTGCTTGCAAAGTCAGAGTCAAAATTCCTTGCTCAGTACCTCGCGTTGATGTTGGCGCTGATGATTTGATCTGTTCTTGTACGTTGTTGCAGTTGAGAGATAAGATGATGAGGGCAGTGCACAATCTACCCCTCGGCTTTGTCAGACTGATGGGAGCCCGTTAAGTGGCACGCGGACACCTTGTCAAGAGGTTTTTGTTTTTGATTCCTTTCCCCCTAACATTTTCTCGTATCTCTTCCGCTCCCTCTCTGCCTCGCCGACCGACGGACAGTTAAGATTCAGAAGAGCGATCACCATCACTGCTGGGATCCCTGCGTCAACTACTGCCACACCCATCACCCAGGACACTGCAAGACACCCACTTGGAACTCAGCCAACCCTCCCTCCAACCCGGAATACTGCAAATGTACAGTAACGTGGCATGACGTGTCTGTCTGAAGTCAAACTCAATAGAGTAATGTCTTCCCCCACCTGCCCCCCCCCACCCCCGCCCTCGGTAGAACATGTTTTCTCTCTCTTTACAAGTGGTTGCATTTCTCGGTTGAGTCCTGTAGCTCAGTGGTTAGAGCACTCGCCTCGCAAGCGAGAGGACCTGGGTTTGATTCCCGGGCAGGACAGGGGGCGAAACGTTGGGCAAGTTTCCTTACTCCACACACACACACGCCTCTGTTTGCCCAGATGTAAGTAGAAACCTAGTTGATAGTCGATTAGCGGATCGTTTTCCAGGGGCAATAATCCCTTCAAAAAATATAAAATTAATAATAATAATAATCTGGTCCTTCAATCCGCGACTGTTCGTGGGACACTGCTGTGCGCCTTTGGCTGCCGCCTTTCACCGGCAAAATATGCAGTCAATTCACTTTATAGTATATTCGAAGACGTGATAAGGCGCTATATCAAATGGAAGGATTATATATTTCCTTTCCTTCACTTTTGTCTGGGTTTGTTTGAGTGAAGGCGATGCTGGGATTTTTCCCATTATGAGCGCCACCACAGCCACCACATCTGCCTCCACCAGAAATAGACTATGTCAGAGTGTTCAGTACTTCTGGTTGCCGAGAGGAGTCCCCATTTGTGACTCGGAATTTAGCAAATTGTTCCGTGTTAGACCCCAGAAGTACTTAAAGCACATACTTTTGTGGACTTTATTTTCACTGGACCATATTGCCCCAAATATTCTGCTTCAAGTGTAAATATGTTGGCATGATATATCACATTCCACACCTTCTTGGCACCTCTATATTTCTTATATTTCACCCAATTTATTTTGTTGCAATTCACAGCTATGTAGTAATAATAAATTGTATTAATGGTATATTTTAATGGTTGATCAAGTTCATTCCAGATGGACCCTTTGTGAATAATGAACCTTTTTTTTTGTTAATTTAAACTGGAAAAGCACTTTTATTCATGCACTGATTTCGAACACTGAGATGAGGAAATGCTTATTATGAAGAGAGAACAGTGAGATGCTGCTTCTTATAGTATGAATAATGAACTCACTCCATAGGAACAGGAGGAGGCCATTCAGTCCCTCGAGCCTGTTCCGCCATTCTATAAGATGATGGCTGATCTGTACCTCAACTCCAATTACCCTCCCTTGATCCCCTGACCTAACAAACATCACTCCACCTCAGTCTTGAAAGTGTCAATGGTTCCAGCCATAATCCAGAGCCTTTTGGGGGAGAGAGTTCCAGATTTCCACTACCCTTTGGGTGAGAGACTGCCTCCTGATTTCACTCCTAAATGGCTTAGTTCTAATTTTAAGATTATTTCGCCTTGTTCTGGCTTCCCCCGCCCACCAGGGGAAATAGTTTCTCTGATCCCAACTCCCCAGCTCGGTTCCAAATCCCAGACTGTCCGTCCAGCTCCTCGGGACGTCCTCCTGACACGAAAGGCGCTGCTGCGTAAGTGTAATTTGTTGTTGTTGCCGTAGTCGTAGTTGTTCGATTTTGAGTTGCAAATTCGTGTCCTTTTTCTCTCATCTCAAAACACACAGTCAATTCGCTTTACCGTGAAGCGCTTTGAGACGTCTCGGAGATGTGATAAGGCTCTGTATTAAATGCAAGGATTATTCTTCTTAGTCTTAGATCGTCTCATCTGTCTCTCACAGCTCTGGTTCCGGCCAATTACTCCCCAGCCTCATCCAGCACTCAGGGTCTCAGCTCACAGAACTCCAGCACTCTGTCTCGCACAGCACATCCGATGAGCCCTCGTGCCACCATGATGAGGAGGAGGGTGAAGAAAAAGGAACACAAGAGCTCGTGTAAGTGTTTCTTTGACCATCGCTGTTTCTTTTTAAGTTCCGTTTTCTTAAAAAGTGTCACGGAAGTTCAAGCCGTGTCTGCGTGAGGCTGCGAAGAGAACCAGTTGCAGGCTTTTTTCCAAGTGGACGTTAAATACTGATACTGTTAGAAAAAGAGAAGGGAACTTACTTTCTTCCGGTGTCCAGGCCAACAATTTTCCTGATAAGATTTGTCATTCACCCACGGCAAGGTTGCTTTTGTGAGATATTGCTGTGCCCCCGATATTCAGTCACTACAACACTTTACAGTAAAATCCTGTGAAGTGTTTGGAGAAGTTTGGATGATGTGGATAAGGCGTAATATAAAATGTAAAGNTTTTTTTATGCTATTGCTATTGTGTGTGCGCGTGTGTGTGTGTGTCTGTGTGAGCGTGCGTGTGTCTCTGTGTGCGTGCGTGCGTGTATGTGTGTGTGCGTCTGTGTGCGTGTGTATATATATATATACACGAGGGTTTCAGTGCAAGTGAAGTTGGAGAGTTTGGAGATAAATAGGGTTAAATTACCGCCTTTGCACTCATTCTATTCTGATGTATATTTATACCCTGGGCTCCGTAATCCAGTCCAGGAGGATACCTGTGAGTACAAATCTAATAAACCTTTATTTTTGCCCATATCGGGACCGAATCTCACGAAAAAGAACCTTAATTTGCAGACATTTTTCACACTGACTTTTGCGAATTGCTGTCGAGCCGCCCGCTGTAGCGCGCACATTGTACTATGGAAACTACACAGCCACCAGTGAAATTCGCAGCCAGCCGCAGACAACAGGTATCACTTCCTCCCAGTAGCTGAGCATCTTCAAATCTATCAGCACCACAGCTACAAGTGGCTCGGCAAATTATTTAAACAGCCGAAAGGTAAGAGAGTAAGAGAGGGGCAGCGAGGATATGAAGATCGTATCAGATTTGCGGAGGCGCTATTTCAGTGAGCGATCAGTAAACTTGTGGAACAGGCTCCCCTAGAGAGGCAGACGGTGGAAGCAGAAAATGTCCTTTGTTTCAAGAATAAATCAGATAGAGTTCTGATCGAAAATAATATCTCGGGATAGATACAGCGTATAGTTTGGGACGCGACACGTCAAGCGACTGCCAGGAGGGTGGGAGGTGAACTCGATGGTCTTCGTTCGCTGGGAAATTCTTACGTTCTTAAGACTTTGTCAGAGAGAAAGATGATTGGGGAGAAGCACGAATAATGTGAATGTAAACAGGTCAATGTTGTTTTTGCCCCAATTAGGGCCTCATCTAATATAACTATAACTGCAAAACTAACAATAAATATCAATATAAAATCAACCAGCCCTCTGTGAAATTGCTCTTCACTGCCACTACAATGGTCCTATAGGACAAACTGGGCTCAGATATGTATCCTCAGCACAATAGCTTGCCTCAAACGAGTCTAACAAGTGCACCTCTCCTACACTGTTGTAAATTAGATTGGTTCTAATTGTAGCTCAGTGGTTAGAGCGCTCGCCTCTAAAGCGAGAGGACCCGGGTTCGATTCCCGGGCAGGGCGAAACCTTAGGCAAGTTTCCTTACCCCACACGCCTCTGTTTACCCAGCAGTAAGTAGGAACCTGGTTGTTAAGTTCATTGGTGGATCGCTTTCTGGGGGTAATAATCATTTCTAAAAAAATAATAACAATAATTTGGTCACTCAATCCACGACTGTGCGCAATTGGCTGCCGCATTTCACCCACAAAATATCCAGTCAATTCACTTTACAATATATTTTATGAAGCGCTGTGAGACGTCTCAACGATGTGATAAGATGCTGTATCAAGTGCAAGGATTATTATTATTATTAATTGTCCTGTATTATGTAGCTGGCCGTATACAGAGCTCAATGCTGATCCCCTCTGCACCCGATGTAACTGAGCTACAAAAGTGTTCTTGTGAATTTTTTGCTGATTAAAGTGAAGGTTGGTGCTGGGAAATAGAAAGTTTTCTCCATGTGGACACCCGGTACTGACACCCAGTACTGCCAGGTTACACTGCAAAAGCTCATTTTCACAGAGTTTCTATACTTATTACAGTTCTCGGCTTAACAATGGTCAACTAACATGGGGTGAATTCAAAGACTTAACTGCTGCTATGACTAACTCTGTATATTGTCTGTGTTTGAGTGAGTTTCTCAAACTGTTGACTGTCGCAACTCATGGTAATAAGATCATTCCTATGATAAGGCGTGATAAGGCGCTATATCAAATGCAAGGATTATTATTATTATCATACAGCACAGAAACAGGTCCATTTGGCCCAACCAATCCTGGTCAGCGTTTAACTCCATGTGTGTGTCTACCCACTCCTTACACCTTTCTATTCCCTCCTCGCTCATGTCGTACAGCCTTTGCATATCGAAAAGTATTATTCTTTATTTAATTTGTCTTTCCCAGTTAGCATCCAAATGCGTCTCCATGAGTGACAAGGACCCAAGTTGTCCTACTCCAACAACATGAAAGGGGGGGGTGAAAATATTTGCCTTAGTTACTGAGACATGGCACTGCTTATGAAAAGAATAGACAGAAACCAACGCAATAGTTTGTTGCACGTAGACAGTTCCAGTCTCTTAAACTGATTCACTTTGGACACATTTCGTCCACAAAATATACAGTCGTTTCACTCTACAATATATCCTGTGAAGCGCTTTGAGACGCCTCGAAGGCGTGATTAGGCGGGTGACGTGGAGTAGGCCAGTACCTGCTGAGCGGAGGGAGCGGACAGGTAGCCTGGGATAATCTTGTGCCATCTCCTTGTGGCTGATCCAAGAGTGGCAGAAGCCTGAGGTTGTCTCACCGCAATTCCCTTCCTACCGTTCGTTTCATGGACCTCTCTTAAGACTGCTCACCTTGCCCTTTGGTGAGGGATAGGGGTCTGCAAAGAAGAGAAAAAGGTCAAACGAAGCCCCTCAAATCGGCGTGTACCGTGTAGGTACTGAGCCGCGGTGGGGAAAGAGCTAATTAGTAAGATTCTTAAAGCTATTAAGTCTTACTATTCACAGCTGCAGACAGTTTAATGGAAGATTCATGCTCGGGTTCCCCATTAATATTTATGAGATGAACTTCATGTGTCCCAAGCTAAATGTTCCAGTCCCACAGCTACACAGTCATCAGCGATGACCTCATGCATTATGAAGAGAAAATTATATGAAACAAGGCAATTATTTTTAAGTTGAATAACCTTAAAAAGAAATTACACTCTGGCTGATGATAGATAATGAGAAGGAAGACGTTTGCTTGAGCCCTGACTTTAATATATTGCGATCAATAGTGGTGAGTGGGCTGGAAAAATGTTTCCAAAAGTTCCTCCTAAGTAATGACACCACTTGCAAAGTAAGTCTTTAATTAAAGGGTCATCGCCTTCACGGAAAGACCTTTTCTTTTGGGGGGTGGGGGTGAGGGGTGGGGGGGGGGGAGGGGGGGAGGGGAGAGAAAAGTAACCGTGTTGTCAGGTGGTAGTGGTGGGATGCTGTTCTTTGATGCAATTTACATCTTCTCGTGTTCGTCCGTAAGACCAATCCCGTTTGTAGCCAAGAGCTCGCCAGCAGGACTCAGGCGGACAGATATTTGTGAGGTCAGGGCATCAAGGGCCACGGGGTGAAGGGCTGGGGGGTGGGGGGCAATTGGAGTTGAGGTGCAGCTTGGCCGTGATCTTATTATAGAATGGCGCGGTGGCCTCCAGGGGCTCAATGGCCTGTTCCTGTGTTCCTAATGTGTCCTTGAAACAGTCGTCTTTCTTTCTTTGTGTGTGTGTGTGTGTGTGTGTGTGTGTCTTCTTTCCCAATTTGTTTCGTTTTTGTTTCCTGTCTGTCCGTGTGTCTCTGTGTGTGTGTGTGCGTGTGTGTGCGTGTGCGTGTCTGCATGCGTGTGTGTGCGCGTGTGTCTGTTGTCCCCCTTTGTGTCTCCCTGCAGGCTCCTCACCGCCACCTCTCCTCCAGTCGGATGGACAGGACGGTCTGGGCCGTGGGTTCCACCATGACCGCCGTCAGTGCCATTCGCTGATCAGCCAGCAGGAGGCGCGATTGGAGCTGGGTGAGTCAGACAGCTTAGCGTCCAGGTGTCTTTCCCCTCTCTTTTCCCCCTCCTTTCCCTCCCTGCTTTCTTTTCCGGTCCCCCAATGATCATCCCTCCGAGCCGAGTAGCGATTGATAGGTGCCCAAGGGACGTAGCATCACAGCGAGCGAGTAGTAAACGTGTGGAACCGGGCTCCGGAAGGAGACAGACAGTGGAAGCAGAAAATGTTTTTCGAGAAGAAACGGGAGAGATTTCTGCTGGAAAATAATATCTCGAGATCCAGTAGAGAGTGTGCGACGCGACATGTCAAGCGATTGCCAGGATAGTGGAAGGCGAACGATGACGGACCTTGTTTTTCTTTCGCCGGCAAATCCTTATACGTTCTTATAGCTTTTAAGGAGGGAAGTTGATATTCAACGTCTTAATTTGCTGAGTATTAAAGCGATCCCATGGACTACTGCACCTGAGCTGCCATTTTATCTGTGCGCTTTGAGTACTTAATGTGCCGACGACAATCTTTTTTTTGTTGCGAGATTTCCTACTCACTTTAATCAGGAATATGCATTTTTAAGTAACGGAGGTGTAGTTGCGACATTAAAGCGACGTAACACAAACCGGTACATAATCTTTCGTAGCGTCCAGAATAGCGCCATCGCTGTGCTTTTGCCTTAAAACTCTGCTAACAAAACAAAGCGCTTTTAATTGTAAAATAGCGTTTCCTTGAAGGAAGATGTTTAACGCTTTTCTATCCACGTTTGTCAAGGCATTGCTCGTTACATGGTTGAACAGAATGATGACATATCCCAAGGTCTTGGATGTTTTGATTCACTGGCGTTGCTCCTGGAAAGGAATGATTGATCGCTAATGGATCCTCTCCACAGTTATTGGTGCTAAATCCTTAATAGAACTGTTCAGCCTCATACAACATAAATGTCATTCCTTATGATACATGGCGATGAGTAATGGGTTGATGTCCTATTGCACACAATACCAACAATTAGTCATTTCCCAGTATCTTAAAGAATGACATTGAAGTCAAAATACTTACATTAGTCTTGGAGAGAGCATCATTCTGTTCCTGAGTGCCGGTGACAAACAGTCTCCAACATTTACACAGGGCTGTTTGTTTCCAGTAAATGCCAGCTGTCTCTTTTGTAGGATTTTTTTTTTCAAATTGTTCACGGGGCTTAGCAGCAACTGGTAGCGAGAATCCCTCTATCTCTTTGAGATAAAGTGCAGAGTAAATGTACGTCTGAATGTGGACCTTCTGGGAATGGAGGTTTAGCACAAGGTTGAGACCTCGTAATTACCTCAATCCATCTGTTATTCAATCGTGTTTTGCTGCTAAACGGTGAAGAATTCTTACTTTTTGCTTGAGCAATTGCCGGGGTGCTACAGCTCGTGGCCTGAGTCAGTGGTGCCGGATACTGTCAGGATAGTGATGTGTAGACTGTTCTTGTTAAAGAATTGAGATTTTGTCTGCGGACTAAGAAGCAGGATTAATCAGAATCCGCTTGCGGAAGAGGCATTGGATAAAAATACTTCTGGTAAACCTTCAAGGGATCACCATTGGTAGCTGGATGATTCAACAACAACAACAAAATTACATGTGTAGAGCATCTTTCACATCGCTGGACAGTCAGTGTTTCAGACTGGAGCTGGGCATCGGGATTGGGGAGGGTGGAGGGCGGGGTGGGGGGAAGGAGGGTGCTCGAAAGCATGGTCGAAGAGGAGGGTCTTGAGATGGGTCTTGAAGGAGGCGAGGGAGGAGGCGAGGCGGAGGGACTGCAGGTTGGAGTTCCGGAGGGTGGGGGCAGAGTGGCAGAAGACCCACTCGCCAATGATGGGGCGAGCGAGGTGGGAGACGTGAAGCAGGCCGGGGCCCGCTGAGCGGAGGGAGCAGGCAGGATGGTAGGGGGGTTAGGAGGTCGCAGAGGTAAGGGGGAACGAGGCCATGGAGGGCTTTGAAGGTGAGGACCAGGATCTTGAACTGTATCCTCTGATTCCTGTTTGGATTGAAGGACATAGACTACCACTCCATGTGAGAAATCCCCTCCCCTCTACCCCTGAGGAATCTCCCTCACACAACTACTACTGCACTACCTCTGCCTTTCCCCCATCATGTCAGGGACGTTACCAAAGATGGCTGCTCTAGGAACTGAAATCGCACGGTGCTGTGCAAAGGGTTCGGTCTCTAGAATTGGGCACAAAAAGGTTTATTGTTGGGTAAAGTGGAGAGAATTTTACTCTCCGTCCAAACTGCAGAGTGCCGCTGTGCAACAGTGACAACAACTTGCATGTGTGCAGTGGCACTTCACGTATGACAGCGTCCCAGAGCGCTTCACAGTGGCGGAGTCTGACAACGAGTCTGGTTGTCGGTGAAACTGGTTCTAAAGAGCTCGATGCGTTGCCATTTCCCGAGCAGGGGCTTGATGAGGCACGGCAGGTTTGATGTGCGTGAGCGAAAGAGTTCCTAAACGTGTTGGATCCCTTATGACGTAAAACTTAATGCGGAAATTCAGCCAGCAGGCTGCGGTGACACCCCAACACAACACGAGGAGGCTGTGGCTTAACAAGGCCACAGGAAGCCCTGGTGCAAGACTCTGAAAATCTTGCTTACCTTTACCATCCCTATCTCTGTCTCCTCGTGTTCTCTCTCTCTCTCTCTCTCTCTCCCTCTCTCTCCCTCTCCCTCCACTCTCGGAAGCGCATCCATGATAGCGAGGTGGAGTCCTGCAGCGCAGTGGTTAGAGCGCTCGCCTCGCAAAGCGAGAGGGACCCGGGGTTCGATTCCCGGGCAGGTCGGGTCGAAGCCTCAGGCACGTTTCCTTCCTCCGCAAACACACGCGCCTCTGTTTGCCCAACAGTAAGTAGGAACCCGGTTGTTAGTTGATTGGCGGATCGCTTTTCCGGGGGTAATAATCCCTTCAAAGTAAGGCACGATATCAAACGCAAGGATTATTGGTCTGATGATGCAGCTATTATCGAAAGGGGGAGTGAGAGAACACGAGTGGTCTTGCTGGCAATGGGTTGGGGGGGGTTGTACCCCGCTAACCTCGTGGGCCCTGGGGGTGATTGCACCACTTGTAGTTACGCCACTGCAACGAGGTACGCCTAAGGAATACATTTGACTCCATCGGTATGTTTTCTGTGTGACTCCTGCTCTTAAAACGTTTGCGAAATGTTCTTTGAGGTGGATGGATATGTTAGGTCAGGGAGTCAAGGGCGGGTAACTGGAGTTGAGCTACAGATCAGCCGTGTATTGTATGGAACGGCGGAACAGGCTCGAGGGGCTGAATGGCCTCCTCCTGTTCCTGTGTTTCTACGATTGCTTCGTCAGTAATGCGGACCTCAGCTCTTGCTGCTTAAAAAGGTGTGTTAAACCTGCAGCAGGCGGGACGTACAAAACGTTAAAGTTCAGCATGGTTTCATTGCAAGAATTTTTTTTTCTTTACAGGCCGATAATTCCTCTAAGCTTCTTTACTCAGTGTCGGGAAAGGCAGCAGAGTTTGTGACGTGAATTTTTTTTTTAACCCCGCAAACGTCCGGATTCCAAAATCGTCACGGCGTAGATGGAATTGCTCGCAAAGCACGAAAGGGTTAGTGTGTTGAAAAGCAGGGCATCGGATATTTAACGCTGCTCTTTTTATCCTCTAGTATCGCTTGCTTCAAGCACAATAGGCCCTGGAGGACAGATTGTCCACACAGAAACGACAGAGATTTTTCTAAGAGGGGATCCGTTGAACGGATTTGGAATCCAACTCCAAGGAGGAATCTTTGCGACTGAAACGCTCTCGTCTCCGCCACTGATAAGATTTATAGAGCCAGACAGTTCTGCCGAAAGGTTAGAGAACAAATTACGATGATTATTGTGGATTAAAAAGAATAGTAAGAATTGATGCAAGTTAATACAAAGGGGCATCGAACGGCGGGGCCAGAGAATTGATCGAAAATACTGTGTTTTATTTGTGTTGGAGTTAGTCATTCCAGACACAGGACTAACAAAGCAGTTTCTATCAAAGGCTCATCCTATCAATTAGGAATTTCTTTGTCGACCATCACGGAATAAGAACAGAGGCGGTCGGACAGAGCGATGGCTTATAATAATAATAATAATAATAATAATAATAATAATCCTTGCATTTGACACAGCGCCTTATCACGTCTTCGAGACGTCTCAAAGCGCTTCGCAGGAAAGTGGAGTGACTGTGTGTTTTGTGGGCGAATTGCACACAGCAGCGTCCCACAAACAGTCGTGGATTGAGTGACCACATTTTTTTTTTGCTGGAGAGGTTATTACCCCCCGGAAAGCGATCCGCCAATCGACTTAGCAACCGGGTTCCCACTTGGCGCTGGGTATAAACAGAGGCAGCACCGCCTCTGATGTGATGTGAGTAGTTTCAACTGTGCCAACCCGAAATAAAGCAAGTCACAGCTCAACGGGCAAGTGAGTGAGCGCTCTGCTTTCAAGTCTCTGCCAGCCCGGCTCTGCGTGTGGCCTCTGGGATTATCGCTCAGCCCCTGGAGGAAGGAGAAAACGTACGTTTCTGTAGCGTGGCTTCATTTCGAAATGTCTCAAGAGTGCTTGGCAGATCGTGCCTGTCAACGTTTGGTGATGGGGTTTTTTTTTTGTGAGAGCCAACACAACAGCAAGGAGTGAAAGTTAGCGAGCGAGAGAAAATGGGGATGGAATTGGAAAAGTTTTGCCAAAGCCAAAAGTGAAGCAAATGGCTATTCACCCAGTGTTACCATCCCTTTCTCAAACGAGAGTAAGTCAGACGAAACCGCCAATTGCTGTCAAAACAGTTACGTACAGGACAACCCCGTCACAACCTGGTCTTCCTCCACTTCCCGCGTACAGCGCTTTTGCACAGCACGCAGGATACGACCACGGCAGTGCGTTCTGCCCGTAGCAGAGCACAGGGCGTGACATGAGTAGCAACCTGACAGCCCGGAAGTCAGACATATTTTACTGCAGTAGTAAGCCAACAAATCAGCTCCGCAGGTATCCTGCGCACAGCACTTCCGGGTATAAAACTGCTGTACACAATTGCGGATTCAAACGTTAAGCAAACCCTTTTCAACTGGAGCATGTTCGAACGGTTAAGATATCAATAAATCAATGGTTTATTGATATCTTAACATTATTACTGCCTACCTGTTATATTATTCTTAAATTGGAAATACGTTTGTAATCCTTATTTGCGAGAGAGAGAGAGAGAGAGAAGGGTGTCTATTTATTTATTTATTTATTTCAGATGAACATTTCTTGGTGCTGTTCGGTTAGGAACACTGGTTTAAACGCCAGAAAATTCCTGTGATTTGATTAAATAAAGTGCATCATTTCCACCCACTAATTAACGGTACATTTTAATTATTGTGTTTGAAAGACTATATTTAGGAACGTAATCCGCGAATTAGCAATAGAAGGAGCCCATGTAACTAACGCACTTTGAATTGATTTACAGCTACATGATACACTCCAATAATTTGATAATCGATCAATTCTTGGCTAATGGGAGTGGGTCAAAGCCAGGAGGGCGGGGTATAATAAACTTTGGCTCAGTCTTGATGTCTGCTTCACAAAATCAGGTCTGTGACCCTTGGGGGTTCATTATCTACATTTAAAATGATTGGAGATATTTTATTTTATTAATATGCTTTGTAGGGTGGCATTGACCATTTGAAAAGCTCTGACTGTCACACTGATCTCCGACTCTATCACCTTACGTGACTTTGCTGATTGACGGCATTTACACGGCATTGTTGCTGTTCCCCAACGCAGATTGTAAGATGTGGGATATGTTTTATTGTGGTTTTAGGATATTCCTCTTCCTCTCTCTACCACCCCCACACCCCCGCCCCCACACCACCGCCCCCACGACAGAGGACCTGAGCTTGAAACACCTTCAGAACATTGATTGCTGATGCCACCGTTTTTCCTGTGCTGGTTGGTTAGCACATCCCGTGGCTTCCTTAACTGCCCAGCGGGTGCCACTTCTGTCGCCTCGTCCAGTCTCTAACCGTTTCCATCCTTTTCCTAATTCCATGCAACTTCCAGAGTGAGTTTGGCTGGAAACCGCAGCAGTTGACCCCAGTCACATGCACCTAACTTTCCCAGGCCCATTCCTAGCTCACGCCAACGCTGGACTGACCACCCCCTGGAGTTGCTTGTGCTCCTCACGTCATTTTTCATACTCTCCTGGCAGTCAGTGGTTAGAGCTCTCGCCTCGCAAGCGAGAGGACCTGCGTTCGATTCCAGAGAGGGTGAAACGTTGGGCAAGTTTCCTTACTCCACACACGCGCCTCTGTTGACCTAGCAGCAAGTAGGTTGTCAGTCGATTGTTGGACCTGCTTTCCTGCGGGTAATAATCCCTTAAAAAAAAAAGAATAATTATCACTGGTGATTGAACCCACGACTGTTTCTGGGACACGGCTGTGCAGAATCAGCTGCCTCGTTTCCCCCACAAAATATACGGTCACGACACTTTGGAGCTTGGAAACGTCTCGAAGACTTGATAAGGCGCTATCTCAAATGCAAGGATTATTATTATTGTTTTGTGTCCTCCAGGCAGTGAAGCTTTCCATAGGTTGTTTCCATGAGCCAGATTACTTGAGAGGTGACTGAGCATTGATTTTCCTTGTGCGGAGACACTAATGGTTGAATATTCTCTGCCTTTTTTTCTTTCTTGCTCTTGCCTGGCAACCTCCTGGATGAAGGTGCGGGTTACTGCAGCTGGGAGACCGAGTTCTTACCATCAATGGCATGCCAACGGAGGATGGATCTCTAGAGGAGGCCAACCAACAGCTGCGGGATGCTGCTCTGTCAAACAAAGTGTCTCTGGAAATAGAGTTCGACGTGGCAGGTAAGTCCACACCTGCGCAGGTCATTCCGCATCTAGAAGAGCAATAACAACAACAAATTGCATTTACATAGCGCCCTTCACATCGGGAGGACGTCCCAAGGTGCTGGACAGCGAAGGCTTTACACCTGAGCTGGGGGTTAGAGTCAAGACGGTGGAGGGCAAAGAGGGGTGGGAAGATGACCGAAGGCACGGTGGAATAGGAAGGTCTTGAGACTAGGCCTTGGAGGAGGCGAAGGAGTGGGGTGGGGGGTGGTGGAGGGACTCCAGGATGCAGTTTCAGAAGGTGAGAGCAGAAACCCTGAAGGCCCAGCTGCTGATGGTGGAGCGGGCAGAGCAGGGCAGGGGACACGGAGCAGGCTAGTGCCCGCTGAGCGGAGGGAACGGGCAGGTTGGTAGAGTTTTAGTAGGTTGCAGAGTTTTAGTAGGGAGGAGCGAGACCATGGAGTGCTTTAAAGGTGAGGACGAGGATCTCGAACTCGATCCTCTGGTGGGGATGGAAGCGGGAAGCTGACATTCCTTGTGTATCCCTTTGTTGGAACTGCTCGTGGGGAAGCTGGAGCACAATAAAAAAAGATTTCTAACAAAAGCAAAATATTTGGGTTTTTATGCCGTTTCTTCTGTGCTTTTTTTTATTTCTACAGAGTCCGTGATCCCAAGCAGTGGAACCTTTCATGTTAAACTTCCGAAGAAGAGAGGGGTTGAGCTGGGAATCACCATCAGTTGTGAGTAAAATCTTGTACCAGCTCAATCCTCACTTGAGGAAAATTTGGTTCAAACTATACAGCCCAGTGGATCCTGGTTTGATCAATTTGTCGTGAGAATAGATCTATACGGCATCATGGACTAGGCTTTGGGATCCTTGTTAAAGGAATGTCATGCGGTGATGAATGACTTCATTAAGATAACGAGAAACTGTGTTGGGACTCTGCAACTATTTTCATCCCCATCCATCATTGCCTCTTTCTCCCGAGTTCAAGTACCAGAGGCTCTAGATTGGGGAGGGTTAGAAAGGAAAATGTAATCTACAGTTAATAGTGTCATTACTTTCTTTACATTATTAATTTGATTTTTTTTAATATATAAATATATCGCTCTTCCCAAGTGCAGAGACATATTTCCGGTGGGATTTAGGAATCCTTTAGATTTTCGCCCGTAAAAAAAATACAGTCAATTCACTTTACAGTATATTCTGTGAAGCGCTTTGAGACGTCTCGAAGACGTGATGAGGTGCTATATCAAATACAAGGATCATTATTATTAGAATTGAATCCAGGACCTTTTTGAAGGATCGACCTCGTACTTCAGAATGCTTTATTGCGTTCAGAATTATTCCTACAAAAGGCAATTTTCCAAGCTTTGCCATTGATTGCAGTTGGTTGGGGCAGGAAGCACATGGATTGTTGCAGATGAAACCTTTGCGTTCAATCAACATGGAAGAAAGGGATATCAATAATCATCAGTTAATGGTTTAAGTTAGAAAGGAATTAATTTCCACCACAGAAATTGACCGCTTTGAATTCTACAACACTGCCATGAACACCTTCACTACCCCAATGGTGCAAAACAACAGCAACAACTTGCATTTACACAGTGCCCCTCACTCAGTGTAGCGTCCCAGAGCGCAAAACACCTAGAATGACTGCTTTGCACATGAATGAATATGTAACTCGATCACATTAACTCCTTCCATGTTCTGTATCAGTCTGCATTGCTTGTGTCAAATGCTCTTCCTCACCGAAGAGTACGAACCCACCCCCAATGTTATCCTGCTAACAAGAGTCCTTCGACCTGTTTGTGTTTGTTACTTCTGAGTCGATGGAGAGGGAGTGTAGTGAGTAAATGTCTATGCAATGTTGATGTGAAGGGAGCTGGTTTAACGCTAAGTCTCAATCTGAAATGGTAGGAGGCAACATTGCCAGTAAATACTTTGGTATGCTTCTGGTGTTTAAACCTCTTATTTCCCTCGATCTTTTTCATGTGTGATCTATTTTTCACCCAGCAGCTGTCAGCCGGAAGCCTGGAGATCCACTAATCATATCTGACATTAAAAAGGGGAGCGTGGCACACCGGTATGTACTTCACCATATAATAATAATATTAATGATAATATTAATGATGATGATAATAATAATGGCACGAACGATTAATAATATTAAGAATATCAATAATATTAATGACATTAATACTATCAATAACAATCACAATAACCTTTACATTTGATATAGCGCCTTATCACGTCGCCGAGACGTCTCAAAAATGGAGTCGCTGTGTATTTTGTGGGCGAAACGCGGCAGCCAATTGCACATGGCAGCGTCCCACAAAGAGTCGTGGATTGAAGTGACCAAATTATTATTATTTTTTTTTTTAATTTGTATTTCTGACAGAGGGCAGGAGCAGCAGACAAATTAGCCTGTGCTACAATTCACAACTAGTTGCGATATTGGAAATCTTTTACAGATTTTAATGTGCATTTGGGAGCCAGATACCTGTGAGCTTCTCTCCCGGCTCTATAAATACAGCATTAATCTCTGAAACTGTTGCACTTGGATTTGTTCCTCTTCCAACAGTGTGCTGTTCTAAGCTGCCATATATTTTCTCTCAACAGAACTGGGACTCTCGAGCCTGGAGACAAACTCTTAGCAATTGATAATATTCGGCTGGAGAACTGTTCAATGGAGGATGCTGTGCAGATCCTACAACAATGTGAGGAGCTCGTCAAACTGAAGGTTCGAAAGGATGAGGACAACTCAGGTATTCCTTCAGATAATAATCCTATATACTAATCCTCGCATTTGATACAGCATCTTATCACGTCTTCGAGACGCCTCAAAGCGCTTCACGGGATCCACTGTAGGGTGAACCGACTGTATATTTTGTGGGCGAAACGCGGAAGCCAATTGCGCACAGCAGCGTCCCCACAAATAGCCGTGGACTGAGTGACCAAATGAGTGTTGAAGGGATTTTTGTTGAAGGGAAAAGCGATCTGCCAATCGACTAACAACCGGGTTCCTATTGACTGCTAGGTAAACAGAAGCGTGTGTGTGGAGGAAAGAAACTTGCCCAATGTTTCGCCCTGTCTGGGAATCAAACCCAGGTCCTCTCGCTTGCGAGGCGAGTGCTCTAACCACTGAGCTACAGGACTCCACACACCCCCAAGTATCAGGCTTTCAAGCTCAACTTGGATGCACTATGGGCGTTGTTCTACTGAATCAAATGGTTTCGAGGATGCTCCTTGAGCACATGTCCTGTAGCTTAGGATAGTTCCGGTTTCAATGACATGTGCCTCTTTTCCAGATGAACAGGAGAGCACCGGCGCCATAATATATACTGTGGAACTAAAGAGGTACGGTGGCCCCTTGGGAATCACCATCTCTGGGACCGAGGAGCCCTTCGATCCCATCATCATCAGTGGACTTACCAAAAAGGGACTGGCCGAAAGGTAGGTGTTCTGTACTAAGCACCAACCCATGCTTTTTGTGTTCATCATGTTTTTTTTACTGTTTTCCCCCCATTATGCAGTCCCAGCTCAGGTTTGGCATTGACCTAGATCAGGGTGGTCCAACTGATGGCCCGTGGTCCGTATCTAACACTCCCCCGCTCCCCCCCCCACCCAACGCCGCTCCTTCTATTTCATCTGTCCCACCCGCTCCCTCCATAACCCGTAAATGTTACATTAAATGTTTTGCTCTTCTCTCTTTTTTTTCCTGTTCAAAAGGACGGGAGCCATTCACACAGGGGACAGGATATTAGCCATTAATAACGTGAGCCTTAAGGGCAAGCCACTGAGCGAAGCCATCCACCTGCTCCAGATGGCTGGGGAAACGGTAACTCTCAAGATCAAGAAACAAGCAGATCGTGAGTAACCTAATGCTCGGGGAGACAGACACCTCTGCGTGTATTTGTCGAAATGTGGCACAAACGATTTCACATGTTAATCGTTGTTACATCTTTGTCCTTGAAACTCTACCATCAGCCCTGGAGCTGCTGGGAGAACAAATCGGGCGGTCGAGAGCCAATTAGGCAAAATTAGTTGTTAGTCGGATGAGAGACAGAGAGAATTGCTTGTTGATGCTTCAGGCTTCACCCCAAACCTGTCGTCCACACTGGGTAATCCAAGCATGGGATTGGAATTTAGGCACAAGGAACCATAGTGCTCCCTCCTCTCCCGGCGCCACCATCCGGGCCATTGAGCAGCAGGATTGGAAACCCAACTATATTCCATTGTGACCATGTTTCCATATCTCAACAGGGTTGTGTGTGTTTTGTTTTCATTCAATTCACTTTACAGCGTAACCCGTGAAGTGCTTTGAGACGTCTCGAAGACGTGATAAGGCGCTGTATCAAATGCCAGGATTGTTATTATTATTATTCCTCCACCTCCCCCTTCTCAATTTTCTCTCCTCCTCTCCTGAAGGTTCTGACTTCTGCCAGGGTATAGTTCCCAGCCCACCACCACCTTATCCCATTATTCATTTGAGAGCATGGACAGGACAGTCCGTGTTGGCAGATTCTTCCACCCATGGAAGGACGTCGCAGTTGTTCCAAATCTTCTAACCAGACACCCACACCCACACAGGGGGGTGAGCTCTCTCCTGCAAGTGGTGTTCCCGGACTCCGGCTCAGGCGGCTTGTGTTCTGTGTGTGCCATGGTTCCCTGCGGATTCCCCTGCTGTTCCCCTCCATTAGCTGTGACACCGGGCTCCATCAGTCTGTCTTTTGTCTGCCTGGGGGCAGGGAAATAAATCTACTGCATTGAGCCCTGAGGCATCTGAATATCCTGGTGAGGAGTCCTGCACGCGGTATCAATTCTAACATAGTAACTCGGTGTCATTATGCCGACACCGAAGAAACAGATCAAACAGGTCTGATCATGACTTGTCCTTATGGAAACTTAAAAAGTCTTTACATATTTATTTATTTGAGGCATCTCTTGGCCTCGGCAGGGAATCCTCTGCCATGAGTGTAGCTTCTTATTTTATTTTATGACACTGTGAGGGATGCTAGTACTGGGGAATGAAACACTTTTCCCTTCTGATCACCCTTTGTCAGCGTCAATCAGTTCGAAATCAGGCCCTGGTCTTGTTAGATATGGAGTAGATCTCCCAGTGTCAGAAGAATTCTGCCTTTTTTCCACCAATGTGACAGTTTCCATTTCTCAACCCTTGTGGGTCTCACGAAGGCAAATTTGTGTTGAATTGGGGATGGTTTGATTCTGTCAGCGCCTGCCCACTAGAAGCTCAATTACAACACAGAAGTCGCTGGGAACGGGCAGCAGGTCAGGCAGCATCGATGGAGAGAGGAAACTGAGTTAACGTTTCAGGCCTATGTATGACCTTTCGTACGGTAAAGTGTAGTGACTGTGTATTTCGCAGTCCAAGCTGTGTTGGACATCAGGCATCACAGGTGGAAGGGCGATGTGCTAACCCACTGCTCTACGCAGTTCTCCCTCAAAATATATCCATGTTTTTAATTAAAAACAAGTCTCTTTGAAACTCTGCATCATGCACCATTATCCATTAACACCTAGGATGGGGTGGGGTGGGATGGGGTGGGCTGAGGTGGGCTTGGGTGGGGTGGAGGGGTATCTTTCAGGTGAATATCAAAGGTTATTGTAGGGCACGCAGGAGGAAACACTTTTTTTTCTCTCTCCAAAAACAATAGTCAAGCCGAGGACACATTTTGTTCCAGGAGCTTTAGCAAAGAAGACGTCGGGGGCCGTGAGCGAGCTGAGCGACCCGGAGGACGAGCTCCCTGACTTGCAGAAAACCAGTAAACTCTCCGAGATCTATTCCGCCACCATTCCGAGTGTGGACAGCGCCATGGAGTCTTGGGATGGCTCAGGTATTGACTGTGGATTCGGAAGCCAAGGTGAGCTCGCTGGAGGTCCTTCTGTATGTAACGCTGTGTGAGAGGGACTCAAGCGCTCTGGGACCCTAGCCCGCGTGAAGGGCGCTAGAAAAATGCAAGTTGTTGTTGTTAACACACACTGTGTACATTACAGAATATTGCACTGTGTATTACAGGGACTAGCACACGCCCTGTGTATATTCCTGAATATTGCAATAAGCGATGAACAGATGTAATATAATGTCAAGGATCGGTGACCGTGCTTTCAGCCAATGTCCCCTGAAACTCTGGAACACTCTTCCTCTATCCCTCCGCCTTGCCCCTTCCGTCCTTCCGTCCTTCCGTCCTTCCGTCCTTCCGTCCTTCCTTCCGTCCTTCCTTCCTTCCTTCCTTCCTTCCTTCCTTCCTTCCTTCCTTCCTTCCTTCCTTCCTTCCTTCCTTCCTTCCTTCCCTCCCTCCCTCCCCATCTTCAGATTGCACCTGAAGACTCTCCTCTTCGACCGTGTCTACAGTCACCTCCCTCCGCCGCGCTCTGGGACGCTGCCCTGCTTGAGGGGCGCTGTGTAAATACAAGTTGTTGTTGTTGTGATTGTAACAGTTCCTCTGTGTGATTTTCCAGTTCCTGTCAGTCAACAAACTGCAGGCATCGTTCTTCATCCTCACGAATGGCAGAACACAAGGCAACTTAGCACCACCCCACCCCCGGCTAGCCAGAGGAAGAACTATCCTTATGTTGATGGGGGATTCAGTGAAGAGGAGTGGGACAAGCCAAGTGGGTAAGACATTAATTTCCCCCCTTTGACACACAGCACATATGAGTAGCTGGAATCCTTCACCCAAAGCACTGAGTGGAGCCACTTTTGTTGCAGCCCTGGGAGTTTTACGCTTGTTAATTATCCAGGCATGGATTGCGGGGATCCAAACACATTTTTTGTGAGAAGTTTTTTTTACCCAGAGAGTTGTTATGGTCTGGAGCGCACTGCCTGAGAGGGCGGTGGAAGCAGACATGATAATAACTTTCGAAAGGGAATTGGATACTTACATGAAAAGAAGAAAAAAAAATTGCAAGGGTATGGGGTAAGAGCGGGGGGAGTGGGACTCTTTCAAAGAACTGGCGCAGGCACAACGGGCCGAATGGCCTCCTGTGTTTTGTCCTGTCGTCGTAAACAACGCACATTAATCACACAAAATTAACGTAACAGTACATTTCATTCAGTGTCTGCAACGTGTGACACCATCCCTGTGGGTGACAGAGCTTTACCTCTGGGAATCCATCCCCTTAATCTGTCTGCTTGCTCGCCAATATATGCCCCCCTCTCTCTCTCTCTCTCTCTCTCTGACTTTCTCTCTGCCCCCACTGTCTTGTCAGCATTGCATCTCCTTGCCATGACTCAGTTGTGTCCGCTTGCATCTCTCTGTCTGACTCCTTCTGTGCGGTTATACCAACAGCAATCTATGTGTGCATCTTTCTCTGTCATCTGTGTTGCTGCAGTGAATGCAGGGAAGCTGAGTGGAAAGGGGCTCGAGACCAGATCAGCAGATCAGTAGATTGACCATGTTAACCATTCAATGCCTTGTAACCAAAAAAGCTTCCATAATAGGTGAAACAGCCCACTTCCAACACCGGCCTGGTTAATTTTTAAAATGACATGAGGTTATTGAGCCGTAGCAAGACTTTTTATTTAACTGAGGCTATCAGAAATAAGAATGATAATCCTCGCATTTGACATCTCAAAGCGCTTCACAGGACACCCTGTAAAGTGAACTGACTTGTATATTTTGTGGGCGAAACGCGCGACAGCCAATTTCGCACAGCAGCGTCCCCACAAACAGCCGTGGATTGAGTGACAATTTTTTTTAGAAGGGATTATTACCCCCGTAAAAGCGATCCGCCAATCTACTAACAACCGGGTTCCTGCTTATTGCTGGTAAACAGAGGCGTGTGCGCGTGTGTGTGGAGTAAGGAAACTTGCCCAACATTTCGCACTGCCCAGAAATCAAACCCAGGTCCTCTCGCTTGCGAGGCGAGTGCTCTAACCGCTGAGCTACAGGACCGAGCAAACGTAATGTACAAAGGTCTTTGAAGCAGCCATCATACACGTAGCTTTTCAAAGCTTATTTAATGTTGGGTGATTGAGTTTCACTTGCTCTGCTTCGGATTCTCACCCTTCCTAGTAGGACTTTGAATCCTTCCCCCCCCCCCCACCCCTCTCTGCTTGCTGCTTCCTACTTCCGAGTAATTTCCACAAATATGCTCAACCCTGTTTCCCAATCCTAAATGATTCATGATCAGAGTTGTGTGGTCCTCATTTTCACACCCTGTCCGTTACATTGTGTGTTCTTCTCTCTTTTCTCAGGTTTCAGATCTGAACTCTTTCCCACCAAAACCTTCATACTCTAACCTTCTGTGAGGCTCCTGGCTTTCCTCATTCCGCATACTCTTTTGCTTCCGTGTCTCTCACCCACCGTCCTAACCAAACCCAGAATATTCCTTGCGATGTCTTTTTCCGAACCTTAATTTTTAAAAAAAAAAACGAACTCCCTTGTTGTTTGGAGGAATTTCGCCAGTCACCGCAGTCACTTGCATGCACGTCTCCAAAAACTAGGCCAAATGAACTGTGTGTGTCTTTTCCCGTTTGACAATGCTGTTCGTGATATATCTAAATACGAAGACTCGCTACTTATTGGGAAGCTTCCTCTGACCTCCCTTCAGCTCAGACTGTAAGAGAATTGCTAAGGGAGCTAACTTTCTGCATGGCCATTGACAACCTGCCTGTGTCTGTGTTGGTCGGTGAGAGACTAGACGAGAAGATACTGATCATTTGGTTCGTACGTTAAACAGATATCTTAGCCACCACAACGGACTCGATCCAGACCAGGAAGAAAAGTTTTGGTCTCAGGCTTTGGAAGATTTAGAGACTTGTGGACAATCGGAACTTTTGAGAGAAATTGAGGTATGTCTTTTATCTCGCTTGCATTTTTTTTTAACACGTATCTTTTTGGGGCGGAGTGGTGGGGGGGGAGGGGGTGTGGGGGGGTTGGGAAATTCATGGTTTCTTTTTCTTAAAGGTTCTTCAAAACCGGATGCGTTCAATCCCTTGGACGGTCGGTGTTCCACACATCCAGTTTTTAAACATAAAGATCTTCGACCGTGTCTTCGGTCACCCTCCTACCCCCAACTCCCCCCGTGCCCTCCACCCCTCCTGATCCCAACTCACTGTTGTTGTTGTTGTTGTTGTCTCATTGCAGAGAGAGGAGGAATTAAAACTAAGAATTACTGAGACCAAACCTGGCGTTTTATGCAATAGACTCGATGCGATGTTAAGGATGGAATATTTTATCTTAATGTTATTCCCTTTGGGCAGTGTTTTATTTTTTTATCACTGAGCAGCAAACCTCACTACACATGAAAGCAATGTTCCAAGTCTAGGAGGGACTTGGACTTCATGGAGTTGAGTTGCAATAAAGAAAATAATCTGGATATAGCTTATGTAACGCTCCCATCATGTGGATCTGGCAGTTGATGTTCTAAAGCAGGTTTAACGCTACTATTGGGGACATTTGGAGTTGGACAATACACCACAGGCCCGAGCGCCTCATGGTCTTAAGATCATCGTTTTAAAACTCATGATCGAGTAAGATCTTTAAACATTCTTAAATTCCGACTCAATTTGGAAGCCTGTTTTCCGCAGTTCTTACAAAGACAAGATGGTCTATTACAATATAAGTGGTTGCCTCCCCACCCCCCCCCCCCCCCCCCCCCCCCCACCCACACACACACACACACACAGGCGTGTATTGAGTGCGGCCTCGGCTCGAAAGTTAAACAGTATTAATAATAATCCTGGCATTTGTTACAGCGCCTTATCACGTCTTCGAGACGTCTCAAAGCGCCTGACGGGATACACTGCGAAGTGAATCGACTGTGTGTTTTGTGGGCGAAACGTGGCAGCCAATAGCGCTCAGCGACGTCCCCACAAACGGCGGTGGAATTGAGCGACCAAATTATTATTTTTGATATTATTTTTGGACGGGATTATTATTATTATCATTATTATAACCCCCAGAAAAGCGAAAATTTCTCGGTGACTAAATTTTTCCTCTTCGATTTGCTTTTGTTTTTATCCGCTGGCCGGACACCTGTTTCCTCCCCTGTGAAGGGCTGCCACCTCCAGCGCCAGTGTTTGGCAAACCCTTTCATGTGTCCAAACACGCAGCGCGAAGACGTAAGTTTACTTTCAACCCCGTCGTCTCGCCGTCATCGTTGTCGGAAATCATGCACACTTCGACCGATGACCGAGTTGAATGATAGCCGCCGGCTGGTGAGATACTGATCCTCGTCGATCTTGGAAGCCCCCAAGTTTCATCCCTGGTCTGAGCTTAACTCGGGTTTGGCCTCGGCTGTTTTGTCCAGGACAGTGTTTCGACGGCTGCTCTGTCTTGTGTTCAATTAAAAAAAAAATTCTGCCACTCGATCTCAGATCAACTCAGCCCAGACCAGTCATAGAACCTGGAGCCTTCCCTTGTCGGCCAGGCTCAGTCTAACTCCAGCCGGTGTAATTCCCTGCTAATCCATCGCGGAAATGGGCTTCGTTGTGTTACCGATTCTAACTGACGAAGCGTTTTCGCTCACAGTGACATTGACGGCATTGATCAGCTCTGAACGAGGTTCCTCTACGGACATCCGTTTATTACCTTGATCATGTCTTGCTCCAGGCAGGGCTCCTGCTGGCCTCCAGAACCTAACAATGTTATCTACCGTTGCAACGAAAAAAGCTCTACCTTGTCTCTTTATCTCCTCACTTGCACGAGAGTAGAACTGAGGCAGACTGTCGCTCTCAGTCACGTTAGGGAGCCGTGGAATCCGATGGTGGGCAACGGCACTTCTGCTCCCGACGGTTTTGCTGTGACTCATTCTCCCCGTAATCTCTCTGCAGGCTTCCATAATGACCGGGAGCGCGCTCAGCTTGGGCATCGAGGGCCATCCTCCGCAGTCCGCCAGCCAGTCAGGATTGGGCGTAACCAAGGCCGAAGGTTCACGGGAGTGCGGGGAGGGGCAGAGCGAGTGTTCGGTGGCGACGACGCTCGAGAAGGAGAAAAGCTCAGAGCTGAACAGGATCAAGGAGCAGATGAAGGAGATCATGTCTCCGACTCCAATGGAATTGCACAAGGTCAGTCCTCACAACAACAACAACTTGCATTTATATAGCGCCCTTCATGCAGGGTAGCGTCCCAGAGCGCTTCAGAGGGTGGGCTGAGCTGGGCGGGGCCATTTCAGTCAAACTGAGTATCTGTTCTTTAATGGGAAAGAGTGAATTGTGACTTGGGATATTAATAATATTAATATTCCCAGCATTTGATAAATAGGCTGATCACGTCTTCGAGACGCCTCAAAGCGCTTAACGTCGGGGAATGGAATGCACGTTTTCAACAGCTTGTGGGTCTTGAATAATTCTTATGATCGGCCGCAACTTCAGCGATAGGAGAGGACTGATATGGACGGGATCGACACAGTCTGGGCCCATTATCAGAGCGATTACTCCGGCCCCCACCAGAGCGAAGCTGCCCTTTTTAAATGTGCAAAAAAGATGGCGGTTTCTTTTAACAACAATCCTGTTCTCTCTGCAGATCATAATCGAGAAAGGCTCTCAGAACGAAGACTTTGGGTTCAGCATCTCTGATGGCCTTTTGGAGAAAGGGGTTTACGTCAACTTGATCCGTCCAGAGGGACCCGCAGATCGTAACGGACTTCAGCCGTACGACCGGATCCTGCAGGTAATAGAGACTCAAACAGTCGTGAAAGGTGTCGGACACTGAATTTTTCTTAAATCACCTTTATTATAGCACAATACGTAAAAGATTTCATCTTTTGGTCAGTCAGATAACATATTTCATACATTTCTTGCCTTTCCCAAAGAGTGTGGTTTCTTGAATAAGTGGGTGCGTCAAACAACAACAATAACAAATTGCATTTACACGGCACCTTTCACGTCGGGAGGACACCCCAAGGCGGTGGACGGTCAGGGATTTGGACCTGATCAGGGAGGGTGGAGAGTAGGGAGTGTAGGTGTGGGGGGGGCAGAAGGCACGGGCGAAGAGAAGGGTCTTGAGATGTGCCTTGAAGGAGGCGAGGGGGGAGCGAGGCGGAGGACTTCAAAGACAACAGCAAATTGCATTTCTCTAGCAGAATTCCCGAGTGTATCTGGAGCAAGGCAGGAGACCTACTGAGGCCATTCAACCCATTGTGTTAGCGCCGCTATAACATATTAATAATGGGTTTGAAGAGTACATTTCTCCTTCTGAGTGATGAGATGTGACCATTGTCTGGGTGTGTGACAGGTCAACCACGTGAGGACGAGAGACTTTGACTGCTGCCTGACGGTCCCTCTGATCGCCGAGTCCGGCGACAAGCTGGAGATGGTGGTAAGCAGGAACCCGCTAGCCATGACCAGCCGAGCCAAGTCCGAGGACTGTGAGGAGACCCGGGTCGGACATCGCCTCCTCCAGACCTCAGAGAGCGCGGACATCAGGAAGAACACGAGAACACTGTGACCGGACAAGACTGAGCAATCCTGATGCTGGAAGATGTATTTCCAATGGTGCTACTCCTTTGCCATTGCACGTTTCCCTCCCTCCCTCCCTCCCTCCTTCCTTCCCTCCCTCTCTGCTCACCTGGAGGACATCATTTGTTATTGAGCATTTTGGACAATATCAAGAGGGAGGGCATTTCGAGCAGCTTGGCTTTTTCGCTCCCGCCTAATTCCATCTCGCCCCATCTGTGGTACGTGTAGCAGTTGTACTGTTGCTGGGAAGGTTTTAAACTCCCTTCAGTGTTTTTATTTTATTAAAATAATCGTAATTCGGTCACCCAATCAAAGACTGATTGTGGGATGCCACCGTGCGCAATTGGCTGCCGCGTTTCGCCCACAAAATACACAGTCACTACACTTGACAGTGCATCCCGTGAAGCACTTTGGACGTCTCGACGACGTGATCAGGCGCTGTAACAAATGCAAGGATTATTATTATTTTACAGAGAGGGTAGGGTTTGGATTTTTTTTTTGCTTGACCGATCTAATCGCCCATCAAAGGTCTCCCCCCTCAGGGAATGCGATGGACATTTCATCTCTCGGGAGAGGGAAGCAACAACAACAACAACTTGTGTTTGTAGAGCGCCCTTCGCATGGGGTAAAGTCCCGAACCGCTTGAAAGCAAGATAAATGCTTTGTGGTGTGAGGTTTGGGAGGGGGCAAAGAATTGGGGGAGTGGGGGGGTTGGGGGTGTGGGGGCAGAGCGGGAAAAGACGTCACTTCGCTGCTTAACTCCATCAAAGCGACAGTAGTTGCGGTAAGTACACCCTTTCTTTGTTCCTCCCGATGTCTGACGGAGAGGAGAATTCTAGTATGAATGAAATAAAATTCCCATTGTAACGCGGAGGTCGGTGGGGGTGGGGGGAGGAGGGAAGGGGGTTCAGAGACGCACCCGAACATCGAGCGGAAATCCTTTTTCTTCCTAACGACGTTGACACTCAAGCACAATTAGCGGAACTCGGACATGCCTGGTCTCAAGAGATACACCTTTCGTTTTTCCTATCGAAAATTGTGGACCATCTACATGGCGGGATGTGTGAGGCTTCTTTATTTTTGCCTTAAAGACATTTTTGTTGCATCTAGATATATATATATATTTTTTAAAAATCACCCGCTAAATATGTTAGCAGCTATTTTAGCACCGACTTATCGAAATCCACTCTTTGGAGAGGGGATGAGTTGGCAGTGGGTTCATGTCCTCCCAAGTGCAGTCAGTATTATCCCACTGCAAGACAAGCCCTACTTACAATAGCTCTCTCTCTCTCTCTCTCTGTCTTTCGCGATGACCTTTCTCCTAGACTCTGCCCTCAACCCCAATCCGGTGGTATCCAACGCCTTCCTTTGCTTATTTGTCACGCAATAAATCAATCAATCAATAGCAAGAGCAGTAAATATTTTGGTTTGTGTTCGTCCGTTGGTAACTAGTTTCACGTTGTGCGTTTTTGGTCTCACCGAGTTTGCCTGATTTGGTTTAGCTATTGGGGGAAATGGAGTGAAGACCCTTCGAGAGCCGAGGCCAAGAGAGAGAGAGGGAGAGGGGGGCGGGGGTGGGGGCTGCAATAAACTCATGGTGTAATATCTATCAGCCAAACAGGGGTTTACTCCCTCACCCATCGCTCCCTCGACTCCACCCCACTTACATTGCCCGTCAGTGTTTCAGCACCAAGTAGCTGAGTCCTGTAGCTCAGTGGTTAGAGCACTCGCTTTGCAAGTGAGAGACCTGAGTTCAATTCCAGGCAGAGGGTGAAACCTTGGGCAAGTTTCCTTACTCCACACAGAGCCTAATAATAATCCCTCCAAAACCAAAAACAATAATAAATTGGTCATTTTCAATCTACGACTGTTTGTGGGACATTGCTGTGCGCAATTGGCTGCCGCGTTCGCCCACAAATATACAGTCAATTCACTTCACAGTGTGTTCTGTGAAGCGCTTTGGGACGTCCTCCTGACGTGAAAAGCGCTATATCAAATGCAAGGATTATTATTATTATTATTAAGTACCCGTTGATTGACTCTCACTTGTTCGTGCTGTTCATGCTCATTCGAATACCTCAGTCTCTCCATCGTGTTGTGGCAACTGCTTCCCCTTCTCGATGTTCTGTCCGAGCAATTGACCTGCAGCCACTTTCTTTCCCGATGACAATTTCTGCCATATTGCAATGTGCCATAATCTAATGTACAGTAGTGTTAATAAATCCAATCTGTCGCTGGGGAAGAGAAGCAGATACAGGTTTCCCGATAGACCGATTCATTGCCGGTGACTTGAAAAGTTACTGGTTTTAAGTATTTCGAAAAAAAAATATATTAAAAGGCTTTAAAATGTGTCCTATTGTTTTACCCTATGCATTTGAAGTAACATTACTGTTAACAGCTGTGGAAACTGATGCATCCTTAAACATGTATTTTTAAATGTGTAATACGAAATGGTTTATGCTGTATGCTCTCTATATTATTTTTATATGAATTTTTCTTAATCACCTATTATAGCACAATATTTAAACGTGACAGACTTAATCTTTTGGTCCAATGAGATATATTGTTAATATATTTCTGTATGAAGGGAATTGCAATGACGAGTTTTTTTTAATGCAATAAAAAAAAAGATGGAACTTAAGTGAGCGAAGAATCAGGGACTGTTAATTCTGTGGGACATTGTGAAGATTTTCTGACTCAAACCAACCATTCTAACTCTCGTGGAATCCTGTAGCTCAGTGGTTAGAGCGCTCGCTTTGCAAGAGAGAGGACCTGGGTTTGATTCCCGGGCAGGGCGAAACCTTGGGCAAGTTTCCTTACTCCACATGGCTCTGTTTGCCAAGCAGTAAGTTGGAACCCCGTTGTTCGTTGATTGCCAGATCGCTTTTCCGCAGGTAATAATCCCTTAAAAAAATAATAACAATTTGATTTACAGTATAACCAGCTTTGAGATGTCTCGAAGACGTGATAAGGCGTTATATCAAATGCAAGTATTATTATTATTAATATTAAACCCCTGACGTGCAATGACTAAATATTTCCAGCTGACGCAGGTCTCTCAGTGACAGCTCCTCTGAATGTGTGTTATGTGGTGTGTAGAAGATGACCGGCGGCTGCAAGATGCTGCAGTGTGTTTGTGCCAACTCTTGTCAACAGTGCCGCACGTGCACTACATACTGTGTAAACGATGTCCGGTTGTTGTCTTTGTGCCAACTTCTGTGCGCGCGCGCGTGTGTGTGTGTGTGTGTTGGTGTGTGTGTGTATTAAGTGTTTTTTTTTTAATTGAGAGATCTAAGTGAGGAGCTAAGGCTATTAGATACCGACAGGAGCGGAAAGTGGAAAGAAAGTACGATAGCTCGAGAGTGATTGAATGCATTTCGCTTGAAAGAGAAAGAGAAACCAAAAGAAGGTAAGGAGTCTCTTCCTATCGAGGTGCTGGTAAAGACAGAGTTGGGGCAGGTGGAATAGGAGTGCGATGAGTTGATTTTGACACCAGGAGGAGGAAAATGGTGCTTCTCCAGCTTAAGGGGAAACCAAGAAGCATTATAACCAAAGTACATTCAAAGATAAAGTGAAGGATTTAATATATATATATATATATTCAGATCATTTATATCTCACAATTCTGAATGACAATCTGTTAGAGTTGAAGACGTATCTACATGTTTCACCCACAAAACATAGTCAATTCACTTCACAGTCTATCCCGTGAGCGCTTTGAGACGTCTCGAAGACGTGATAAGGCGCTGTATCTAATACCCACACCTCTTATTCAACAGGATTGCTGTTGAAGACGATATGACAGAGATAGAGACCCTATATCAAACAGAGGAATTACCTGATGGAGCGCACCAACTTTTGCTCAGCACTGTAATGATTCCTGCAAAACTCAGATTAACGGTCCTGAATAAGAAAACCATGAAATTTCAAGGCATTGCACTGCCATCTGGAGACTAGATGCGTCTTTACAGTTGGTGAATTTTTCCACAGTAGATTTTATCTCCTCATCGTTCCTGTTGCATATCAGCTAATTCACCTTCGCCTCGGAATCAAACCTACATATTTCCTAAGACTGTTCAGTTTAGCTTCACGCCGTGTGGTGTTTTACTCAGTTACCCCAAACCCCGTGTCCTGTCCTTTGAATGATTATCCGACGTTTTTTGCCCCAATAACAGTTGGCACTGGTGCTGGTACCTGTCACGCAGTGAGTCACACAATCACTTTGTATTGAGTGAAATTGGCGTCAAAGCAGTCGATACAATCCAACTTTGTCATCGTACTGTAGCTGGGATCTGGCCTTGGATCTAATCCCATCATCTCCTTGCATTTGGAGAGAATGGAAGGGCCATCATAGGACAGTGGGTAAAGTGCTCTGGGACGCTAACCTGCTTGAGGGTAGCTATATAAATGCAAGTTGTTGTTGTTGCAGTTGTGACGGAGGTGGCTGGTGGTGGGGAAGAGGAGCCTGGGGGTTGTCTTTGGTTTTCAGGATGATCCTGGAGTTAGAAGGATGATTTGGCCGAGGTGAGAGCAGAGTCATAGATTGGTTAGTGTTGTCCAACCAGACCTGGCAGTGGGAGTTAGGTTAGATTTAAGCCATGTGTGCTTAGCACCACACATCTGTGATTTGAGGGAGGGGCAGTGATTTGTAGTATGGATAATAATAATACTCCTTGTGCTTTGCGACGTCTCGAAGACGTGATAAGGCGCTGTATCAAATGCTTCAAAGAATATACTGCAAACTGAATTGACTGTTTATTTTTGCGGGTGAAACACGGCAGTCAATTGCGCACAGCAGTGTCCCCACAAACAGTCGTGGATTGAGTGACCACCTTTGTTGCGTGTGTACGTGCGCGTGTGTGTGTGCGTGCGAGCATGTGTGTGCGCGCGCGTGTGTGTGTGCGGGAGTAGGAGACGGTGGATGGGGGCAGGGGGTGTTTAGAACGTTTGTGAGTACGAGGGCTGTGGAGGAAGGCGATATGGAGAAGATAAGGTCACGGCAGACACGTTACCAGTTAGAGCAGTTAACAGTGCAAAACAAGCCACAGAGTGTAACTGTACTAACAACGTTCTTCTCACTGATAGCGGATATCTAAATCGTGCCGCAGCTGGAGATCTGCCAGACTGCATTTTATTCTAAAGAACTTGGCTACCGCTACATATCTGTACTCAGTCAGAGACCTGGTGAGCGAGGAAGGAAATTAGAGGCACCGTCAGGGATTGAGAACTTGCTGGAGGATATAAGTGAGGCCGGCACAGGGACAAGGAGTCGGAAGAGAGAACCAGCCCTGAAGCCTTGAAACCGTTGAGTTGTATTTGTGAGCAAATGGACCGACCGCTAAAGTAGCATAGCAGTTAACAAGCGAGCCTGATTAATACCCTCTGGTCGAAGACAGTCAGTTAGGTTTAAAGACCACGCCATTAATAAGGAAAGCATCATTAAACCACGCAAGGTCAGAATGAAGGGCCAGGACATCAGAACTTGGCAGTGATCAGTCCCTCCTTCGCACGTTGTACAAACTGATTCTGCCCTTCAAATTTAACCCGGGTCTCCTTGCGTCCAACAAGACACCACTGGGGAAGGGGATAATGGAGTCCTGTTAGGTCAGTGGTTGGATCACTCACCTCATAAGCGAGAGGACCTGGGTTTGATTCCCTTCCCGGCAGGGCAAAACGTTGGGCAAGTTTCCTTACACATGCCACACGCCTGCTTACCGAGCAGAAAGTAGCTATCCGGTTGTTAAGTTGAGGGCGGATCGCTTTACCAGGGGTAATAACCCCTCCAAAAAAATAAAATAAAAAATAATAATAATTTGGTCACTCAATCCACGACTGTTTGTGGGGACGCTGCTGTGCGCGAATGGCTGCCGCGTCTCGCCCACAAAATACACAGTCAATTCACTTTGCAGTGTATTCTGTGAAGCGCTTTGAGACGTCTCAAAGACGTGATAAGGCGCTGTATGAAATGCAAGGATTATTATTATTAGTATTATGAACAATGCAAATCCAGTCGCTGGAAACTCGAGCGCTCCAGGGGAGAGCTTCAAGCAGGTAACAATTATATGGCCGACGTTACTCCACTGACTACCTACAGAGTATTGTGATTTACAGGGAGTCCTTGGAAATAAATGCTCCATCTTCAAACCGAACCAAATGTGCCGATTTCCAAGACGTCTCTGAACTGCAAATTACAGTTTATATCTGCGCTTTATCATAACTTGCTGAACGTACCAGACCAATGGTTGCGAAGTCTTCAGGAAAGCACAAGCCGTTGTTCAATGCTTTGCATTTATTCTTGAGATACAATGCAAGAGAATTTTATTTTACACATTTTTCATGCTGACCAAAAGACAAATGGCGATCAAACTGCTTAATCTGTCGTCCCTTTGTGTTTCCTGGGAAGAAGACAAAAAAAAAACCCAAAGAGATAAAAACTGAAGGCAGAAAGTTCCCCGAGGCCACTGACGTGATGATGATTTGCCGATAAGCCCGTCACGTTTAGTGTGAGATTTTTCCCACAGTGAGACTGAGCTCTTATCAATCAAGTCAGAACATTTTGTGCTGAGTTCAACGAATCACAACACTGTCATTTCGAGCGCTGTGACTGAAATGCGTAACGAAAAAATAACATTAGGAAAAGACGGCGAAGGGTGAAACTTCTGAAAGTTGTGTCCGAATATTTTTGGCCAAAAAATATAACCGAAGTTTCGCTTTACAGTGTATTCTGTGAAGCGCTTTGAGACGTCTCGAAGACGTGATAAGACCCTGTATCAAATGCCAGGATTATTATCATCATTGAAGGTGTTGGACACGCGGAATGTCTTTCCTTTCTTCTCACAGTCAGCTCAGAAAGTGTAAAACAGAGTAACGTATGTATAATATAAATGCCCTCTATAGAAAGAGTGAAACAAACGTGGTCAGCTTCTTTACATATTACGAATCATCATAAGGCACACGCCACACAATAGTGGAGGTTAGAGGTTAATTAGACTAATCAATGCAGAAGAGAAACAGAAAACATCAAACATAAATGGGCGGAACTTTGTGGGGTTCACTTGTTTTCACACTGTAGTTCAATTCGAAGGTTGGCCATCGACCGGAAGATTTAGGGATTAGGTGCAAGTCCGTTTGTACAGTACTACATCAAGTTAACGACTTTCCCGGTTAGCAAATTATTCCCTTTATTGAATGTTATTACAAAACAAACTCCGCAAAGGCTGTGCCCTTGTTGGGTCTATAATATGAACTGTCTAAAGATAATCACAAGTACAGCTTTCGTCAAACGAGACGTCGAGGGAATTTGCTGCACCCGAGTCTATGACTCCGTTCATTTAAATTGTGGTAATCACCTTTAAAAGCAATTTCTGCCCTCGGAGACACTAACCCCCACTTTGACCCATAAAATATGCAGTCGATTCACTTTACAGCGAGACGTCTCGAACACGTGATGAAGCGCTGTATCAAATGCAAGGATTATTATAATTATTAAGCGCACTATAGGCGGTACAAACGCGATTAAGTCTGATCTGTATAAATCGTATAAGCTCCTAAATCACACGTCTGCTAAAATCCCATTGAAGCGATTATATTCTCTGCAAGTCTGATAATTTGGCGTTAAGTCATCTTAAATATATGGCCCCAACTGATACGACTTATGTGAGGTTTTGTGTAAATGCATATTGTTGTTGTTTTTAAAATCGACAACAACAACAACAACTTGCATTTACATAGAGCCCTTTACACGGGAGCTCTAGTTTAGGCCCACCCTTGTTACATCAATTTGCTTAAGCGCTCCGAGACTCCGTCCTGTGTGAAGGGCGCTATGTAAATGCAAGTTGTTGTTGTGTTGTTGTTGTCTGCTTTTGATAGGTTTACATAATCAAACAATTCTTTCCAGGATATTCTGGGGCATAAACTTTATGTTCGGTACCGTACACAAAGTAGCTTTGCTCCTTGCCCTTCCACTGAAAGTTCACTTGGGTGAGAGGAATGAATTCGACAGTGTGTCGCTGTAAAAAAACACAAGAGAGTGAAGTGAACAAAGTTTGCGAAAATCTATCATTGCCTCAGCGTTTTACTGCCCCTTATTTCACCCTCACCTGCTGAATTATCCGTGATGTCCTACCAAACTGGGTCAGATGTTCTTGTAGCGCCTTCTGAGAGACCTCAGTGATCTGAGGATCTGGGAATCCCATCAAAGGATACACCTGGGAAACCAGTCAGGAGCAGAAATTAGAGTAAAACTGGAAGGTCAGATCTGCATCAAACATTCTGCCACATGGAAAGATCCCAAATGGCCCACACTTTGACCTTCTGCAGTTAAGTCTCTCGACCCAGAACCTGATGTTCGAGTTAATAAAATGCAGGAATTAAGAAGTGCCTTGGCATTATTCCACGTTCACAGTAATCGGAGGCTTGTAACTCAGTGGTTAGATTGCTCGCCTCGCAAGCGAGAGGACCCGGGTTCGATTCCCGGGCAGGGCGAAACATTGGGCAAGTTTCCTTACTCCACACGCCTCTGTTTACCCCATAGTAAGTAGGAACCCGGTGGTTAGTCGATTGGCGGATGGCCTTTCCGGGGGTAAGAATCCCTTGAAAAAAAATAATAAATAATAATTTGGTGACTAAATCCACGACTGTTTGTGGGGACGCTGCTGTGCGCAATCGGCTGCCGCGTTTCGCCCACAAAAAATATACGGTCAATTCACTTTACAGTGTATTCTGTGAAGCGCTTTTGAGACGTCTCGAAGACGTGATAAGGCGCTGTATCAAATGCAAAGATTATTATTATTATCCTCATACCTGATATTGCTGATCAGTGAAAAGCTTCTGGCCACTGACTTTTTTGAAGCGATCTTCGGGAAATCCACTTTGCTGGGCAATGATTTGTTCGAAAAGATTGTTTTTCCTGGGTCAAGATAAGAGTAATTGCTTTCAAGTCAAAGTTCTTGGTGACATCGAAAACGGCGAATTTAAAGTTGTCACCGCTCTCCCTGTGGAACCTTTTCTTACAGTGAAAAATATCTCTTCCAAAAAAACTTACCACTTTATTGTCAGCTGGATGAAGTGTAGTAACTGTGCTTGCCCATTGCATACGTCGCAGGTCTTCTGACCGAATCCCGAGCACTTGTTACAACTAGACGCACACAAGAAGCTCACGTTACGGACTGTATCCAACATGTTGTCCATCAAAATCTTTACGAGGCTGTTTCGATGAAAGAACTGACAACCCATTCTATGAACAAGCTTCAAAGTCGTAGGACCCTGCTGCGTTTCGCCCAGAAAATACACAGTCAAATCACTTTCTGGTATACCCTTTGTGAAGCGCTTTGAGACGTCTTGAAGACGTGATAAGGCGCTGTGTCAAATTATTGTTCCTTACCTTACTTTCCCTCTACCCGCACAACGGTTGCATTTATTTTCCCCACCAAACTGGCTTCCTTGTCCACCACAGACAAAGCAATTCTCCTGTAGTTACAAAGCACCTGAGTGTTTTTATATATATATATATATATATATACAGCATCACAGAACAATCACATCAAACACTTTGCATTCTTTCAGATTGAGGTCTAAATGAATCCACGGAAGAAGGAACTAACCCTGGCCAGAAAACCGCTCAAGACAATTCAGCTTTTCCTGAGATAAGTCTTGGGTGGGATGTCCTCCTGACATGAAACATGCCATGGAAATGTAATTTGTTTGTTTGTATATTTGCTCCAGTAGCGGCCTTAGTTCTCGGAAGAAATGTCCATCTTTTGTCAGCCGATATTCAACTGATCAGCGCATTCATAATAATAATAATAATAATCCTCGTGTTTGATATAGCGCCTTAACACCTCTTCCCGATGGCTGAAAGCACATTGTCTGAGGTGCTGTCGTTCGAGCGAGGGCATCGAATGAGGGCATCAAACTGCCCGTCTGCTCAGATGTCGGTTAGAGGTCCCATGACCCAATTCGAAAAGGGAAGGGAGCTTCTCTCCTCCAAAGTCCTGGCTGACAATCCCCTCCGATGAAATCGGTCATTCGCTTTGTTTGTGGGATATTGCTGCGCGCAAATCGGCTGCTACGTTCTCTCCCACAAAACACACAGTCACTCCATCTCACAGTGAAGCGCTTTGAGACGCCTCAACGAGGTGACGGGGCGCTGTATCAAATGCAAGGATTATTCTTATTATTATTAATGTAGGGGGTCGAAAAACAAGAACACGATACAACTAGACTTTACGCGATGGGTTCCTGAGACTTTGGATTGAATAGGTAGGTATTGATGGTGTCTTGTTTCATAGAGTAAGAGATATAGTTATATTTAAAAAGTCAGTTAAAGCAATAACATTAGGCACAGCGCTCAGTATCTGGTGCTTACCTGGCCAGTTCCAACACAACCGATACATGGTAATCTGCCTGTGGCCATACACCGATAGCAGGGCTGCAACAAATCACAAGCAAAAATATATCAGAGGAACTTCCTCCCAGGTGTCAGGTTGACTGTTCATTAACATTCGTGCAGTAAAAGCAAAGGAGAAGTTCCTGACATAATGACCTCAACAGAGTTGGTGGGAATTGGTCTGCGATGAAACCACATGAACGGCCATTTATTTCCTTCAATGTTCTAATGATTTTTTTTTGCTATCTCGGAGTTAGTTCTAGCGAACAGTTAGTTTTCTCATTTCAGTTACCCTCCCAAACCCTCCCGGGTTGCTGAGTGTACGAGCTTGAGTCAAGCACCCTATAAAGCAGGGAGAAACGTTGGGCAAGTTTCCTTACTCAACACTCTGTTTAGCGAACAGGAAGTAGGAACTAGGTTGTCAGTTAATTGCCAAATCAGTTTTCTGGGGGTAAAAAATAACTTAGTTACTCAATCCACGACTGTTTGTGGGGACGCTGCTGTGCGCAATCGGCTGCCGCGTTTCACCCGCAAAACCAACAGCCAATTCACTTTACAGTATATTCTGTGAAGCGCTTTGCGACGTCTCAATGATGCGATGAGGCAGTATATCAAGTGCAAGGATTACTGTTGTTATTAATAATTTTTTGTATTATTATTATTATCCTGAGGACTCTCTGATCACCGTTGTGGCAGTTTGTGGTTAAAATGGTGTTAAGTGGATTTCAGCTTGGCTCGGTTACCAGAGCCCTGTGAGTTGATGAAATACGTTGTATTGCCACACACACACAAAAAAAAAAGATTCTCCAGGATCCTTGGTTGCTTTGCTAACGTTCCGGGCAAAGTGGCGACTTGACTTACCTTCACAGACGCAGTGTGAGCCACCGGAAGCTTCTTTTTGTTTTTGGCAAACATTTCCGGGATATCCACCATCACGTCCCAGGGAAGTGGAGGGGGTGTAAAGCCGAAGGCGTCAACAGCCTGGCCTAGGAGGTGAAGCAAAGGCCGAGAGAGTCAGGACGCTCACAACTCCACCCCTAAAACTGGACATGCAATGTCCTACTACGCGAAAGGGATTCCTGAAACATTAACTCACTTTCCTCTCTCCGCCTGACCCGCTGAGTGTTTGTTTCCAGCGACTTCTGTTCTTGTTTCAGATTTCCAGCATTTTTGCCTTTTGTTTTAAGCCGTGATTTTTTTCTTAGGTCAGGATATCGAGGGGTACGGGGCACAGGCAGGTAATTGGAGTCGAGGTACAGATCAGAGCCGTGATTTGATAGAATGGCAGAACAGGCTCGAGGGGCTGAATGACCTCTTCCTGTTCCTATCTATGTTCCTCTCCCACTTGTATCCTGACCCCTGTCTGGCTTGGGGGCTTGGCAAATAAATAAGTCGCTAATCTTGTCACTGCAAAAGACCATCTCGCGAAAACAAAACACCTGCTCTAAATTCCTATTGCGTTACCATTATAAGGTTCGTGTTTCCACTCGTGTGACCTGGATTCAGTGAAGCTTTCGAGTTGGTACTGAAAGAGAGAGAGAGAGAGAGAAAAAATTAATTACCAGTCACGATATTCTTCAGACATGTTGATGAGCTTCAAGTTCTTCACAATGGTTTGTCACAGCACATTACTAATCGCAATCGGAATACCACTTTCCTCTATATATATATATATATTTGCTATATATATATATATAACATTCAATTAATAATCTTTGCATTTGATACGACACCTCATCACGTCGTCTCAAAGTGCTTCAGAGAATATACTGTTAAGTGTAGTGACTGCGTATTTTGTGGGTGAAACGCAGCAGCCAATTGTGCACAGCAGCGTCCCCACAAAAACAGTCGTGGATTGAGCGACCAAATTACTAATATTTTTTTGAAGGGTTTATTACCCCTGAAAAAGAGATCTGCCAATCGACTAACACCAACGTGGAGTAAGGAAACTTGCCTAATGGTCCTCTCGTTTTGCGAGGCGAGTGCTCTAACCACTAAGCTACAGGACTCCATGAATACTCAACAACTTAAAGCTCTTTACAAAACGTAATTGATTTGAGATGGAGTGCAAGTTGTTATTCAGGTAAACACAAACACTAACATTTACACTTAGTCAGCTAAACACTGACTGTCTGTCCAGGCTTACATATGAATAATGGGCACTTTGGCCATAAAAGGAATATTGAATCAAACGCCTCCAGAAACGGCAGAGGAAGGAAAATTAGTTTGAAACAAAATAGAAGTTTCTGCACAGATCACCAGGCTTTGAGGGACTCGTGGACCACAATTCAGTTTGGTGTTCCTTCCTTGGACTTTGATGATGAGTGGTTGTAATGACACTGGAGACACACGTGTCATCAATAACAATGACAAGTAATTGATTTACTTACTCTGTATGTGGTAAACGCTTTTAAGTTTTGGATGCTCATTTCCCGAGCGGGTCGACTGCTGTAAGTAGCATGATCAGCCGAGAACTTGAGCAGAGCCTGACGAGCTGTGTCCTCACTGATAGAAGGCAGGCTGTTGAGAAACAAAGCATTTTCTAACTACTTTCGCAGAGCCTCCAGGCTATCCTGCTTCCACCTTAACTCAACTCAACATTGGGTGGAAACAGCATCTCGTACATTTCCTCGTACATTTCCATAGCTGTATTGATCAGCAATCGATTAACAGCCAGGTTCCTACTTACTGCTAGGTCTAGTAAGGAAACTTGCCTAAGGTTTCACCCTTATTATTATAATTATTATTATTATTATTAGGCGAGCGCTCTAACCACTAAGCTACAGGGCTCCACAAAGATTGGATTCTAAACAGATGCCTGGGAGAAACATATTTACTGGAGAATGTCGAGCAGCGATATTTATTTGGTCAGCGGGATATCTGTCACATAGAGGAACCCATCACCGAGCTCAAGAGTATCGAGAAAATAATATCTGGCGAGACAGTGTATAGTTTGGGGACGCGACATGTTAAGCGACTGCCAGGAAGGTGGAAGGCGAACTAGATGGACCTTGGTCTTCTTTTGCCGGCAAATTCTTATGCTCTTACGACTCATAACCTGTTACATTGAAAATCTCACCTCCATTGTGGCATAGTGGGATGTTGGGGAGTTTCTGGATTGCACACAGGATAAGGCGGAGGAGGAATATACTTCTGCTCTGTGAAACACGGAGGTTTAGAGTGATATTATTATTATTATTATTATAACCTGAACATATAATCAAATGTCAATATTATACCCAGTGCAGTCTATTATAAAATATAGTCGATAGACTTTACAGTGAAGCTCTTTGAGATGTCTTTGCAGCCACAGGACTCCACGTAATAGTGATGTGTACGGGTCTTTAAACCGATGAATGTTCACTCACCAACATCCCCGGTACCCATCCATTCATACCCAGGCACTTTATCCAGCATTTCAGCAGGTGGTGCAGTTGGCCCTTCAGCAGCCATCGGCGGACTACCAGGTCCTGCCCCTATATGTGCAAAGACAAGTCATCTGATGGTCTAAAGGTCTATTTCAGCATTCGTTCATCATTCAGGCTTCATTAGAAATGTTTCAGCGCCTTGGAATGTCCTCCCGACGTGAAAGGCGCTCTATAAATGTAACTTTGTTGTTGTTGTTAAGCTTAACTCTGTGCTGGGCACAGGTGCTGAATAAAAGTGTCTTTATTCATGAGTCTAGTGACTAGACCTCAGTGGTTAGAGCACTCGCCTCGCAAGTGAGAGGACCTGGGTTTGATTCCCGGGCAGGACAGGGCGAAACGTTGGGCAAGTTTCCTTACTCCACGCCTCTGTCTACCAGAGCAGTGAGTAGGAACCCAGTTGTTAGTCGATTGGGGGATCGCTTTTCCGGGGGTAATAATCCCTTCAAAAAAGAAACAATAAATAAATTGGTCATTTCAATCCTCAATTCTTTGTGGGATGCTGCTGTGCACAGTTGGCTGCCTGCATTTCGCCCACAAAAATACAACAACAACGTATGCAGTTCACTTGTATTGTACATATACAATTCACTTGACAGTATATTCTGTGAAGCGCTTTGAGATGTCTCGAAGACGTATCAAATCAAGGATTATTATTATTATTAGACGATTGAGAGGAGCTGTACGTGCTTTGGAAAAAAAGGCAAGGGGTTGGTTTGTGAACTAGGTCTGGGCTGTTTAATTGACATTGCATGTTAGAGGAAGACTTGGCAAGAAGCCAAGCTCCATTTGGTATGAAATAGAAAAACAACAGGAACCATCAGCAGAGAATAATTACAATAGGCTGAAAGCACGAACACTGAAGAGAACGGGGATTTTTCTTTTGAAGCCTTGCCCCGTCAGCAGTAAAATCCCCTTCAAGGCCCTCCACCGCCTTGCTCCTTCTGACCTCCGTGACCTGCCAACTCCATATCAATCTATCAGCTCCCTCCGCCCAGCAGGCTCTGTCCTACTCCACGTTCCCCCACCCGGCCGCAAACCTCTCTGCCCCCCCCTCTCTGGAACCTCATCCCACATTCCCTTCACCTCGACCCCTCCCTCGCCTCCTTCAAGGCCCATCTCAAGACCCTACTCTTCGACTGGGCCTTCGGTCACCCTCCTACCACCCCCCCCCACACCACCCCCCCACTCCTGATCCCAACCCCCAGTTCGGTTCCAAATCCCTGACTGTCCAGGGCCTTGAAACGTCCTCCCGACATGAAAGGCGCCGTGTAAATGTCATGTGTTCTGAGTGTTGGGAAGTTGGACGCTAACCTGGTTGCGAGATGACTTGGGCTGAGCTATGAACTGGGTGTCAGTGTAAGAACTTGAGTAGTTTCATTTCATGTTGGAATGCTGCAGCCCGGTCTCAGCAAACCTTCATTGAGCGGCTCGACATTCGCTCAAGAAGGATTTCTTTCCGCAGAACACAGTGGGCGGGCAAGCCGTGCGGACGCTTTGAAGCTTGATTTGGTTTGCGCCTGCGAGGCGAACGTTTCGCCCGCAAAATACACGGGCGATTCACTTCACGGCCTATCCTGTGAAGCGCTTTGAGACTTCCCGGAGACGGTGATAAGGCGCTGTGTCAAATGCGAGGGTTATTATCGTGACTGTGATTCAAAGTACATTACGATAAATTTGGCCCGGTTCTTCCACTCGTTCTCTTTCCCCACCCATCTTGCTGCGCCACTTAATGTCGTGGGATACTCTCAAAATACTGACCTCCAGCAAAAGCAAACACACTTCAAAAGGAACAACGGATCGATTGAAAGTGCACGTTTTCAGAATTACTAAAAGGCCCCTTTGTCCCGAGACTCTCCGCCTTGTGATGAGATGCTCTTAAAAGGGCAGACTTTATGAAAACAAATTGTGTTTGCGGATGACAATAATAATCCTCGCATTTGCTACATGGCCTTATCACGTCTTCGAGACGTCTCAAAACGCTTCGCGGGATATAATGTAAAGCAAATTGACCGTGTGTTTTGTGGGCGAAACGCGGCAGCCGATCGCGCACAGCAGCGTCCCCACAAACAGACGTGGATTGAGAGACCAAATTATTACTAATTTTATTGATTGATTTATTTAAGTCACCGTGGAACGTGGGGCGAAAGAGAAGACGGTAAATATCATATGAACTAAATGCCAATAAGCTTTGTGGGAATGCCTTCAGTTTGTTTGAAAACTCTGCCGTTTGACTGGGATGTCCTCTCGATCTGAAAGGTGCTATACAAATGTCATTTTGCGGTGGTTCTTGTGTAGGCAACGGCTTAAAACAATTTAAAGTTGTGGTCAGTGCGTATGTGCCCACACACGCACACACCCAACCATCTCTGTCTGACCTTAGTCGCAGTGACTCACTCCCTCTCCTTCTCCCTCTCTCAGGAAATGTACTTTTAAACACTGTTTTCTTTTCTGAACACACCCACAATCTGTCGTTTGCCTCTGGCGTCTGCCCAAGTCAATCATTACATGGTTCGTGAAGGCAAGAGATTAGATAAGAACTTTGAAATCCCCCATAAAACTTCTCAACTGAAACGGCATACCGTGAATCTCACTGACATCTTAGTTTACTTACACGGCGGTGTTGCCTGTTGAGGGTACATCAGTCCGTTGAGCAGCTCTGCGCAAATGAATCACTTCTACTTCCTTCTCTGCCTTTACAATGCATCTCACTGTTTCCCAGGTCATGCGACCACTTCCTTTTCAGAAGCTGACTTGAGAAACGCTTTATAAAATTACCGTCGGGAATTTATAATGTGTTGTTACTCTTGGACCCGATGTCTGTGGAACTTTATCCCCAGAAGGCGGCAAAGTAACGTCCCAAGGCGCTGGCCGTAGGGCAAGAGGCGAAACAATCAGGAGCTGGATGAGGGCAAATTTCCTGCAGCTTAACATCAACAAGACGGAAGCCATACTCTTTGCCCCACGGTTCCGACCTCCTCGACCCACCCGACCTGTCCTTAAAACTCTCCGAACCCGTAAGCAACTTAGGCGTCAGGTTCGATCCCCAGTTATCCTTCCTTCCCCCACATCCAATCCCTGACCAGCACTGCTTTCTTCCACCTCCGCCACATTGCCCGTCTCCGACAGTATCTCACCCCAAAAGCTGCCGAAACCCTTGTCTGAAACCCTTGTGCCGGAACACTGGCTCCCTGTCACAGAGCGGATCCACTTCAAGATCCTCACTCTAGTGTTTAAATCTCTCCATTCCTTGGCACTCCCCCATCTCTCTGACCTCCTCTCTCCCCACAGCAGTATCCGCTGCCTCTGCTCTACTGGGTCCGGCCTCCTCCGTGTCCCCCGAATCCTCCGCTCCACCATCAGCGGCCGTGCTTTCAGCCGCTACCCCCCGAAACTTTGGAACTCCCTCCTTCAACCCCTTCGCCTTCCCCATCTTCAGGTCGCGCCTGAAGACCTTCTTTTTCGACCGCGCCTACGGTCATCTCTCCCCTCCCCCCGGCTCCGCCATTGTTAAGCGCCCGGCGTGGAGGGCGCTGTATAAGTGTACGTAGTTGTTGTTGTTGTAGATGCAAATATTTCTCGGTGAGTTTTGTGAGGAACAAAGGCCGTGTGGAACTGAAACAAATTTGTCACGGGTTTAACTCATGACGTGAATACCGTACTCCCTTCAACCTACCCCCGAACACCTCAGCTCATCTACATTGGTTTCAAATAAAGTGCATTGCCTCTTTGTCCAGAGTTCGATGTACATAAACTGATCACAAAATAGGAAGGGACAAAAATAAATGACTTGAAGTCAAGTGTACAGAGACTAACTGACACGGTTTTGGGTATATTTAATATCGCTGCTAGATTGAGGTTGGTTTGTGCGCTTGGAACATGCATCACAAACAAGAGTCTTCGCAACACCACAGGAATCAGGAGACATTAGTTAAGTGAAGAGGTCATTAATATCTGCTATCGCCTTCTAAAGCACTGACACGTAGCAAACAGGAGGCGCCAATGTAACCTGAGTTTGTTCTATTGCGCTTCACCAACAAAATATACAGTCACTCCCCTTTACAGCAAATTCTGTGAAGCGCTTTGAGACACCTCGAAGACATGGTAAGGCGCTGTTTCAAATGCCAGGATTATTATTATTGTTGTTGTAATGTGACAACCCACTGAGGAAGTACAGTGCTATATTATATGTCATTGCCCTGGTAGAATTATACTGTATTCACTATCTCAAACTGATATACTGTTACAGAGGCAAACTGTGATCAACTTTCCAATACGTTTATGAAGGTATAAACGGGATGCTCAAGTGTTGGTTGAATCCCAGGTGGCCCCAATTCCAGGCCTCACTCAATGTGCAAATAGGCACATTTCTCAGTTGGTTAGTGACCAGGAAAAGTAATTGTCCTCTCCCCTTCCCTCCCCGCCCTCCCTTCTCAGGACACTGAGGCCAATTGTAACATCCCAATCGGCAACTAGCCTCAAAGCAAAGTGACCCCATCAAGGATGCTCCCCGGTCTGTGTGCTCAGCATCGGACAAGCAGTGTATTTACTCATAGAGCCATTTTACTTTATTTTATCAACCTATTGTCAAGCATCAATCAGTGGTACTCCAACATAAGCACCTCAACGAGTGAGGGTGAAGCACTAATGGATATTGAGGTGAGTTGATGGTCATATGGTGTGTGATGTACATATTGTTGGAATTTCTCACGCACGAGATCTCAACCTCTTGTTCAAGCCTAAAGAATGGTGCAACAGCATTTGGCTGGGTAGTCGGGAGCATATACTTTGTTCTCAACACCGTACACAAAGTAACTGAAATCTTTTTCTTTCCACTTGTAGTCCACCAGGGTGACAGGAATGTGTTCGATTTTCTGGCGCTGCCGATAGGAAGGAGACGGAAATAGATTGAGCAGGCGTTAAGCCAGAGAGTTCACTAATGGGCAAAATTAGAACAGGTACCAACAACAACAAATTACTCTTGGATAGTGTCGGAAAAAGACGTCCCAGGGCGCTGGATAGTCAGGGTTTTTTGGACCCAAGCTGGGAGTTGAGGTCAGGAGGGGTGGAGGGCAACGGGGGGTGGAGGGCCGGAGGGGTGGAGGGCAGGGGCTGGAGGGCAGAGGGGGGTGGAGGGCAGGAGGGGTGGAGGGCATGGGAAGGGGTTGGTGGGGGTAACAAATAGTACTTCGTGTTCACCTGCCGGATTATACGAGAGATACCCGCAATCTGGATCTGGTGGTTTTCGATCGCTGTTTGGGAAGCCTGATTGATCTGAGGCTCCGGAAATCCTAGTATAGGCTTGACCTGGGCATGAGGAGACAACAGGAGAAAGGTGAGCAATTTGGCCAATTGGACCATGTGTATTAGTCCGTTTAATTAAGGCCGAGTTTCCTCAAACAACTTCTTGTTGTTACCTTCCACTGTTCATCATCAAAGACCAGCTGCCCAGTGACTTTCTCGTAGAGAACTGAAGGGAGAGGGCACTGCTGGTCAGCCACTTGTTGATATACATGGGTTCCCCTGGTGGAGGAAGACAGAATTAATCTCTTCCCTTTTTCGAATTCCATTCAGAAACTTCACTTCCTTAAAATCTTCCCCAACAATTCACTCAAAATAGAATCCGCTCAACTCCCCGGGACCCGCGAGCGAAACACCTCCACCAAAGTGTCGAGTCATCCCGGGTCACTCTACGAACAGAGGCAAGGGAGCAGGGTACAGGGGTAAAGACCTCTCTAAAATTGTTTCCAAAGCACAACCAAGGTTAGATTTTATGCAGGGGAAAAGCTTTTAGTGATTTGCTAATTTAGGGCACTAACCTCAGCGCTCTGGGACCCAACCCTGTGTGAGGAGGAGCCATATAAACTCAAGTCGTTGTTGTTACCTACTGCACTACTCTATGCCTTATATGAAAGAACTTCAAAAGCAATCGGCACTGTCACTGTGAATGGAGCGTCAATTATTGCAACCAGCTCCACTATTCCTTCTAACCAACATGGCAATCAGACCCAACTCTCAAAAACTAGGGAAACATACCTTTAGCGCAATGTTCTGCTAATCTGACACCCAGTCCCAGACTTCTCGCTGTAGCCGTTCAGTAGTGCCCCTGCCGTGCGCAATCGGCTGCCGCGTTTCGCCCGCAAAACATTACAGTCAATTCGCTTTACAGTATATTCCGTGAGGCGCTTTCGGACGTCTCGAAGACGTGATAAGGCGCTGTATCAAATGCAAGGATTATCATAGGATTACTGCTACATGATGGGAAAAAGACCGAGCTTACCACGTGACTGTCAGCTGAATGAAAACCAGCAATTGTCCTTTTTGCTTACACGTCCCGCAAGGTAGGGTTCTTTGGCCAGAGCAAGATCTGCAACTGAGATCAACAAGTGAGAGTTAAACTAACCCATCTTCACATTCCACCTTCCCAACAACTCTCTTGGAAGTCAAGACCGTTGACCTTAATGGGTACCAACTTGGCTCAGTTGGTAGTATTCTTCGCTAAGGTCAGAGTTTGAGAAGGTCAGAAAGGTTAAGGACCCACATGGGGCTTAAAATTTCTAGACCGGATACAGTGCTATACTGAATCGGCACTATTACTGGAGGTGCCAGCTTTGAGATGAGACAATAACCAAAGTCTCATCGATCTGTTTGAAGTCAACATTAACGATTCCGTGGCACGACTTGAACAGGAAAGGGAGTTTCTTCCAGTTTGCTGGCCGGTAATCCCAGTTATTTGCTCGTTCATTTCACGGCTGTTGGTGGGACCTTTCTGTGCACAAAATGTTTGCCTACAAATGTTTGCCTCTATATACACAACGCGGTAATTTCTGTAAAGTGCATCCTTACCGCTGAAAGCCAGTGCCTAAACAACCGGAACATTGACTATCCTCTAACCGGTACCCTCGACCACTACAAATCCAGCACCTCACCTGCAATTAAAATACAACGTCAACTTGCATTTATATAGCGCCCTTCACGTGGGTAGTGTCTCAGAGCGCTTAACAGAAGGGGAAAGTTTTCAGGAGTGATCAGAAGATGGGCGAAGTGGGGGAAAGATGGAGGGTTTGAGGCAGTGAGTTCCAGAGCTTCAGGCCATAATAATGATAATCCTTGAGTTGGATATAGCTCCTTATCACAAAAAAATACAAAATGACATTTGATACAGCGCCTTATCACATCATTGAGACGTCACAAAGAGCTTTACAGAATATACTGGAAAGTGAATTGACTGTATATTTCCTGTGGGTGAAGGGGACAGAACAGAAATGCAATTTTAATCTTAGTTTGTACTCTCGTAAGTGGTCTGCAGGTAATATTACAGTTTAAAGGGCGCTGTGAAATCCCAAGACTTACCTTCCCAGTTGCAGTACACTTTCTACAAGGGCAGCGACCTAAAGTCAAGCATGTGTGACACCCCTGAAAGAAAGAAGCAGTTAAGCACCATCCTCGCATGAACTGACAATTAAAAATCAATTAAAAAATATAAAAAATAATGGGCCAAAGGGGCTTCTTCGCTCGAATCTCTCTTGTGATCTTAGAATACTGCCCCAATCGGCAACTCGACATGCAGTACAATTCCCGAATAGCATTGAAAATAATAATAATAATCCTGGCATTTGATGCGGCGCCTTGTCACGTCTTCGAGACGTCTCAAAGCGCTTCACGGGATACACTGTAAAGTGAATTGACTGTGTATTTTGTGGGCAAAACGCAGCAGCCAATTGCACACAGCAGCGTCCCCACAAAGAGTGGTGGATTGAGTGACGAAATTATTATTATTTTTTTTGAAGGAATTATTAACCCCGGAACAGCGATCTGCCAATCGACTAACAACCGGGTCCCTACTCACTGCTCTGGAAACAAGAGGCGTGTGTGTGCGTGTGTGTGCGTGTGTGTGTGGAGTAAGGAAACTTGCCCAACGTCTCCCCTGTCCTGCCCGGAAATCAAATGATCTCAACAACAGTTTGGGAACTGAGCAATAACTTACCTTTACAGATGAAGTGTGAGGCACTGGCACTTTCTCACAGTTTTTCTGAAACATTGGAGGCCTTTCTACAATTATATTCCAGGGAGGAGGAGGCACTCCACAGAGATAGCTATCGACAAATTGCCCTAAAACGAGTAAGAAAATATTATAACCTTTGGACCATCAGAAGTGCACCGACTTTGAGAACATTAAACTGGACAACCAATATTAATGTCTGAGATGATTGCACATTACAAGTAATTTTATATTCAAGAATTCGTAGCTAACATTTCAAATGACTTCATTCTTTGTTGCTATGTGGCTGCAAACACACAACTGTTCTGTGCAATACAACAGCTAGTTATTGCTAACAATAAATAAACAGACAAACACACACATATAAACTAATAATGATTTGGTCACTTAATCCACGACTGTTTGTGGGACACTGCTATGTGCAAGTGGCTTCTGCGTTTTCACTTTACATTATATTCTGTGAAGCGCTTTGAGGCGTCTAGAAGACGTGATAAGGCGCTATATCAAATGCAAGGATTATTATTATTATTATCATCAGCCAAACAAATTTTATCCTGTAGAAAGACAGAATTATTGCAACAGTGAGATGATCTTCACTGTGGGACAGACGAAAGTGGTCCGACAGAATCTTCTGCGTCTCCCTGGTTTGGTACATATCTGGTACATAAGTTTCTCTGTGTACAATTCCTCACCGTGATAAGGTTCGGTCGTCCACTCGGTTGATCTGGATTCAGTGAAACTTTCGAGAGAATACTGAAACACAGAAGTGCTTTAGAATGATTGGGTCGAGGGGGTTGAGTAGGTACTGATTTTCAACGCGGTTAGTGTAATTCATCCACATTCTTACGGAAAAATATTCTACGATATTGGGTAACTTGCCACAGAATCCCATTCGGGGGATAGGTGGTCAAGGGGAAAAAAAATGAATGCGCTGTGCATTTTAGGGTACAATCTGAAGCTTTGTATTAGTTGAAAGTTTTATGGAACCATTGAAAAGCCACTGACCATGACCGAAAAGAGGGCATAAAGAACCATAAATTAAGACTGCCGTGTCCTGTTGCATTTGGTACATTGAAATCATTTCGCTTCGTACGAGGATTGGTGCAAGGGAGAAAGTATTTAACAGGACCCTTTTAGAAAAAGTTTCAAACTAAGTTATATATATATATTTATATTTTTTTACCCTGTAGGTGTTGAATGGCTTTAAGTCTACAAAGACCATCTCTTTGGCTGGGTGAGTGCTGTAGCACCATTTGGTGGTTGCAAATTGGATAAAGGCTTCTCTGGCTGTATCTTCACTGATGGAAGGAATCCTGGATGAGGCAAGAGGGGAAAAAAAATGAGGTCAGTCTTTACTCTCGTCTTCAAATACCTACGTCCCCTTTGGATTAATGCTGGAGTGAATGCGTTGACCGGTGGTGGTCAACCCGTGGCCCGCGGGCCGAATGCGGCCCCCCGAACATTTGCACGAGTCTAGGTAAGTCAGTGTTCGATCGGTAGTGTTTTTTCCAGTATTTTCTTGATTGAGTATTTCTTGATTTATGGCAGGAAATGGAGAAATATTTAATCAAGAACTCATAAAGGCCATAAAGGTTGGCCCCGACTGGTGTAGACTGGACAGTAATTATCCAGTTAGATGTTGAGCTACACAGACAAGAAGGTGCCGTGTTCCAACCATGGTCTGTGCTGAGTTAGCTGATAATAATCATTATAATAACCCTTGCATTTGGTGCAGCGCCTTATCACGTCATTGAGACGTCTCAAAGCGCTTCACAGTTACACTGGTCGTGAATTCACCTCCAATCCTGACGTGGGGCAGGCAGATCCCGCGTGGCATCCTCTGGCATAACCACCGGAGGTGGCAAGTATCTTTCTTCTGTGAACAAAAAAAGAACGAGCACATCCTAAATAAGTCTATTCTATTACTCTATTCTTGCCCACACTTCTGCTCAGTTTACACGGCACAAGTTGGTTTCAGTCCTTCAATACCACAGGGGCAAATGCACTTGATCCAGCACCGTCGCTGAAGGTATCACTGGTCTTGTTTCTCTTAGCAAAAATCTTCTGTACTTCTATGTTCTTCTGTACTCACCACCACCACCTGCGATGGTCCCTTCATACCCAGCCACTTCATCCAACATGTCAGCAGGCGGGGCAGTTGGACCATCCTCACACTGCGTGCCACTGGCTGTCGCTGTCAGCAAAGAGAATGGAGAGGTCCAGATGAAGAAGGCTCTTTGGCTCACTTTGATCTCGTTTGTGGGGACGCTGCTGTGCGCAATCGGCTGCCGCGTTTCACCCACAAAACGGACAGTCAATTCACTTTACACTATATCCTGTGAAGCGCTTTAAGACGTCTCGGAGACGTGATGAGGCGCCATATCAAATGCGAGGATTATTATTATTATTCCAATTACAGAACCAAGTGGTTTCTTAGATAAGTCCATTGTCCCAACCTCAATTAATCTTGTTGGAAACCCATTCCAGTTGTTAATTTCGCCCACAAAACACACAGTCACTAAACTTTACAGTATAATCTGTGAAGCGCTTTGAGACGTTTCAACGATGTTATAAGGCGCTGTATCAAATGTGAGGATTATATTACTCTGAGTAAAGCAATATTTGGAGGGGAGGGGGAGGGGCAGAGAAGGACAGGAGAAGGAAGGGGAATGTAAAAGGGTTTAATTCGACTTCAATATTTATTTAATTGGTAAAAGTCCAATGAAATGTCGCTTTCATTCAAATGGGATTGCTCAATCCATTTTAATGTGACTTATCGTTACGTTGCAATTGGTCGCCGGGTTTCGCCCACAACATATGCAGTCACTACACTTTACAGTATATATTCTGCAAAGCGCTTCAAGATGTCTCGAAGGCCTGATAAGGCGCTGTATCAAATGCAAGGATCATTATTATATTATTATTATTATAAAAATAATAATATTCCTTGCATTTGATGTAGCACTTCTCACGTTGTTATTATTATTATTATTGTTAAATTATGTTGTAATTGTTTCAAACAAATGATAAAAAAATTAAGACAACGTTTACTTCCCCTTTAATTTTGCCTTTTCCACCAAAATAGCGCGAGGGGCATTTCTTGCAGCAGCAGCAACATGTGAAGCTGAGAATGTAGTGATCGCAACCACTTGATTCCCGTCAATGAACTGAGTCATCCGTCGGATTCTGAATCATCCATCATCGCATCTCAAACTATCTTAACCTCGCACCGCCCGCCCCCGCCTCCCCTCCTCCTCTCAAGGATACTCTTAAGATACACCTGCACGGATGTCACTTGTATTTGCATTTCAGTTGAGTTCGGTTTCCTTTTACACGGAACGGATAAGCAAAATACTGCAGTTGCTGACGGTGTGAGATAAAAACAGGAATGGCTGGGAACACTCAGCAGCAAGTCAGGCAGCATCTAGAGAGACCCCCGACGAAAAGTTATCAACCTGAAACATTAACCCACTTTCCTCTCTCCATAGACTTCTATTTTTGTTTCGGAGTTGGTTGATGTGACGCGATTTTAAAAAAACAAAAGGCATCCGAAGCAGAATTAACTAACCTGTTTCGACTTGCCCAATTATAATCCTCTTTGACGAATGATTCTGTTCTGTGAAAACCATCTCCCTTGCATTTAACCAACAGCGTTACTTACAGTGTGCGTTCATCAATAAGAACAACGTTGAAAGAAAAACGTTACCTGCATTTGAGGGGAACGGCAAAATTTGGGGGTCACTAATTCCATATACCTCTTTGGCATCACTGTAAAAAAAGGAGAGAGAGAGGGTGTCAGTGCTGGTACATGTGTCTCCATCCACTCCTTACTCCCTTCCATTCCCTGCTCATTCGTGCTACGGTTCGCCCTCAAAATCTACAGTCAATTTTTTTTTACACAGAGAGATGTTACGGTCTGGAACACATGGCCTAAAGGGGGAGTGGAAACAGGTTCAATATCAGCTTTCAATAGAGAATTAGATAGGTACTTGAAAAGGAACAATTTGCAAGGATACGGGGAGAGAGCGGGGGATAATTCTCCACAGAATACACTGAATTGACTGTATATTTTGTGGGCGAAACGCGGCAGCCAACTACGCACAGCAGCGTCCCATCAACAGTCGCGGATTGAAGTGACCAATTTATTTTTGAAGGAATTTTTACCCCCCGGAAAAGCGACTAACAACCGGGTTCCTACTCACTGCTGGTAAACAGAGGTGTGTGGGTGTGTGGAGTAAGGAAACTTGCCCAATGTTTCGCCCTGTCCTGCCCGGGAATCGAACCCGGGTCCTCTCGCTTGCGAGGCGAGTGCTCTAACCACTGAGCTACAGGGCGCCACTCTGTCTCCTGTTAACCTCTCCTGTCTCGCAAATAATAGGTTTTTTTTTCTTGCTGTTCGCAATATCTTGACCGAAAAATGCGCAATTCGAGAGAGGATGGATAATTCACCCTGGCGCTCATTCACAGCGCTGGCTCGAGGATTTCACCCAGAAAATACAGTCAATCCACTTTACAGTACATCCTGTGGAGCGCTTTGAGACGTCTCGAAGACGTGATGAGGTGCTGTATCAAACGCCAGGATTGACATTATTGTTATTATTTATTATTATCTCCGTGACAAGCAGATGCAGGTCCGAATCAAAACCCAATACTGAGCAAATCGAGCTGTATTCTGCAAAAATTGGGCAGCCTTCTGAGAGGAGGGAGAGGAGGCGAGAGGCACAGGAATCATCAGCTTAGGCTGTGAGCAGGCTTGCCCCACTCGCTCACTCCTCGCAGAAGAAACACGATCAGATAAGAGAGGTCGGTCGGTCAGTCGGTCGGTCGTTTGATCAGCCAGTTCTTCAGCAGTTTTTGTTCCAACAGCACAGAGTACTACTTCGCAGTTCGCAATTGCAACAGGGCAATGAGGCAAACGCTCGACACATCAGTGATCACTGTACGTCACGGTGGCACAGGAGTTCCAAGAGGTCAGAAAAGTCAACGCACAAATTTTACACGCACTGCGCGGTATAAAATAACTCTAAAAAGTAGCGTTACCTTAACAAGGGCTGAGAATCCATTGCACAGCAGTTGGGCGACAAATAGCTTCAATGCCTTCCTGCAGCAAACTCTGAAATGTGACTTGGTTTCACTTCTGCTGCTGTTAGTTTCGATTTCCTGGCTCAAAACAGAGCACAAAGTGCATTCAATCACCCTGTTCCAGCTCCCGCCTTCTTTTCCGAAAGGGCTTTGCACAGGCCTGGAATGAGGAACAAATGCAACACAAAGCTCTTCCCAGCCCCTCAAGCCCAAATCACATTGGTTTCCCACGCGCTTCCCGCATGTCCACGGCTCTGCTCTTGAAACGAACCTCAACAGGAAGTCTGTTTCACATCATTGCTCCACACTTCTTTCCGAATGTGCCTGTTTTATGTTGAATGGTTTCATGAGTAAACCTTTGAGAACCCAGCTGCTGCTGCTGTTATTATTATTATTGTTGTACATAATTCACCCCGTCGCATCATAAGAATTATTATTATGGGAACGCTGCTGTGCGTAATTGGCGGCCGCGTTTCGCCCACAAAATATACAGTCACTACACTTTACAGTATACGCCGCGAAGAGCTTTGAGACGTCTCGAAGACTATATCGAATGCAAGGATTATTATTATTATTATTATTATACGTATGTGTGGCATCTACAGGTGGAAATCGCGCTGTGAAAAGGAATGGAATGCCCTCTCACTGCCTGGAGAAACACAACAACAACAACTTGCATCGATGTAGCGGCCTTCGTGTGGGCTGGCGTCCTGGGGTGCTTCACTTTGTCGCTTGCCTAAATCTAGAGGGTATCAGGCACAGGTTGGCCGGCGCGAGCCAGGGCTCGAGGACTCCAGAGTGTGCATCGTAGAGTATACTAGGATATTTAAGCCGCTAAAAAATAAGTCAACTATTTACCACATGACTAGGACATGATTCACCTCGAGTTGGGGGGCGGGGCGGGGGGTGGGGGGGCGGGTGGTGTTGGAGCTGTAACTTTACATCTGAGTGTATATTGTGGGATTGCGGTTTCCTAAGAGACGCTTTAAAAAGGGACCCAGACCACATCCTCTGGTGGCTGTGTCCTAAGTTTGAAGAACCTTACACCTTCGGTGACTGTAGGCACTGGTCGAAGAGGAAGGTCTTCAGGCGCGACCTGAAGATGGGGAAGGAAGGAAGGAAGGAAGGAAGGAAGGAATGAAGGAAGGAAGGAAGGAAGGAAGGAAGGACGGAGGTGAGGTGGAGGGATAGAGGGTGAGTGTGAGAGTTTCAGGGTGCTTTTAATATTTTGTCAACTAATCTTTGAAATAACTAGCGGCGAGGGTGGTCCTGGTTGAACAAGCAGCAGGAAAACTGTCAGACAATGATACCAATGGCCGCGCTGTGTGCGGATTTAGCTGATTAGACATCAGCAGTTACCCCCAACGCCCACTCTGGGCTCCCCCCAAGCCTCGGCTCTCGCCAACCCTCGCCTAATACTTTCCAGAGTTATGTAAGCAAGAGGTGTCCCTCCAGGGAGCGAGAGAGAGAGAGAGAGAGAGAGCGCATTCCATTCCAACGATCTCTCTCTGGGATGGCCGGGTGTCGGTGGGATGGATGGAAATCTCAGTTTGGTTTGGAGACTCTTAAGCAACGGTGATGGGTTTCCGCGTGTGTCGGACACCCCCGGCTGACCAGAAAAAAAAACTGCAAAGCTTTCAGAGAAACCAGTAGTACTGGAAGATCGACTGTGACATCCACGCACGTTACCCAGCATATCGGCAGGTGGCGATATTGGATTGGCTTTTCCTGTGGGACATGACGAGGTGATGTGGAATGCAAGCAATGTTTTAATATAAAAGTCTAGGTGTGCTGCAGAGAAAGGAGGAGACGTTCCAAACAGCACGAGTGAGATTTCTGACTGCAATTGCAGCAAAATATAAGACACACAATGGGAGTCTTTTGTGAGACATGTTCCGTTACTCCACACGCACACACACACACACACACACACACGCGTGCGTGCCTCTGTGTACCCAGCAGTAAGTAGGAACCCGGTTGTTAGTCGATTGGCCCATCACTTTTCCACGGGGGTAATAATCCTTTCGAAAAAAAGAATGTAAAGTAATATAATTTGGTCGCTCACTCCACGACTGCTTACCGGACGCCGCTGTGCGCAATTGGCTGCTGCGTTACGCCCGCAAATTATACATAGTCACTGCACTTTAGGGTACGCGCTGCGAAGCACTTTGAGACGTCTCGAGGACGTGATAAGGCGTCATTCTCATTTAATTCTCATTAAAGGGGAAGCCGTAATTGTTGCGTCGCAGAAATGTTCGGTCATGGCCCAAATGACAAGCTATTGTTGGGCTATTCTTCCACCCGTGGGCACATGGATGGTAACCCTTTAAGGTAAATAGCTTTGATTGGAGGAAGTAGCGTGGGAGGTGAGAGTTTAAAGGGAAACTATTCTTTAAGTTGAGGGCTGTAATGTTAGTGCACGGCCGACAGAATAATTGTTGGAATATTACACGCGGACATGAAGTCCTCCTGCCTTCATTAACCCCTTGCGGGAGGAAACCTCTATTTAATTGTAATTAAAAAAAACCTAACACTTGTGCTTCAAACAATCACGATTGACTTAATCTTTGATTGAAAGTGCAAGCTTGGCCTCCGTTAGCTTTACTGGCGATGCAAATGGACATTCCTTTCCCCAGTATGTCAGCGGGTAAATATTCTCCGCTGGTTTGCGAACAGCTGGTGCTCAGTGACAGGCTGATCGTGTAGCTGTTGGTGGGAGTTCTAGTTTTACATGGGTTAGGTTTACATCTGTAGCTTCAATCAGAACTGCCACAGTGGTTTGCAAAGGCTGCGTCAATCCATTCTCCCGGCAGTTGCAGCTCCTATCGTCCGATGTACAAACATGACAACTGATGTCCACTTGAACGAGACCAGGATTGACCTGGGCGAGGAACTTGACAAGGGTGTCCCACCACAAGAGGAAAAGACCCCAGCTGTAGACAACAGGGACCCTAGGGGTGTAAATAGCCATTTAAAGGTAAGTCACAATGATGGCAGCTGAGAATTGATTTGCACGCCATGAGCTCACTATGATTGATACAGAACATAATAATAATAATAATCATCCTTGCATTTGATATAGCGCCTTATTACGTCTTTGAGACGTCTCAAAGCGCTTCACAGGATATAATTCCTTTCTCCAGTTTATTTAAAATAAACACACAATATGCAGTAGTCAAATGATATCACAGTAAATCCAAGCAAGTTATTACCATAACTTTCCGGGGGTAATAATCCCTCCAAAAAAAATAATGAGTTGGTCTCTCCATCCAATGATGCTCATAGTATGGAATGCCATCTGTTTAAATATGGTACATTTATTTAAGTTCTTTCTTGTGAAGCCAAAGTGTCATGCAAAAAAATATTTGGCGGGGTGGGTGAAAGAATGATGCAGAACAGCCATGGAATTGTACCTTGTGATGATGCGTTTGATGTAATTTACACTGTTGTAAATAATAATAATAATAATAATAATAATCTTTGCATTTGATACAGCGCCTTATCAGGTCTTTGAGACGTCTCAAAGCGATTCACAGGATACACTGTAAAGTCAATTGACTGTATAATTTGTGGGCGAAACTCTGCAGCCAATTGCGCACAGCAGTGTCCCCACAAAGAGTCATGGAATTGAGTGACCAAATTATTATTATTATTATTTATTTTTTTGAAGGGATTATTACCCCCTGGAAAAGCGAACTGCCAATCGACTAACAACCGGGTTCCTACTCACTGCTGGTAAACAGAGGCGTGTGGAGTAAGCAAACATGCCTAACATTTGGTCCTGTATGTTTGTAAACAGATGTTTGACAAACTTTTTTTTCATGGCGAGGCTTCCCCTTTAAAATTGTGCTTGGAGATATAAGTGGAAGTTGTCAAAGGGCTATGTAAGGGTGAAGCTGTCTTCCATAGTTTTGAAAGCAATGTTTATTTCTGTTTAGCACTAAACATGCGAACACTGAACTGATTTCTCCTCGCAAAAGGCTTGATTGCAGCCCCCGATGGAAATGCCAATGTAAACCCTTCACTTTCGAACAAGAATAACGCTTTCACTCCGTTCCCCTCCACATCTATCAACGGTGGTCACGTTTAGACCGATACCACAGGAGCATAGAAACAGGAGTAGGCCATTCAGCCCCTCGAGCCTGTTCGGCCATTCTGTAAGATCATGGCTGATCTGTACCTCAACTCCAATTACTCGCCTTTGCCATATCCCTTGATACCCTGACCTACCAAACACCTATCCACCTCAGTCTTGAACGCTACTCAGTGTATATCTAAACACCAGCAGAGATTTGGTACAGTCTGCTGAAGATGAAATCGGGGTGTCCGTCACTTGGTCTCTCTTGTCTAGACCAAGTCTCCCCCTTGTGAAGAGTGACTGTGTGCTTGCTGGCATTAGTTTCCACGAGGAAGCTGAAAATAGTATTACTACTGAGGCAGAAGCAAGCTTTGCATTCCGCCCAGCCCTCTGCCCCCAAAATAAATCTGTAGTCTGCTTCGTACTGTAGATGCAAGTCGAGAAATTATCCTGTGAGTGTGCACCATGCGGCTTCGCAACTAAGTCAGATACCTTCTGAAACGCAGAGAGAGAGAGACCTGCGTTAGGGAAGAATTTCCAGCATTCATACAACACAAACATAACAACAACAACTTGCATTTTACACAGCGCCCCCTCACTCACACAGAGTAGCGTCCCAGAGCGCCCGAGAGGGTGGGGGATGGGGGTGACCGTAGGTACGGTCGAAGAGGAAGTGGCAAAGGTATCTTTATTACCTATTTACTCACTGGACTTTTCATTTTGTTTTCTTTCAAGATAAGCTTCGAAGATGTGATAGGGGAACCTGATTCTGTGCACAGCTTCGACAGGATCTGGCTCTGGAGTGACGCACTGTTCGAAGTTTCGAAATTATGGTGTTACCGAATAATATCGACCGTATTTGCTGTACCGGTGTCTTTAATCTCTGGATTCCTCTTTGCTGTATTAAGTTGTCTGCATATCTGGTGAGTTACGGCGAAGTCAGACCAGTTGGATTCTATTTCTGTCATTAAAAATGCAAGGATTATTATTATTTCGCCCACAAAACATTACAGTCAATTCACTTTACAGTGTATTCCGTGAAGCGCTTTGAGACGTCTCGAAGACGTGATAAGGCGCTGTGTCGAATGCGAGGACTTTTATCATTATTATTATTGCTGCCCAGCATTTTAGGATTCTATATTCCATCCATCTTGTGGTGTGTTCTTTTTACTGAGAAATTTAGGTAAAAGCACAAGGCCAGTAATAAATAATACAGAACAACATAAGGTAACACCGAGCTTCAGTTCTAAACATGTACCGGGTGTCCAAAAAGTCCTGATACCATCACAATATCTAATAGATAATAGGGTCGATATCATGACGTTTTGTTCCACCTGAAGATTGTAGAAAAAAAGGAACGACTGAGGGAGATCAGGGTTTTCACAGCCTGAGGACCTCGGAAAGAACGGGTTAATTAAGATACAGTTTAATGAGCTTTGATTTCAACACCGTGTTGACACGATACATTACAATATGATATTTGTATAGCTTCAAATGTTAACACAGAAGTACGTTAGGAATACTTTAACAGGTTGGACTGATTGATGACTTTATGGTTGTCACATAACTACAAGTTTAGATAATGAATGAGGTTCACAGTTGCGGTTGAAGAGGTTAAGATAATACTCCATCTGGTGGAATGGGACTGAATGTCCTTATCCGAGAGCGGCGATTTCAGTGGATCTTTGAATCTGCCTTCTGGGACCACAGGAACAGGAGGAGGCCATTCAGCCCCTCGAGCCTGTTCCACCGTTCCTATAAGATCAGGGCTGATCTGTATCTCAACTCCAATTACCCGCCTTTGCCCCAATTATTCCTTGATACCCTGGTCTCACAAACATCTATCCACTTCAGTCTTCTCAATTATCTGCCATGATTTGACGAAGGAGAGGGTTGAGGATGGGAAGTTCAGACCAGAGATGGCAGGGCAAGATTCTGAGAGAGACCAAGAATAGAATTGAATCGAATTGACTAGAAAGTGACAGGCAGGGAGATAAATTTGGGGCAACCACTTGGGTGGTAGACCAGACAACAGTTAGTGTTCATTGAGCACGTAACCCCTGAACACGTCACTATCATCAGAAGAGAATTGAGGAAAAAGGGGATAGAATTTGATAGAGAAAAGAAACAAATGATCGCCTTTTGGAATACTCTTTATTTGTTCCTCCCCGACTGAGGTCGTCCATCAAGCTGCAAAGTGTTGCAAATAATTTCCCCCAAAGTAGTTACGTGTTTTGCCCTCAGGCCTTGGCAAATATTCACTTTAAATCCAGGCCATTGATTTTTCTGTGGGAATATCATTAGACAGGTTCACAGCTTTTCCACTTTCATACTTGCCCAATAAAGAGGATTTAGTTGTCGCTGTATTAGAGTAGATTAAGGTCATACGTCCCAAAACTTGAGAGCGATTAATGACTTGAGTATATCCAGCATTGGCCTTGAGATAGCTGCACAACAGCATAGTGAAGAACATTAAGTGTGTTCAGACAGACATAACTTTGTGTCTGTGCCTATTTCCTTATGACGGCTATTTAACTCGGCTCTTGTGTGATGTTTCCCTGATGATAGATCAGAAATAAATTGAATAGATTTTAACCCTAATTCATGTTCGTTTGAATTGGAAAGTCTGGTATCATCTCACTGAAGATCTATAGTTCTGCTCAACCAAGCTTTGAGAACTTTATTGTGAATCAAAATGGATGTGTCGATGTCCGTTTTTGTTTTGGATGTGTTTTTATTGGAGTCTTATGCTGTGCAGTCAATAATCTTATTTTTACGAATGGGGAAAGTGAAGTGTACTTTGAGATTTTGCTCCTAATGTGTTTCCAAGTCAGGCAGATTTGGCAGTCAGGGTGAATTGACTGTATGTTATGTGGGCGAAAAGGTAATAGTTCCTGTAAAAAAAAAACAATAATAATAAATTGGTCAACTCAATCCACGGCTGTTTGTGGGGACGCTGCTGTGCGCAATTGGCTGCCGCGTTTCGCCCACAAAATATACAATCGATTCACTTTACAGTGTGTCCTGTGAAGCGCTTTGAGACGTCTCGAAGACGTGATAAGGCGCCGTATCAAATGCCAGGATTGTTATTGTTATTAATTAATGACAGGTATCTATTGATCTATTTCACCACCTCGGGCAATATAAACTGATTATAATGTGATAGTCTAATGCTTCTGCTCCCTATCTAGGTGTGTTATGCCGTGTGTGAAGAACTGCCTGATGAACATGCCTTGTATTCAGACAATATGGAGAACAATTGTGGATGTAGTTATCAGCCCTTGCTGCGAGAGTATGGGGAAATGCTTCAGTAGCATAAACCTACACATTGCAAGAGATTAGAATTCCTCTCATCGCAAGCGACCAGATCTTTATTAACCTTCACAGGTCAAATTCTACATCCGCGTTCCAACTTCAGGGCTGTCTCTCCGAAGAACTCATTCAAACCTGTAAATTCACTCCAACCTATTGCCTCTTTTCAAGAACATCCCTGAGAAACCACATCGTATATCTACGTTCAATGTACTGGATTTCGGCGTGGCGGGTTTTAATTCTCTATTAAACATTTCTTTCTTCAACTTCGTCGGTTCTGGGGAAAAAAAAGCTGAGTATTATTGAGTAGAAACGGCGAAAGTTATGTAATCATATGCTTCGAATCAACGAAAAAACCCCAAAGTACTTTGTAATTCTTTAAAAATATTAGGGTGTGGGGGGCAACGCTACAGCATTTAAGTGGCTTCCGTTGGCTTGTTTTAATATTTGCTGCTCTTTCTTTTGGCTAAACAATTATCTGTAACTTTGTAAAGTCACTAAGGCTCTTTAGGGAATGAGACCAAAATTATTGGTTGGCTTAAATATTGTAACAGTATCCTAGCCGCCAGGAGCTCTGACTGTTTATGGAAGCATGCAGGACTTGTTTTTATAATCCACTTCAACTTTGTTCTACTTTGTACTATTCTTCCAATAAAGGCAGTCATATCAATTATTTTTTCATTTGTAATAAACTCTCGCTGTTGCTTGCTTGCACCGTTCTGCTGTGTGTTGTCCTTTTTTCGATGACGTTCTCGAGTATTAACTCAGTAGAATAATAATGCATTTGATATACTGAATAATAACAACTGGGTTCCAACTTACTGCTAGGTAAACAGAGGTGCGCGGAGTAAGGAAAGTTGCCTAACCTTTCTCCCTGGCCGGGAATCGAACCCGGGTCCTCTCGCTTGCGAGGCGAGTGTAGTGTATTTGCAGGGTATTCTCTGAAGCGCTTTGAGACATCTCGAAGATGTGATAAGGAGCTGCATCAAATGCAAGGATTATTATTGCCATTAAGGTGTTGTGCTTATGCAACACACACGAGAGCGTAGAGCATATGATGGAACAAACACTGCAGTCCCGATCACTAACACGTAACATGTGATATGGACATCTGTGAAATGACACAGATAGGTGTTAGATACCACAATGCCCTGGAGTATCTTGCACCCTATGTCTGTGAGAAGTCCCAACTAGGGAACGCTTACCCTCGAAAGATACGGTTTCAAGGAGCCATTTGCCAAGACATATCTCAGAGGGACCTGGTAGCTGTGCATTGAGATTGAGACGCTGTGATGGGAGAATAGTTGGGTGAGTATTTTGGAAGGCTGAGATCAAACAGGCCAAAGGATCTTCTTCAACCAAATCTCCGAGGATTTTCTCTGCCTCGCGACCACATTTTCTTGGATTAGTTCTTGTACTTTTTACATGTACCGAGAAAACAATGGATCGAGCCCAGCCCCAATCCGTTAAGAATGATCACGTGCTAATCATAGGAGAGCACGAAATCAGCAAATACACGGCAAAGCGATCATTAGCTTCTAAGTGTGAGTTTGGCTTTCATTAGAGCAAAGCAACAGTGAGTAACAGGCGTATCTTGTTTGACGAGGAGCCTGAGAGCTGAGCAGTAGGTTTGCTGGTGGAAATGAGCTTCAGTTGTTGACCTGCCTCAGTCAGATGACCATTTGTGGGACTGGTCTCAAGCTGAATTGTCTTAAATAATTTTGAAGCTCTCTCTTTTTTTTTACACACACATCCGCCCAACCATCCACAACTTATGGTGACTTATCACAATTGATGTTTGAATCTTGCAATTCAGCATCCAAACTTGGAAACTGGAAAATTCCGTTCAGAGGCTGACGTCTGGGAAGGGTCTTTCTTGCACTCCGTAAAGTGTTTGAAGGGGTTTAAAAACTAGGCATCAATTTACTTTGACGAGTTTTGATGTGCCGTCTTTGTGCATAGTATTTTGGTGCTCGGAGTGATTCCATTTCTCTTGCAAATATCATGGGAACATTGTACGCTGATGATTTTGCTGCTTGGCTCTCGGCAAGTGGAAATTGAATTAATGGGCGAGGGTACTTTTAATGGTTTAACACGACTCGGTTTGTTCTAGTCCGGGTTTAGTGCAAGTAAATATATTTTGTCTCGGAGCTAATATTCCAATGTATCTTATTGTTCACCCTATTCTGACATTTTTGCGAAAGTTGTTCAAACGAGTGTTTGCTGTTCCCCTGAGAGGCTTAAAATATTCTCGTATTTTAATTGTGTGTTTTGCTCAGAATTTGCAACATCAAATGAGCGTTTGAACATTATTGATGCGTTGTGATGTCTTGTGAAATGATACAAACCTACTGTTCAAAACCTGCTGTTTAGAGCAACGCGTAACATTTAATCAGCACGACATCAATGGGATCGTTCCGTTATTAAAAGCCATGCCTGGGGGTGGGTGGGGGTATAAAAAGTGGAATGGCACCATTTAAGCAGCTAGGCCCGCAACTGGCGGCCCACGGGCCACATCCGGCCCACTCCCTCCATTTAATCTGGCCCACCCCCTCCCTCCGTAAATGTTATATTATGTTTCTGGAAGGGAAGCACAAAAATATTGTTTATGTGGCCCACGTATAATAAATATAAAATAACATAAAATAACTAAATAAATAGGGCGTCCGACCCTCAGCAGCCAAAAGGTCAGACTGGGGCTCCGAGCGAGAGTGTCAATTTCCCATACCAGACCATCTTCCACGCTAGTGTACTGATGAAGGCACGACCCAACGCATAGCCTAGACCACATGTGAATGTGACAGGAGATTCCTCGGGCTATAAGGTTGCGCTGAGTGGGTTGAGCAGAGGCTAAGCCGCAAGGTGCCGTATGCCAAATAGTCAAGGAAAAGTGTCACGTGGCGCAGAGAAAAGGGAATTGTACAAAATTGACCAACAAATCCGATCGTTTAGCAATTCGTGTGCAGAATGCATAAGTAATATAGAATGGTTCAAGATTGACTTGTGTGCCATATTAAATACAGTTAAGCAATTTGATGGAAAATGCATACATTATATATTTCTGACATGGAAAAAAAATTGCTTATCAAAGCTTGTTCATCTCAGATGTGTGTGTGTGTGTGTGTGTGTGGTTCTGCCTATATCTGCATATAAATGAACGCATATTTTTACATAATGTTCAGTACATGCAATTGGCTGCCAAACATTCTGTGGTTCTGTCTGAGGATTTACCTGAAGTGATGCAGCAACTATTTTCAGGGATGTGCCACGTCTGACATGTTTGTGCATCATTAATTTCACCTAAATTTCCCGAGTTTGTGACTCGGGGGGTGAGAAAAACTATGCTCTTGCAATGGAGGCAGGAAACGGCAAAACTACTGTACGTTATAAATTTCTGCGAGGACAGTCGTCGAGGCTCTTTGTGGCTACGGTAAGTTTGGGCGCAGTGCGCTGAAAAGATAAGTTTGGGTTACAGACAGGAGACGACTTAAGTACATCCGCAGGTGTGAAAGGAAATGGTTTGATAAAACCCACTGCATTTTCAGATGCTATGCTTTTGTTGCAGTTTCAAGAACTGTCTAATTAATGGATGTTGGGCAAACCAGTCACTGTTGGCTGAAGAATCCCACTTGGCACTTGCTAACCCTGTAAGCTGAAGTGCTGATGGGTAGAGAGTGGTCCCATCTGGGCAAGGACTGGAGAGAGAGAGCGAGTGGTAGTTTTGTTCAGAGACTCTTAAACCCAGTGAAGGGTTTCTAGGTGTGTCAGAGAACCAGCTGACCATAATAACGATGATGGAAGTACATAAAAGTGCATTTGTGTGTCGTTGAGTTGTCCCAAAGTGCTTCTCGGGAATTACTGTGAAGCGTAGTGACTGTGCGCATGGCAGCCGATTTGCGCACAGCAATGTTTTATCTGAAGGATTGCTGGCCATGACACTGGGAGAAACTCCCTACAATTTTTGAATAGCGCCAAGGTGATCTTCAATGGCGACCTGAACAGACGAGTGGGACCTTGATTTAACGTCTCTCCCGAAAGACTTGATCGACATTTTACAATGTTTCCGTCGGCTTGTAAATCACAGGCGTAAAAAGTGCAACGTGAGACGTGAGGGATGGCCCATATGAAATAGTTGTTACAACCCAAATGGGTCAACAGCACTGCCCGCAACCACACCGTGGCCTTTTAAGACTAACTATTCCACGTCTGTTGCTCTCAATATCAGGGCGTCTATATAGGTTGTCCCGCTTGTTGATTGCAAAATATCCAACTGAAGCTTCTAACGACTGCTGGAGGCAGGTTCTCAGCGACAAGTCTCTCCGCGCAGAGCTGTGCTCTGTACACGCGAGGTCTAATTACAGGAAAGCTTCTCGTGGGGACTGTATTTCATGACGAGATAAATAGCTTGTCCATAGCAACGTCTCGCACCCAAATCTATTTCAGTCGAATTAATGAGGCATAGCGAACATACTCCACGCCGGCCCCTCATTCGTTCTTTAATTAATACAGCCAGCTTAGCACATTTCGTTTGCTTTTTTAATTTTAAAACGGGTTTCATTTTCATTTCAGTCTGGATTTATTGCGCTCGGAAAGTTATTAAGTTAAACTTTACGTGCGTGTGTGCTTGTGTGTGTGTGAAAGTGAGAGAGAGAGAGAGAGAGGGCCAGAGTTTTGTTTTGAAACAAGTACACAACCAATTAATTTTTAATCAAAGTTTTGCCGTGCGCTTTGCACAAGTAATAATTCCCTCCGGGTGAACGAAGCGACACCGGTCGAGAAGTCTCAAACCGCTCGCTCATCTTTGTAAAGTTTAGCCGATAAGAGTTCTGCAGCTCATCGGGGATTTATTTTCTCTCCCCGGACACTAATTGCATTTCGCACAACATTGAACACTTTCGTCAGAAAGCACGACGACCACACGCCCCGGCACTTTAAAAGCGTTCAAAAACTTTTGTCGCTGGGTGTGAGTAATAACGGACTTCGATTTGAAGTGTCAGGTCTGGGTAGGGTTGGCGTGGCTTTAAGAAATGCCACGGGCCGGTGTAATATTAATATGCAGATAGTTTGGTTCGGATTTAGACTTGAAGCGGGTTGAGAGAGGTTGCTTTGAGCCTGGTGCAATGTGAGACTGATACCCACTGCTGTACAGGGTGTGGCTGGACGTGGGGGAGTTGAGAGATCCTGAGGCACTTCACTCAAGTCAACGTTATCGCAAATGTACTTTTCCTCACTGTAACCAGTGCAGTGAAGTCCTGAGGTCCTTGACTTCTTTCCCACCCCTCCTCCCCCTCCCCACCCTCACCACAAACTCCGAATTATGGCCGAAATTCAACCGAACCAAACCGAGAAGGTTAAAGGCATTACCAAGGAAATCGATCTGGTCAACCGTGACCCCAATCGCATCAATGAGGACGTTATAAAGGTAAATTGATCTTTTTTTAGATATATATATATTATTTTCATACTCATTTCTGGTATCTTTCTGACCTTAGCCTTCCATATATATCTTTAAAACAAAAGTCAATGGCACACATCTGTGGGTTTCTGAACGGATAAGTATGCTGGAGTTGTAAAGAACATGGTAATGATAATCATTAATAGTCCTGGCATTTGATACAGCGCCTTATCACGTCTCAAAGCGCTTCACGGGATAACAATGTCAAGTGAATTGATTGTGTATTTTGTGGGCCAAACGCGAGAAAAAGCAACGTGCAAAAAAAAAAAAAAATCACTTCTCGATTGATTAGTGCTCTTGTAAAGTTAGAAGGTTCAAACCAGCTGTGCCTGGGCTTACCATCTATCTTTCATTTCACAAATCACCGCTCAACACATGCGTCTTGACCTTATAATTTCATTGATTTAGGATTCGAAATCTACAGATAGTCCCAATTGCTTTGTTCCACGATTTAGCTCCCGGAGCCTTTGCTTCTGCTGTTCCGCGTAAACCTATGGGATGGGAAACCCACACGGCTTTAAGTCCATCCCTGTTTGAAATATAGAGCTGTTGACATTGGAACTATATTTAAACCTCTCTGCTCTGTTGTGAATGTACTGGCTCGGGATTGAATTACAGACACTGTAGTACGGTATGTAGTATTGTATGACCTGAGCCCCATTTGTAAACCGTCTATTTTTTGTTCCCCCACTCTGAATGCTCTCGATGCACCTGTGACCTAGAACAGTTTAATAAATGAATGGGTATTTGAGCAGCAGCTCAAAATGGAGAGAAAAGGGATGGGTTACCTCCTAAAAAGGCTGTTTGTCTTCCCTATGTTGGTGAAAGTTATAATAATTATAATAATAGCAGTAATAATGAATTACCCTTGCACTTGATACAGCGCCTTTTCACGTCGTCGGAATGGGTCAAAGTGCTACGCGTGATTTACCGTGGAGTGTAGTGACTGTGTATTCGTATGACTCGTAAGCGACGATCGTTTAAGAACACATAAGAATTAGCTCGGAGAAACAAGACCAAAGTCCATCTGGTTCGCTTTCCACCATCCTGGCCGTCGCTTGACATGTCGTGTCCCAAACTATACACTGTATCCCCCAGATGCTATCTTCTAGCAGAAATCTATCTCAAACAACACTTTCTGCTTCCACCGTCTGTCTCCCGAGGGGAACCTGTTCCATAAATTTACCGCTCGCTCACTGCAGTCACGTTTCCGCAGATTAGTTCTGAATTTACCGCCCCTTCGAACCCAGGCCGTGTCCACGGGTCCATTTCGCTCAGCAGTCAAACAATTCATCAGATGGTAATTTCCCACTGATGGCCTTTGATTGAATTTGTGCCGCGATCATCCCAGAGACTTGACGAGTTGACCAAAAAGGCTGACAAAAATTCGACAGGGAGTCGAGACCCCTGTTAATCAACTGATTTCAAATAGTTTTTCCCCGAGTGTCTGACCTCCACAGGTACAATTTCATTCACTGCCGGAGTAGTATTTATAGGTCAGTGTTTTCATGATGTGTTGCTTCCCTTTCTTTTGAAGCTAAGGGAGAGGGCTGTGTAGCTTTGTGTCCTGACGTACTTTGGACGAGTGAGGTGAGAATGGTGCCATTGACGTGCCAGTGTGGTGTTTACATTTGTCACACGGCACAATAATATCCTGTCCCTCCTGCTTCCTTTCCAATCGCTGCTGCAAACCTCTCTCCATTTCAGCTGATTCATGTACACAAATGCACAGTAGAGGAGGCTATCCTTTCACCGAGGCTGGTAGAAATTGTTCTAAAAAGCTTTTACCTTTCTCTAAAGAGAAGAATGAACGCCGGGCACTGAAGAGTCTCTTAAACGTGAATGTGATACTGCATTCCCACTGACGCAAGTCCTTCTAGATTGCACAGAGGCGAAAGGCAACTCGTGTGATCTTAGGGAGGTTTTGCAACAGTTGTAAGAATATTTACATATGTAGGAATATTCATTACGTTCAAATTCGATTTAAAAATAATCTTGCTTTCAAGCAAATCATCATCTGTTCATACCTGTTCACCTCTAAGCAAAATGTAATGCTTTCATCACCAGGGAAAGGAGATGATTTGAACCCGAGTTGATGAGATGTTTCTCTGTCCAATATAAAGCAGTTTGAAGCCAATTGAGTCACTGTACACTTTTCAGTAAAAATCGTGCGAAATGCTTTGAGATGTCCTGTGATGTTGCAAGCAGAGATATCAAATGCAAGAGATTATTATTATCATTATTTTCGTGGAGAAGCAAGTCACACGGCACATAAATTGACTGTAATTTAACACAAGTTGACATGCTTTGAGAGGCAATAAGACTGGCTGGAAATGGTACATTGAACAGAATAAGGGATTATTATTTTGATATGATTTAGTTATTGATGTGGCACATTGATGGTGCGGTGCTAAAGGAGACTGACTCATGAACTTACTGCTGAACTTTGGAAAAGTCCTGTAGCTCAGTGGTTGGAGCACTCGCCTCGCAAGCGAGAGGACCCGGGTTCGATTCCCGGGCAGGACAGGGCGAAACATTGGGTAAGGTTCCTTACTCCACACGCCTCTGTTTACCTAACGGTGAGTAGGAACCCGGTTGTTAGTCGATTGGCGGATCGAATTTCCGGGACTAATAATCCCTTCAAAAAATAAATAAGTAATAATTTGGTCACTCAATCCACGGCTGTTTGTGGGGACGCTGCTGTGAGCAATTGGCTGCTGCGTTTCGGCCGCAAAAATTCACTTTACAGCATATCCTGTGAAGCGCTTTGAGACGTCTTGAAGACGTGATAAGGCGCCGTATCGAATGCAAGGATTATTAATATTATTACGAACACAACTTGGGGTAATCGACCGGTTCCTCTGTGCGGACGCAATTTCTACCTCTTCCGATTAAGCCCGGGGTTTAAAAGGGAGAATGTTGATGTATTTCTCGAGGTTATGGTTTGATTCTGTGTGCAGGTCGACTTTGAGGATGTGATCGCGGAGCCCGAAGGGACCTACAGCTTGGACGGGGTGTGGAAAGTCAGCTTCACTACCTTCACCGTGACCAAGTACTGGTGTTACCGCATCCTGTCGGCCATCTTCAGCATCCCTCTGTCCCTCCTCTGGGGTTTCTACTTTGCCTGTCTCTCCTTCTGTCACATCTGGGCTGTGGTTCCCTGCATCAAGAGCTACTTGATAGAAATCCAATGCATCAGCCGAATCTTCTCTCTCTGCATCCACACCTTCTGCGACCCCTTCTTCGAAGCCCTGGGCAAAATATTCAGCAGCGTCCGAATCTCCTTACACAAGGAAGTTTAAGATAGTAACCACCGAGTGCATTGTCTGGGCATCCAATGCACCTTTTTTTTTATTAAACGACAGTCTGCTTAGATTTGTTGTATTTTAATTTAGAACTTTTATGCTTAAAACCAGATTACAGTTGGCTTCTATAGCATTAATATTGCTGCATCTCACTCACTCACTCATGTTTGTTTTTTCACTGTGACATTCACTGTAATAATTCCTGAACAAACACTGCCTCAAACACAACTCTCTGTGTCATTCTTGTATCCCCGAGTCTTGCTTTACAAACGGAGGTGAAACGTTCACTCTTTAGCTCCCAATAGCTCTGCCAGTTGAGTTGGTGAGTAGCTGTGCGATGTACGTGTGAGCAGAAGGTTTTAGGTTCGTTCCAACATCTGTGTTGAGTTACACTGATCTGAACTGAAGCGATGATTGGGGTCTCACAATTAGCATTAATGCCTCTGCTTAAAGAGGGGATAATCAACAACATCACTAAGCTCATGCTTACAGGTGTAGAGAGAATTGGGCTTGGCTATGATTCTTCTCTGCAGTTGAATCATCTGTCAATGCCAATGTAATGGTGATTAATGCCACTTGGGCAAGATACTGGAGGAGAACCAGTGCTCATGGAACCATACCTAATGCCTCCAATTAGAGGAGATAAATAGAGAATGTGGTTACAGTATTGGTTGCACTAGACTGGTTATCCTGTGAAGTCCTGTAGCTCAGTGGTTAGAACGCTCGCCTCGCAAACGAGAGGACCTGGGTTCGATTCCCGGGCAGGGCGAAAAATTGGTGTTTCCTTACACCACACGCCTCTGTTTAACCCAGCAGGAAGTAGGAACCCGGTTGTTAGTCAATTGGCAGATCGCTTTTATGGGGGTAATAATCCCTTCAAAAAAATTAATAAATTGGTCACTCAATCCACAATTGTTTATTGGACGCTGCTGTGCGCAATTGGCTGCCGCGTTTCGCCCGCAAAATATACACTCAATTCACTTTACAGTATATTCTATCGAGTGCTTTGAGACGTCTCGAAGACGTGACAAGGCGCCACATCGGATGCAGGGATTATTATTATTATATTATTATATTATAACAGTATAACAACAGCCAGGCTGATCTGTGCATTGATAAGAGGTTTATTTGTAAAGGAATCGTTAACTCGTGGCTTACAGTCGGTAAAAGCATTGCTACAAAACAGAGACGGGCACGGAAACGTGAAAGAATAAAATGTCAAGTGGTGCAGTCAGCCCCTGGCACAGGGAACCAACTAAGCTCAGGTTACTCTTGCTGTTGTTGCACTGCGATGCTCTTCTGACTCCCAGAGCTCTTGAGGCTGAGAGCAAAGGTGGACGAGTTGCTCTTCTTGCTGTAGGTGATCTCGCCACTGGCGGGCTCCGGCTTAGCGAGCAACAGGGAACAGCAGAGAAAACGGTGCATCAGGTCCTGGAAGAGACGTCCAGTGAAGAACATGTAGATCCAGGGGTTGCAGCAACTGTTCAGGCTCGCGAGCAACATGGCCAGGACGAATGGCAAATCTGCCGAAAGATTAAATAATAATTTAAAAAAATAATAATTTAAATTTATAGATGTGTACGTGTAGCTCTAATCCCACCTCAGTACCATCTCCCCCCATTTCCCTGCCCATCGCGTCTCTTAAGCAACGACAGCAACAAAATTACATCTGTAAAGGGAGGTGAAGGGAGAGACAGAGAGAGAGAGAGACAGAGAGGGAGGGAGAGAGAGGGAGAGAAAGCATTGCCGCTGATAATTCTGAGCAGAAGCCTGAGTTGCGGTTCCTATGTCCCTGTTGCCTGAGTTGGCTCCAAAGGAGATTCCATAAAGGAGGTTTGTGAGTCAGATATTTGTTCAGGTGCTCTGTGGCTAAGATCCTTCCATTTTAACCTTTCCTTTACGTCGGAGATGAAGGGCTCATTTGTGCCCAGCTCCCTGCCCTGCTCTGCTCCGCTCCGCTCGCTCTCTCAGTTACAGCTGAACAAACAGCGAGGCTCCAGTGAAAACCAACTCTTCCCCAATCAGAAACCTGCGTTTTCCTTAAGTGGTCGGGACAATAGCAGTGAAAGGTCTGTGACACGGCAAACGGTGACAATTCCTCTCCACTCGCCCTCGCTTCAGGTACCGGCTCACGCTGGGATACTCTCCCAAAGGCACTCGTCATCCTCTCGAACCTCGATTAAGAGATATTCCTTCGATGTGAGTGTTTGAGGGTGATTGTCAGCAGATGGCGTGAACCTCAGGAGCAATGTAGCCAAGCCAAATAATAATAATAATAATCCTTGCATTTGATACAGCGCCTGATCACCTCTTCGAGACGTCTCAAAGCGCTTCACAGGATATACTGTAAAGTGTGGTGACTGCGTGTTTTGTGGGCGAAAGGCGGAAGCCAATGGCGCCCAGCGACGTCCCACAAACAGAGGTGGATTGAGTGGCCAAATTATTATTATTTTTCAAAAAAAAATGTTTTGAAGGGATTATTACTCCTAGAAAAGCGATCCACTACTCGACAAGCAACCGGGTTCCTACTTACTGCTGGGTAACCAGGGCCATGTGTGCGGAGTAAGGAAACTTGCCCAATGTTTCACCCTGCAACTGGCAAGCAGACCGTGGCCATGTGCGGTCACACCCATCTTATGTTCTTATTGTCCTGCCTTGCTATAAGCGTGAATTGGGATCTTATGGATCCCAAACACTGTGTGGTTGCAGAGCTCCTATATATTCAGGGTTCTAATTTGCGCCGATCAATCAGTGATCAGAAACCACCTTTTTTCTAAACTGCCATTGGGTTGGTCTACATTATTACCCCCTGGAAAGCGATCCACCAATTGATTAACAGCCGGGTTCCTACTGACTGCTAAGCAAACAGAGGCGTGTGTGTGGAGTAAGGAAACTTGCCCAAGGTTTCATCCCGTTCAGGAATCGAACCCAGGTCCTCTCGCTTGTGAGGCTAGCGTGCTCAACCACACATTTACGAGACTCCAAATGACTTCACAGATAGTCTTGATTGTAACGTCTGACACTTGAGATTAGTTTCAAGGAATTTCCGGTTACGAAGGAGTGGGAAAAGCAGTGGGAAAAGATCTGCAACGTGGCTGTAACGATGGCTCCTGCTTTACATTCGGTTGACGTTAACAAGTCTAACAGCACGATAAACAGAAACAGTGCAATTTTCTTTCTTCCTGGTTCTACCATAAATGCCACACAAAGGAAGTTTAGTCCGACACACAAGATGTATGAGCCCACAAAAACATGCCTCCAGATAGTGGAGATTAAATTTAGGGGAAAACATAGCCATAATCAAGGACAGTTGGGCCAACGCGAGCAGGTCAAGAGGTTTGTGCGTCAATAAGCAGATGGAGACAGTATGTCCAGCAGGGAGCGATGTAACATGCAACATATTTAAGTACTTAAGCACATCTCAGCCTCGGGCAGGTGTTTTGTACGTACACAGGATCCTTGCGATTGTTGTCTCAAGATTTGAGGTTGTGTACAGAATTCGGAAAACATCACCGCTCAGAAGCTGGCGTGCATTCCCCATCGCTTGAGAAACAACATCGGCTCTGGCTCAGAGGCTCGAGGAGAGGTAATAATAATCCATCGCATGGTCGAGACGTCTGAAAGCGCTTCACGGAATATGCCGCGAAGTGTGTATGACTGCGCCTTCCTGACTCGTTGATGTGCCAACAGGCTGTCCCAGGTCAGCAGCGCCATCTCTGCAGACCCGGTTGGTTTTTGTCTGAATGCAAAAACCCGAGGCTCACCATTCAGGTCACATACCCATCGCTGCAGCCTTTTTTTTCAGGTAATTTTGTACTGCGGCTAGCGAGCTAGCGCTGCGCACGAACACTGTGCAAGTGGGTATCTTACATTCGCCCACAAAACCCGCAGTCAATTCACTTTACAGTGTAGCCCGTGAAGCGCTTTGAGACGTCTCGAAGACGTGATGAGGCGCTGCATCAAACGCAAGGATTATTATCGTGATTATTATTATTATCTGCTTACTTGCTTACTTATTTATTTGCTGACTTCACTTAAAGGAACGAGGCCGCGGTGAAAAGATAATGATAACAATAATAATAATAATCCTTGCGTTTGAGTATAGCGCCTTATCAGGTCTTCAAACCCGCTTGTGGTTGTTCACCAACCCCCGACACAATCACAAGGAGTTGCGCTAACATATTGTCACATCAGTTGTGTGTGTGTGTGTGTGTGTGTGTGTGTGTGTAGCTTCATCGCAAAGAAAATGTCACTGGGTGGTTCCGTGTATATACAAATAATTCGTCTGTGCCTTTGGACTGTGTGAACTGATCATACGGTGTATGTACAAAGAACTGCCAGCAGAGGCCATCACTCCATCTGGTTTCTTCAGCCGTCCAAGGCAAACGTTTAAATGGTTTTATTTTAAGACGCTCCCAGCAAGATCTTGTCCATAAAGTACCTTTTGCCCAGATACTTCGCCTCAGAATATCAAGAGATTTTCTGCTGCGGAACAATATTTTTCTTCTCATCATAATAATAGTAATAGTAATAATCCTTTGATTGATATAGAGAGCCTTATCATAATTCTTGCAAGCTATTTGACTGTGTTTTTTTTCCCCCCTCCCTGTTTTCCAACCCAGAATTTGTGATAAAAGGCCTGCAAATTATAACCAGCATTTTGAATAAAAAAAGTAAACAGCAGTGGGAATAAATTATATCCACATTGTTATAATTTTGTGGGCGAAACACAGCAGTGTCCCACAAACCACTGCGAATTGAACGACCGAACTATCACCATCTTTATTTATTATTTGTTTTCCGAGGGATTATTACTCATGGAAATCGACCCCCCCCCCCCAATTGACCAACAACTGGTTTATTTAATGTAGTATTTACTGTAATATACCGAATTTTCTTTCGGAACGGAATTAGTTTTGCAGTTTTAACATTGCACGAACACGATGGTTCTAATTTAAATGCATACAGGATATCCTTTTAATTGCAATTAACAATGCGTATCTTTAAGCTGTTGATTTGAGACTCTCCAGCTTTGTGCTGTTCATTTTTTTGTGCTTGTATGTTTTATTCTGATATATTTTTTATTTATGTAATGTTGCATCGCGTTCATGTGCAATATTTCAAACCCTTTTGAAACCTACGCTTTTTAAAAAAAAAAAACTTTTCTTAACTTCAGGGACGTTGTTTTCCCGCGACATTTTCTGATCAGGTTAAAATTTTAACTGAGTATTTTTTTGGATGGTGGGGGGGGCAGTTAACAGTATGAAGCTCTGTATTTTTCCGATAAATAATTTCTTCCCTCCAGCTAAAATAATGTGACCATAAACCAACACCTTTTTTGCTGGTTGGACTCCAGCCGTTATCCCACTACGCACACTCTGGGCTCCCCCCAAGTCTTGTCTCTTGCCGAACCTGCGCCTAATACCTTCCAGAATTAAGGTGATCAGGGTGCGTCCCTCCAGGGAAGAGAGAGAGAGAGAGAGAGAGAGAGAGCCCAATCCATTCCAACAATCTATCTTTGGGATTTCCATGTGTAGGTGGGATGCCTGGAAACCTCAGCTTGGATACCTCTTAAGTAAGCACGGCAATGGGTTTCCGCACGTGTCAGACACCCGGCTGACCCAAAAATAGATATGTAAAAAAAATTACCTGCAGTCTTTGTTCTAAATTTGCAGCTCAAAATGTCGAAGAGTAGTGAGCAAAATTACTTACTGTTAAATCACAGAAAGCCGGGTTCATGTATTTAACTCTATTGCAGTGAAGAAGTGGTGAATCATTAACATGGATATTGACTTTGCACCAATCTGGAAAAAACTGATAGAAATCCCAAGGCAATGTAGTATATATATATATATATATATATATATATATATGTGTTGGCTGGAGAGTTCTATCAGTTATCTAATATAGATATATATATGTACATTAGATATATGGTATTAGCTACAAAACCACAAAGTCCTTATAACAAACGCAGTGTATTGCCAATCGCAATGTGTTTGTATCCACAACATTCAACTGTATTTCATACGTATTTTATTTTACGATTACTTAAGGGAAACTGGTCGCGCAGCGGATCAGACTTCGGGTAGTTGGATTTGAACCCAGCCCTGGCTGAGGGGATGGGAGTTTCTGCTCTCGGCAACTTAGCTCGGGGGCAATTCTCAGTCAAGCAACAACAACAACTCGCATTTATACAGCGCCCTTCACTTCACGCAGGGGATGTGTCTCGGAGTGATCAGTCCTTGCAAGCGCAGTTCCATAGCATTTGAAATGACACTGACAACATCTCTCAGTAAGGTCCTAATAATAATAATAATAATAATAATAATAATAATTTGGTCACTTCAATCCACGACTGTTTGTGGGACTCTGCTGTGCCCAATTGGCTGCTGTGTTTCACCCACAAATATACAGTCAATTCACGTTACAGTATATTTATTCTGTGAAGCACTTTGAGACGTCTCGAAGATGGGATATTGCGCTATGTCAAATGCCAGGATTATTATTATTATTATTATTATGAGCGGACTTTTTTTATGTGCACCGTTTGTTCCACTTTAGGGAAAGTATTAATATAGCTGTCCTCTTTAAGAAAATGTTTTTGTTATTCATTAAATTCACATCGCTCTCCATTCTGTCAGTCTAAATAAACAATTGCTGGCTCCAGTTCTTAACTACGTAATTCCAAACAATAAGAATCCTTCGCACATGATACAGCATCCTATCACGTCTTCCAGACCTCTCAAAGTGCTTCACAGAGTATAGTGTAAAGGGAATAGACTGTACATTTTGTGGGTGAAACTTATAGTCTTGCTTGGGAGAGACTTCTGTATGGGACTTATTTATCCAAGAAATATCTTAATTGGTTGACAGTAGTTTAAATTGAATTTATATATATATATCTCTACACACACAAAGCGTTTGAAGAGAAACTTATAATATATATATATATAAATTTCCTTCCCAAATATATGTGAAACCACAAATTACAGCATAAATGTTTAGAGCAGTAAATCATAGCTCTGTACTGCCAGGCAAACCCAGTGTTCATGAAAGGAAAGGGGGAGAGAGAGAGAGAGAGAGAGAGGACCTGTGTTCGATTCCCAGACGGAGCAAAACCTGAGGCAAGTTTCCTTACTCCATACACACACTGTTTACCTCCACACACACTGTATATATATATATATTATTATTATTACCTGGCAGTAAAGTAGGAACCTGGTTGTTAGTCGATCGGCGGATCACTTTTCCGGGGGTAATAACCCCTTTATAAAATAAATAATAATAATAATTTGGTCCCTCAATCCACGGCTGTTTGTGGTGACGCTGCTGTCCGCAATCGGCTGCCGCGTTTCACCCACAAAATACACAGTCAACTCACTTTACAGTATATCCTGTGAAGCGCTTTGAGACGTCTCAACGACGTGATGAGGCGCTGTGTCAAATGCAACGATTATTATTATGATTATTAATAACAATAATGAAATTACCTTCTTTGGGTGCATGCGGGTCCCAGGCTGTCCACATCTGCACGTAGAAAAAAGGTGTCCAGCAGATGATATAAGCCAGAACTATAACGAATGTCATCTTGACGGTCCTGATTTTGGCTCGGGAGATGATTTTGATGCTGCTGACTCTGGCCAGCATGGAACCCCCCTGTGGTGTCTTAGTTTCCCTCCTCGTCTTCAGCTTCACATTCTGCCAGATCTTGAAGCTGATCAGCCCGTAGCAAACCGTCAGGATCAGCACCGGGATGATGTAGACCGAGACGGTGATCCAGGTAATGTAAGCTTTGGCTCCCCAGGGCTGAATGAAATCCGCCCAGCAATCGTACACCTCAGGCCCCACTTCCCTAAAAGAGAAGATGAAGATTTGGGGGATGCTGAACGCAAGACTGATCACCCAGGAGGAGATGACATACATGCTGTTCGACCGTTGATGTAAGGACTTCAGGGGCTGACAGATAGTCAGGCACCTGTCGATGGACATGACAATCAGCAGGTAAGTGGAGGCAAACATGCCGACAATTTGGAGGTATTTGACAATCCTACAGAGGAAATCCGGTCCATGGAACCTGAAGGTGATCTCCCAGATGAGCTGGGGCAGGACTTGAAAGACAGCCACCACCAGGTCAGCGATGCTCAGGTGCTTGACGAAGAAGTACATGCGCGACGGCTTGTGGCGATTGGAATGGATGGCCAAAAGCACTGCGATGTTGCCCGTCAAGGCCAGGATCAGGATCACCGCCAGCAGCGTCACCTCCACCTTGGCCACCGTCTCGTTCCGCTTCAACAGGTCGGCGGAGCTGTTGCAAAAGCGGCTCCAGTTTTCCAGCAGAGCAGAGCCGTTAGCCGAGGCGTTTGGGACGCAGAGGTCCATGTCCACATTGTTGCAGCACGTTTTATTCATGTCCTTGTGTGGCTGTCACTGTTCCTCAAATTGTCTCCCTTGTTTTCCACCCCTAAAAGCTTAATTGTGTCTTCTCCTTCCTCAGTTTCTTTACTTTGCCTTTATCTTTCGTAGCATTACCTCCTCCCCTCGTCTTGTTTTGTTGGTTTTCTTGCCCCCTCTCCCTCTCCCTCTCTCTCTCTCTCGCTCGCTGACTCGCTCGCTCGCTCTCACACACGCGCACACCAGTCTGAAGCCTCTGTTCTGTCTGTGCTTGTGTACGGCAGCTCAGGGTTGGCTATTTCCTATTCCACAGGCACTTGGGCTTCGTCTCAGCACAGCACAGCAACATGAAACCCTGCAAAATAATAACAATCCTCGCATTTGTTACAGCGCCCGATCAGGTCTTCGAGACGTCTCAAAGCGCTTCACAGGATACACTGGAAAGGGAATCGATTGCGTATTTTGTGGGCGAAACAATTGCAGCCAATTGCGCACAGCGACGTCCCCACAAACAGCCGCGGATTGAGTGACCAAATTAAATTATATTTTTATTCCTTGTTTTTATTAACATTCAATAACCTCGAACCCCATTGATATTAAATGAAATGAAATCAGAATCATTCAGGATCAAATGCTCTCTCTCTCTCTCTCTCTCTCTCCCTCCACTCCCACACATACACACCCAATTTAAATACACATTCAGTGTCGGTTTCATTTGAACACTTAAATTCATTTAAATCAAATCGGGAACGAGAGGAAAGTGCTCGATGTCCTTTTGAAAAATACGAGGAAAACAATTATTGATCCCAGTACACCGTGAACCGACTTTACTTTCACATTATTTTCTCTCGTTGGTCCCATTAAATCACTGATATTTTCTGGGGAAGAAGCGAATGTCAAGTCAATTTTTCTTTTAATCATTTCTGAAATTATTTTTAAAACAATTTCTTCTTTGCCCCTCCCAACAGCACAGGGTATATATTTTATTGCTCGTCTGAGTGCAGAGTGATCCTAATCAGGTTTTGCTCGATATAAGGGTGTAGCTTATCAACTTTAAAATAAATCCACTTGCCGGTGCAATTTCTGTTCTTGTTCTCATAGGGATTCAACCTGAACTAATTCAACAACTGCAGAAAGATAATTTTTTTACATACCGTAAAAATATATATATGAATTTCTTGCACACATTGTGCGGATTTGTTAATTTCATCCAAGCAACGTATGATGATTTTTTTTTTAGGGGAATACTATATCATCACCTTACCTTACCTTCCTTGCTGCAGCAAACGGCAATGAATCTTTAGATGACAGAAATCCGCATAGATTGGAGTTTGCCATTAGCTTGGGAGAAGGAAAAACAAGAGTCTGAATCTTTCACATCTTCTCGAAACATTCGTTCCCATGTTTTCTCCCCCTTGCGCTTCACTCTCTCTCTCCCTCGAACTCTCTGAGAAAGAATGCTTTTCAGGCTGCTTTCTTTGAACGAACTGAGCAAGAGAGCCTCCAGTTTCTAAATATTTATAGCGAGCAGCAGTCTGGTAGATGGATGGGAGTGCGGAAAGGATTTTATTGATGGTCAAACATTCTCCTCGCCTGGGGGCGCTCTCCGCTACAGCAAATCTACACTCCAGGAGAAAGCAAAATTCATTCTTTGGATGGACTTTGGCACAGGGAAAGTTTTTGAATTCCATTTTACCGCTTTTCCCCCCTTTTTTTTTTGATTAGCGGTTTGTCTCCGAAATAACCTTTTTATTTATTTTTTAAAAATGTTGTTGTTTGTCAAAAAAAAACATATCGAAACCCCCCCCACCCCACCCCCCCACACACACACACACACACACAAGGACAAAAATGAGAAATTAAAATGAAAACCGAGAGGTGAAAATGGAAATTTCTAAATACTCGACGTATAAAAAAGAAGCTTTACGTTCTTTTTTTGTGTATGGTACCTTATCAGGTCGTTGAGATGTCTCAAAGCGCTTCATAGGGTACACTGTAAAGTGGAGTGACTGTGCATTCTGTGGGTGAAACAATTTGTCTCTGAAATAAGCATTTTTCTAAAAAGAAATCAGAGGCGTACAAACGAGAAATGAAAATGGAAATTGCAAAACAATTTGAGCGCCAGCAAGAGGTCCCAGTGCCACGCGATGCGAAGGGCACCTTTGAAGTGTATGTTGTTGTTGTTGCTGGAAGGTTTTGTCGTGGTGGCAGTCGGTAAAAGTAGGGACTTTGACAACGATAACAAGTTATGTTTGTACAGCGCCTTTCATGTCAAGAGGACGTCCCAAGGCGCTGGACAGTCAGGAATCCTCACCTGGTGGTTGGAATCAGGTGGGGCTGGAGGGTGGGCAGGGTAGGGGTAGAAGGGTGACCGAAGGCACGGTTGGTCGAAGAGGAGGGTCTTGAGACTGGTGTTGAAGGAGGCGAGGGAGGGGGTGAGGCGGAGGGACTGTGGGATGGAGTTCCAGAGGTTGGGGGGGGGGGCAGATTTAAAGCTGAGCGATGCTGATCAGATTGTGCAAAGGTCTACCTGCTCTGTGTAGCCAACCTCCATCTGGGGCAATGTGTCCCAGGTCACTAGTGCAGATGTACCATCTGGTTCAGTGATTTCATTGTAGATCATAGTCGCACCATTCTTGTAGGAACTTGGCTCGTCATCATCCGCTCATTCACACGTTCACATATGGGATTTGTTGGCAAGGTGACCGTGGAATAAGATGCTCAGACTAGTTCATTCATTGGCTTTGGCTTTGTGGGGTGATTGGAATATAGCAGTTCCCAGGGTCCATTTTGGCTTGCTGGTATTTTCCCAGTTCTACAATATCACTCACGCAGGTTGGCATCTCTCCACGGGTGTTTAGTCCACATGTTGTTGTGGCTGTTGGGGTATTTGTATTGTAGAGAAACATTACTTCTTCTTGTCCTCAGTCAGACCTCTCTATCTCCCTCTCTCTTTCCCTCTCTACCTCTCCTCTCTCTCTCCCTCCCGTTTACGCCAACACAAAACATACGGACACTACACATCCTGTGATGTGCTTTGAGACATCCCAAAGACATGATAAGGTGCTGTATCAAATGCAAGGATTATTGTTAATTATTGTTGTTATTCATAGAGCTATGTCACTTGATGCCACTCTGATGACAGGTCCAATAGACATGAGGTTGAAATGTGATGTGTATGTGTATATATGTTAGGGTTGGGAGGGGTGGGGGAGGTGTAAATGGACTTTGACCTTTTCTGGATTATTTCACTGGAGTTATCAAAGAATCTCCTGTTCTCAAACCTCCAACATTCTTCCACCAAGCAGGCATGAGATTACAGGAATTGCTGTATGTTCACTGTTATGTATTGTAGTATACTCTATGTAAACCTCCTGTTTGATTACAGTGCCTTATGGCAAAATGTGTTGCCATTTGCAGTAAATATTAGTGTAGTGTAGTGACTGTGCAGTTGTGGCAAATGTGGCAATCTTTTTTACGTAGCCAACTGTAGAAAGGTCATCATACAATCCAGTACAAAATCACATTTCACGGCAAGAGGACGTCCCAAGGCACTGGACAGTGAGCGATTTGGACCCGAGCTGAGTTGGTGTGGTGGGGGGTGTTGAGATATTACCTTCATGTAGAAGATGACTTTGGCATTTCTCATGCCAAAGCTGATGCCTCTCTCTCTCTCTCTCTCTCTCTCTCTCTCTCTCTTTCTTTGGTGAGACGCAGTCACTTGGATACCAAGGACATTTTGAGATGTCCTCATCCAATATCTCCGAATCACCCACAGTATAAATAGAGCCTAGGGAAGTGTTATGGTTCTGAGCTTTCGTTCCCAGGAGTGTCACGGACAGGTTGTTCCTCTCAACCATATCAACAGATAAACCGGTTAAGATGCTCAGGGGAAGGGGATTTATTTGTTTTGCTTTGAGCGCAACAAACCATATTTCCTCCGATTTATTTCTGCAACAAAGGGGACTTTACACATGTCTGGGCAGCACCAGAAATCCTCGTGGGTTAAATAAAAAGCACGCCACGAAACGAATTGGTCGAAGACTCAACAAGGCTTCCTCTTCGGGCTCCGTTCCGTGTAACAGGAACAGCAGACACATCCTGCTCCCCGTAGGAATAACATTCTGGCTCTCTTCCCATGGCTCGGCTATTCACATCACTTGTGCAGCCGGCTCAAGTGTACCTAACCTTGCATCATGCAAGGGTAGTCCTGTGGCTTAGTGGAATCCTGTAGCCTAGTGGCTAGCAGTAAGTAGGTTGTTAATTCATTGGCAGATCACTTTTCCAGGAGTAATAATCCCTTCAAAGAAAAAATGATTTGGCCGCTCAATCCACGACTGCTTGTGGGACGCTGCTGTGCGCAATTGGCTGCCGTGTTTGGCCCACAAAATGCACAGTCACCCCACTTTACAGTGTATCCTGTGAAGCGCGTTGAGATGTCTCGAGGAGGTGATCAAATGAAAGGCTTATTCGTATTACAATCATCTTTGACCAGACTGGTGATAGCCTTCAGGGTTTCATGACACGTTGCACGAACCTGGAAAGGATGGAGATTAGTTAGTGATTGAGAGAGCTGTGCATTGTTCAGTACAATACTCTTATTCTGTGAACTTGTGTAACCTTTAATCCTATGTCCTGAGCTCTTTCACTGTATTTCGTTTTTTGCGGACACATGCGGAAACCCATCGCCACCTTTTAAGAGTATTCCAACCAAAGCTGAGAATTCCTTGCATCCCACCTACACGTGGACAGCGAAATGCACACTGCAGTGTCCCACAACCATTTGTACATTAAGTGACCAAATTATTTTTATTCTTTTTTTTGGAATGGATGATTACCCCCAGAAAAGCGATCCGCCCATCGACTAACAACCGGGTTCCTACTCACTGCTGGTAAACAGAGGCGCGTGTGTGCGTGTGTGGAGTAAGGAAGCTTGCCCAATGTTTCGCCCTGTCCTGGCCGGGAATCAAACCCAGGTCCGCTCGCTTGTGAGGCGAGTGCTCTAACCGCTGAACGAATCCAGATGTGTCTGGGCTGCCAGTGACGTACAGATCAATAGGAGGACAGTGGTATGACGAGAGCCTCTGGTTCCTAATCACCTCTCAATCCAAAACATCAGCTGTTAGCACGAGCGATGACACGTCACACATCTCTAGTGCTGCCTTTAGAATTATTCCAAATACTGGCTTTTGTGTACAGAAGTTCAAAGTGGAGAGAGAGAGAGAGAGAGAGAGAGAGAGACATTAATTGCTAAACCAGGGTTCTGTATATTTGCATTAAGCTACAGGGAATTGCTGATGTGTCCACCAGCTCCCAATATAAACACTCCAGTATTTACTGTAGTGAAACTGCTGAGACATCCGTCCTTGCTTTAGATTTTCGCTGACTGGATCTGGTTACAATGTCACCTCATAGCGGTTAGAGCACTCGCCTCGCAGCGAGAGGATCTGTGTTCGATTCCCGGGCGGGACAAAACATTGGGCAAGTTTCCTTACTCCACATGCCTATGTTTGCCCAGCAGCAAGCAGGAACCAGATTGTCAGTTGATTGGCGGATCGCGTTTTTAGGGGCAATAATACCCTCGAAAAAAACAAAGCAATAATAATTTGATCACTCAATCCACGGCTGTCTGTGGGGACACTGCTGTGCGCAATTGGCTGCCGAAGTTCCCCCACACAGTATACAGTCAGTACACTTTACAGTATATTCTGTGAAGCGCTTTGAGACGTCTCAAAGACGTGATAAGGCGCCATATATCAAATGCAAAGATTATTATTATTATTATTAATAGAAACGACCCAAATAACGCGGGGCTGATCTTGGTAATAGCTTCAGCCTGGAGAAGATATTTTGCACAATTCTTGGCAGCATCAGGTTTTGGTTGTATTACTCAGAGAGCATTATTTAAGCCAACACCCAGAGAGCAATACTTGTAGTTAATCATTCAATTGAGCTTTAAGGATAATTTCCTTACATTGGGATTTCTGTACTTGGCCCAGTCCTGTGTGTAAAAAAAATCACTCAACCACCATGTCTTGTTCAGTGAGATCTGGTTACCAACAATTATACCTTCACAATGTTAAATTAAGTATTATGTAGGTCACCAGTTGCAAAATGTTGTGCTATGTTGTGATAACTGGCATCTCTTCATCTCTTCATCTACCGCCCTATTTCTTTTGCATCATTGCTGCATTTCGCCCACAAAATACACAGTCAACTCACTTTACAGTGAATCCTGTGAAGCGCTTTCAGACGTCTCGAAGACGTGTTAAGGCGCTACATCGAATGCAAGGATTATTATTATTATTATTATCTACTTTTCACTTCCCGCTGAATCCTTCCTCAAGATTTTGAACTCACATCATCAAGGTTGTGACTCGAAAGCGTTGCTGATGTATTGCTGGTCTTTTATACACACAGAAGTCGTTGGCCTTCACTGTTCCAAATTTCCCTATTTAATTTGGGTTAAAGTTTCTTAATCAAAGGCATTCTTCCTCCTGCAGGTGGTGGTGAGCAATTCTTCGTTTCACGATG